TTGAAATTTTCAAAAAATTTTGTAAATATTGAAAATATGGAATATTTATCAAGTTGTATAAACGACATTTTAGTTACGAGTTTTATAAAGCACGAGCGAAGCTTGTGAGCGAGTTTTTAGTAGAAATGACTGTCTAGATAAGTTTATAAAACCACAAAAATAAATATATCAAGGTGAACCAAAAACAAAACTGTTAAAAATAGATGCGACTTGATAATTAAAACTTAATTTAGAACAATATACGGTTTTGCCACTCTACAGAGTGTCTTAGACTTATGGTAAAAAACATCTTTTTTTATATTATAAACGTACGTGTATTTTTTAGTAATTTTGAAATTGTGAGCGATTATCCATTGATGTATCTACAATATTCTTTAATATTTGTTTAAATCCGAAATTAAATAAAAAAGTTATTTGCGATTGAAATTCATCAAAAATTTGTGTGGATCGATTATTTTGCCTGTGAGTGTATTACCATTTATGGCAAATACATTAAAGTGTGCAAAATATACATTAAAGTCATAAGAACTCAATATTACCTCCTATTGTCATTACGTTAAATGTCCTAGGCATTTAAACCTGTACAAAACCCAACAATGACTAATGTGGCCACCTATTTACCATTGAAGACTTAAAACTACAAGCATGCAGAGGGTAAACAGTTTAAAACGCATGAAGCACTTAAGAGAGCCTACCGCAAGTTTAGGAATAAATGATGGATGAAGAATGAGGACGGGGCTCTACGGAGCAGTTGAAAACTCGTAAACTTAAAGATTACAAGAAAAATATGAGAAAGAAAACATCGACATACGCAGAAAAGTTTTCGACTTCGCTTCCTTTTATTTAAGCTGCTTCATATTTTAGGGCGCAGTTAATTCGGAGTGAGAAAAATTTTCCTGCATTTGTATTGAAACATTTTTTCAGCTTGCGTGAATAAATTTTTTTGGAAATCAAATTTGCGATTAAATGTAGTAAAACTTAACTACTTGATATATTTATTTAAATTTATATCAGTTTAAAAAAATAATAAACATTTAATAGTATATATATTAGGGTGTGCCAAAAAAACTCGATATTTTTTTTTCTTGCTTTCCACCCAAAATATCGTAGAATATGTCCAAACAAATATTCTGTTAAAAGCGGAGCTCATAATTTCAATTTTAAGAGGTCCCTCATCGAATCTGAAGTTTTGCCGCTTAAATAACACAGAAAACTGACTTTTATACCTTATTTATTCTTGCAACCTAGGAAGAATTTTTTTTTTCATAAAATCCATGACTAATTCTTACAAAGCATTAAATTTGGACAAAAAAATCTTATTAAGCCGAATTTCTATTTTCTTTATTTAAATTATAATTTAAAGTTAATAATACAAAAATAATGACTCTATACGCCTGTAACTTTTAGAATATTGACGAAACAAAAAATTCGCCCAGAACTTTTTTGTGGTCCATCAGACAAGCTAAAAAATTGCCATTTAACTTTTTCGTCTAACTTCAATAGTTTAGCTGAAAAAGGCAAAAAACGTAAAATTTTAAATTTAAAGCTCTGTAAAAAATCAAATAATGAAAATAAAAATTCGGCTTAATAAGATTTTTTCGTCCAAATTTAATGCTTTGTAAGATTTGGTCATGGATTTTATGAAAAAAAAATGTCTTCCTAGGTTGCAAGAATAAATAAGGTAAAAAAGACAGTTTTCTGTGCTATTTAAGCGGCAAAACGACAGATTCGATGAGGGACCTCTTAAAATTGAAATTATGAGCTCCGCTTTTAACAGAATATTTGTTTGGACATATTCTACGATATTTTGGGTGCAGAGCAAGAAAAAAAAATATCGAGTTTTTTTGGCACACCCTAATATATATACTATGTAATATTATGTATCAAGTTTGATAAACGCCATTTTATACACGAATTTAATTTAGGCACGAGTGAGCTTGCGAGCGAGTGCTTAAATTAATGAGTGTATAGAAAAGTTTATAAACGAGGTGCATACTATACTTTTTCTACGAAAAATACTTATTATTATCTTAAAATGATTTAAATCAAAAATTTGTATAGAGCGCCATCTATGAAACAATAGGGGAATCTGTGTGTCACCGTCAAATGTCAAATTTTTATATTTTATAAAGGTTAAAAATCGAAATGTATTTTTTGAAAATTGACAGTTTTTCACAGTGAAAGTAAAGAAAATGTTTTATGAGCACTTTAAAGTGGAGTCCGTGCCCGAATTTAAGTTATAGTTTACTGCCGGCGAAATTAAAAGGTCAGTACAATGTTCATATAAACTTTTCAAATATTGGCGTTGAGAAACTATTTAATACTTTTGTATTTTTTTATTAATTTTCACATTTGGTATTATTTTACAAGAAAGACACTTTATTTTAACGATTGTATGACATTTGACAACTGTCAACTAACTTAAAACTAACTTCAGCCCTTGACTAAAAACCTGTTGCTAACTTCAGCCCGTGACTAAAGCGCCATAAAGCCACAACTTGTCATTGTGTATTTAAAATGTCACTTAGCGTCATGGAAACATGTTCGATATAGGCGTTTTAAAGGTGGGAGTAGAAAAAAACAATTAAGCTTAATTTTATTTATGTGCTAAGAATATTCACACATAACAAGTAGTTATAAATTTGTTGGAGCCACGCAAAAGGGCAATTTGTTTCCTAAAGCCAATAAATAACAATTTTAAATGTTAGCCTATTTTATATTGTTGTTTGTAAATGATATTAAGAATTATTTATAAATTATTTTGTTTTTTAATGACTATATATTTTTTATTGTTTGAACAAATAGGTAGGTATTTTGGATTTTCCAATTGTTACATTTCATATTGTCCATTGTTCAAAGTATTTATTAAAACTTAATTTAATCCTCGTAGATTATTATTTCTTTAAAACGCATTAGGTATTAAAGTATTAAAATAATTGCTACTTATATCCAGTACCGTAACATAATTTTTGTGTGAAAAAAGCCAACTTATGGAATTAAAAAAAATGATAATTTTTTATTTATTTAAATTATGACCTTCAATATCATTTACGAAAAAAGCGTATTTGAATGTTTTTGTAGGGCTTTATGACTTAAGTGTTATGAATTATTTTCTGATGTCTTATAATAGTATATTATGTATCAAGTTTGATAAACGCCATTTTGGACACGAATTAATGAATGTCTAGAAAAGTTTATAAACGAGTTGCATACTATACTTTTTCTACGACAAATACTTACTATTATCTAAAAATGATGCCATCTATAAAACAATGGGAGAATCTTTGTTACCGTCAAATGCCAAATTTGTATTTGTTATAAACATAAGATAATAAATCAAAATGTATCCCTTGAAAATGGATTAAACAACAGTTTTTCACAGAGTAAATTGAATAAAATGTTTTATTAGTTTACTGCCGGCGAAATTAAAAGGTCAGTACAATGTTCATATAAACTTTTTATCTATTGGCGTTGAGAAACTATTTAATGCTTTTGTATTGAGATAATATAATAATTTTCACATTTAGTATTATTTTTCAAGAAGGGCACTTTATTTTAACGATTGTAAGATATTTGACAACTGTCAACTATAGTTGACAGTTGTCAAATAGTTATAACTTAGAGCTAACTTCAGCCCGTGACTAAAACGCCATAAAGCTACAACTTGTCAATGTGTATTTAAAAGGTCAATTAGTGTCATAGAATCAACTACGATAATGGAAGTTTTAAAGGTGGGAGTAGAAAAAACTAGTTACGGCACTGCCCTCATCTATCATAATAACCAAGGACCGGATTTTAGGCAAAATGCCTTTTGTTTCTATTTTAGGCTTTTATTTGGGACCTTGCAATTAATCCTAAACTTAAAAAAAATAAAGTGTTAGACACCCCTTTGTTTTTGCCTAAAATGGCGAAATTTTGATTTATTGTCCCAATAGGACATTTTTATAGGCTCTTTTAATTTTTCTGTAAAAAATATATTTTTCATTGCGAAAAAGTAAATTATTTTTAATTGGACCCTGCGTTTATGCTCTTATTTCGCCTTAACGCCCTTGGCAAGTACGAGAACCATGGTTCTCGTACTTGCCAAGGGCGTTAAGACGAAATAAGAGCATAAACGCAGGGTCCAATTAAAAATAATTTACTTTTTCGCAATGAAAAATATATTTTTTACAGAAAAATTAAAAGAGCCTATAAAAATGTCCTATTGGGACAATAAATCAAAATTTCGCCATTTTAGGCAAAAACAAAGGGGTGTGCACAAATTACAAAACTAGTGAAAACCTAATAAAAAAAGTAATTGTGTTTTTCCTATCTAAATATTTATTATAAATAATTATGGATAATATTAAGTTTGTAAAATAATGGTTGAAAATTATTATTTACTTTTTACCCAAAAAATGTCGTAAAAAAAATTTTTTTTAGATTGTTTTTTTCGGTTTCTAAATTATTTGAAAATATATTGACTCACAAGTTCACGCTTTTAATCGAAAATAATTATTCTGTAGAGCGAGACAAAGGATGGTACAATTTTGGAAAACTTTTCATATGCTCATTTTTTGGGTACCCCATTTTTTGTAGAGCGTTACATTTTATATAAGAAACTGCAATGATCATTGCCATAAGTTACTTTGTTACAGAGGTATAAAATTCCAAACATAAAATTATTTTTTCCCATGTTAATTAAATGGGAAACTAAAATAAAAACAGCGACCTCTTAGAGTTGAGCTGGAACGCCCATATTTGGCGAGGAACCACTAATACATATAACGCCCGTGGAAACCTAAGAAGAATATGTTATGTTTAATCGTGTTGTTTTTATTTCATATCGCCTATTTTAGGCACTTTCGGCCTAAAATGTAGGTTTTTAGTGCCTATTTATGTGTCCTAATTTCCAATTTTTAAAGGCCTAAAATCCGGTCTTTGATAATAACTACTTGAAATATATCTGATAAAAAATATCCAAATCATATACCTTATTGATTAACTTTAAACTATTTATCAGTATCAGTATCATTTACATTATTTTATAAAGTGGTTTAAATAATAAACGAAAATGGGCAAGTTTTGCTGTATTTTGTTTCTTTGTAAGTATTTTTATGTTCAAATATTTATGATAGGTAACTACTATTACTTGTAGGTATAATAAAATTGTATAGAGCAAGCAATTTCTCTATTCTTTTCTTTATTGTTTTTATTGTAAATAGGGTATGGAAGCAAAATAAAATGCAATGCTTTAAATCCTTATTTTATGATTCATGTTATGTTAAATTTGTTTTGATGAAATATTCAAAAAATAATAATTATTAATAATTACCAAAAAAGGACTTTAATTACTATTGGTATATTAGTTTTTATGGCGTGTTACAGTATATCCTTCATGACAGGATGTTGGTTTTTAAAATCTAATTACTCCTGCTGGAAACCTACTTATTAATAATAAATTACTCATAATAAAATACAAACAATTTTTTTATTCGTTACAGATCTTATCGGCTATGCAACATGTTTCACAATAACGCCTTCCGACACAAATATTATCCTTCCCACTCAAACAATAAACCAAAGAAATCCTAGATCCTTTATAAGGACTTTCGAGAATAAAACTGAAGTGATACAGTGCAGAGAAGGCACAAAATTCGATTTGAAAACGATGGTGTGCGTGTTTGACGAAAAAAATGTGCGCAAACTTAGCACCTTACTAAAACCAAATCTGCATAATACGCTATATTGCCCTGAATCAAAAAACACTTTTGATTCCTATTTTTATGCCGATGACTGCAAATCTTTTCTCCTATGTGGACCGTCAGAGTCTCTATTAGTGAAATGTGCTGGAAATCTGCTTTTTAATCCGACTATGGGATTTTGCGACTATCCTTTAGAGGCCGGGTGTTGTGAATCCGATGCCCAAAATTCCGATGTATTTTGGGTACAATAAATACGATAAATAAAACGATATGTTTAAGTTGTTTATTGTATTTTTAATTTAAATAAATTTGTTGAGATATTTCTGCTATAAAATGCATTTTTATTATTGTTTACTTTGGAAACTATATGTGTATTTATATTTAAACAAATAAAATATTTATATTTGAACAAATAAATACATTAAAATTGAATTTTATTTATTTCTGGATAGAAAAATAAACTAAAATTTAATTCATGTTTCGCCATTTTTATTTCATGTTATTTTTTAACTTTTGAACCCGAATCCTTTCAATTTGTCTTTTTTTTCTTTCTACTCAGGAGTTAAAAAATTCTGAGAAACCTTTTTAGTGGATACTAAGAATTTTTTCAAATTTTTTTACTCAACCATACAATTTTTTTAAATCTATTTTGCGTTCATAATGACTTCATTGTAACACAGCTTTCGGTGTTGTAATGAGATACTTTACCCCACCCAAAATTTTGATTTTAGGTTGGCTATACTTTAAACAGCATAATATTTTGCATATTGGTTATAATATTTTTATGATTTTTCTCCAAACTCCAAAGAAAATCCTTTTTTTTTCTTTAACATTAACAGCCGCTCATTGTAAATAAGTAAATTAAGGAAGCCATGGCGAATCGATTTTGACATTAACTGTCAAACCAATGACTGTGATACCAACTATCTAAAGTAAAATTCGATCAAATTAAATTTAGGGTATAAAATTAATTTTTGTATGAAATTTTTGAAAAATAGATAAAATATCATAAAGAACTCATGTCATAAGACCTTTTGCCGCATGAGTCATACGACAAAATGACTTTAATATAGATACTATTATCCAATCAAAAAATACAATACTTAATAACTATGAAAAAAAACATTTTTATTTTTTTTTTCATAAAAAAAACCTAAAAAACTAATAAAATGTATAAAACATGACATCAAAAAGTTTTTTTATATTTTTTTTCTGGAAAATACATTTAAAATCAAAAAATTTAAAAAAAACGTATATTTATTTAATTTTTAAAAAAGATTTGGTTATTTAAAAACGCTTTTTTTAGTGGACACTAAAAGGTTTCTCAGAATTTTTTATTTTTTTTACCCAGCCAAAAAAAGATTTTAAAAAAATGGCTCCTTTTTTTAAATTGACTAAATGTTTTTTTTTTATTCTTTTATCATTTAAAAAAAACAAAAGTGTTATTTTATTTCTTTGAGAAAAACCATCAATTTTTCAATTTGCCATTTTTATTTATTTGTATTTTTTTTAACTTTCGATTTATTCTGAGAAAAATGCTGCTAAATCCAGAGACTTTTCTTTCTATTTTTTTAATTAAATTTTTTTTTTTAATTGTTTATTTATTTAAGTAAATTGTTTCATAATATGTTATAATGAATAATGATAAGGGTTGCACAATGGTTAGGTACTTAAATTGATTTTAACATAGAAATAATAAAAGTTTTTCAATAAAAAAAAATAGAAAGAAAAGCCGGGACACTTTGGGAAAAGAGGCATTAATAGCAAAATAAATCAGGTTTAAATAAAAATTGATGTTTTTTTATTTTAATAAAATAAATAATAAAAATTTAAAATCGAATAAAATCTGTAATATTTGGATTTTTTAAATAAAATTTTAAATTTGTCGATAAATTATAGTAGATAATAAATTGCACCACTTTAATTTGAATTATCTCAAATAGCGGGGCCTGGAGGCAAGTGAGGCAACAGGAAAAACTTTTTTCGCAAACTTCAATTTAAATTCTGTTTATTTAATGTCATTATAAACTATTATAAATTTGGTGTGGGTCCTATGTAGGGTTGCAACTTTTCATGAAAAGTTGAAATTTTTGAAAGGTTGGGTTTTATTTTTCGGAAAAGTTGGAAAAGATGGAAAAGTTGAGTTTTTTGTAATGTAAACGTATAAAACATAAATAATGCTTGTCAATGTATTAAAATAATTTATTTCTTATGTATTTATACATACGTAACAAGTTGTTTTATAACAAAATAACAAAAACAAATAACATACAAAATAAAATGAACAGACAACATAATCACAAAAAAAAGGTTTCAGTTAAAAAAATCATATTTTTTAAGTAAAAAAGAATAGAAATTTATATACAACATAAAAAAAAACATACGAAATAAAAAATAATTACAAAAAAATATGAAGCAAAAATTATTAAATTTATTGTTGTTAAAAATTATGGAAATTTACAAGTAAAAATTTAAAAAGAAAAAGAAAAGAAAACTTTCTTCTTTTCCACTTTTATATTTTCACTTGCAAATTTCCATAATTAAAAAAATAATATTTTTTTCATACTGTGTATAAATTTCCACTCTTCCAGTTTTGATTTTAATTAATCTGATTCTGATGAATCTTTATATAGTACACAGAGAAAAGTAATCTCTTGATTTAAGAAAATGCATTTATTTGAAACAGTTTTTCTTGTATGAAGTAAAATTGTCTTATTCGGAGTAACTTCTTGTTTACAATAAGAAAATACTATTATTTGGTTGTAAATCATGAGTTTCTTGAAAACAACTTATTGTTGTGATTAATTGTAAAGAAATATTTATTTAGAGCAATTAATTAAATTGTTTGGATATAGGTTGTATGGATTTAGTTTTATCAAATGTTAATACAAGCATATAATATCTTATTTTAACAAAATAATAGAATTGATACAATGTATGTCATATAATTAACGTAAACACGTGATTTGTTTGTTTCAAAAATACATTTACTTGAAGCAAATACATATTTATTTGCTTTTATGTCCACGTGACTCGCGGAGCCAATTAGAGCATTTGACTCCAAAGACAAAGACGCTTGTCCGGCTGCCGGCAGCATTTGCAAACAAACTCGCAGAGCGTCCTTGGCGTTAAGACTCTTAACTTAAGAGAAGGAGGTGTTTAATCAACGGTTATAGTTTTGTGTTTAAGTGCTTATGATTAATAGTATGGAAGAATTCTTCAAAGAAAATAATTTAACCCATTTGCTTTTTAGTTTTGTTGGTAAGTAAAAGAGATTTAGTTAATTAAAATTTTGTGTACCTAGGTAGTTTGGAAACTACAAAGTTATATGATAATATGGGTACCTATTTTATTTTGGATCATGCATGTCTCAGACTTGACCTGTTACTTTTAAATATAATTGCACATTTTACTTACAGGCCATAAACTTAAAATAAACCGTTTCTTTTTGAATTTGACAAGTGCAAGTAATTTTGGTTGGCAAACTATATGTATTTGTTTTTAAACTATAGGTACCTACCTAGGTAGGTGTTTTCAACAAAGATACCTATCTGATAATAATAAATAAACACGTTTAAGGTTCTGCTAAAAAATTGCTTGTTTTGACTTATCCTCTTATGACTTTTACCCACAGACTTGGTGTATTTTATTAATGCCGTGCACTAATATTTACACTGAACTTCAGTGACTGAAGTATTTTTTGTTCCTATTTTTGTCCGCTCATATATTATATGTTTTGTTTATTGTTAATTTTATATTGTGTGTTTTTAATGTTTATTGTAAATAGGTACGTATTTACAACAAAACAAGTGTACACTTGTTTTGTTTAAATAAAAAATATTGGAATAAACGTTTTTTAATTTAATTTTCCCGACCAAATATCAAGTAATTAACAACATTAAAATAAATAACCCTGTTGTAAATGACCGATTAATTCCTGTAGAAACCAATTGAAGTATTGGTTGGTATCAATGGGTCTGAATTGGACTTACTGGTTTTAATTGGGCGCGATATAAAACAGAAATTGGTTTTTACTGGTATTTTCCATGATGGAAAATACCAGTTAGGATTCTAATGGTTTTTATTGGTTTCAATTGGATAAAGCTACCTATAGGTAATTTCCAATTGAATTCAATTGGGCATTGCCAGTGTAAGATTTGAAAAATCTGCTAATTGGTTATTTCCAATACAATACAAATATCGCAAGAGGGCTCTCGTGTAGCTGCGCAAAATCAACGAGGTTGAGACGCCATCATAAAGAAAAAACAACAAGTCTTTGGACGCCATTTATTAGCGGTTTATTTTATTAGTCGATTTCAGTGTTAAGTGCCTAGTGTTAGTAGTGTACTATATAAAAAAAATGTTTATATGTGTAAGATTTAGGGATTTAGGCGATAGTAAGTTATATGTATTAATACATACCTACCTACATATATCACAAAAAAAATAATAAAGAAATAAAATTACTCAGTAACAATAAATTTTTTGTCTCTTCTGTAAAAAATGAATTCTGGTTTTTACCCGGTTATCCTTCTGCGATCTAAAATTATTTTGAATGAAAAATAAACTGGTAGGTATTTTCTAATCCAAATTTTAAAAAATGAATTGGTTTAAATTGGTTGGAATGGGTTTGGTGCTATGAATTACCAATTCATTCCATGTGCATTTCTATTGGATTTAGCCAATAGAGACAAGCGTAGGATTGGTATTTTCCAATTCAAGCCGCTGACTTCATTGGAAATTACCAATAGGAATTCAACTGGAATGAATTGGTGATTCATAGCGCCAAAACACATTTCAAACCAATTCAAACCAATTACTTATTTTTTATTGGATTCTATTGGTATTTTCCAATTCAAGCCGCTGACTTCATTGTAAATTACCAAAAGGAATTCAACTGGAATGAATTGGTGATTCATAGCGCCAAAACACATTTCAAACCAATTCAAACCAATTACTTATTTTTTATTGGTTTCTATTGGTCATTTACAATAGGGAAATCATAGTATTAAAACAAGCAAACATTTGTTTGGTTCAATCACTATATATTTCGTGAAATTATAATATTAAAAGGTACTAATTATTTGTCTGAAATAAATTGTTTTCTTCATGTAAGTAAATATTTTGTTTCTTTAAGAAAGCTTCACATTTAATTTAAAAAAATGAATTACTTACTTCAAGTAAATGTTTTGTTTCTTTAAGTAAGATTCTACTAAACCTGAGATAAAAAGTCAACTAAATATTTACTTGTATTAAACAAACCATCAGTTTAAAAAGTCAAATAAACCCAAGTTTTCCACTAAATAAATATCTTCTTGTATCATATCGAAATAAATAATTTATTTGAGTCAAGACAGATATAGTAAAATCAAGAGATTACTTTTCTCTGTGTAGAAAATGCCTATTAGCAGACACCATTTTTGATAAAGTTTGACAGAATGTTATTCCAAAAAACAATGATTTTAGCACGTTTTACTAAAAACACTTCAAATCTAGCGATTTATATCGAATTTTTACCAAATTATCTACCGAAAAAAATGTATGGTAGTGGAAACACTGGTTAGAAGTCAACTCATTGTTCATTGGCTCCCACCTAATAACTTTTCCAACTTTTCCAACTTTTTATAGGGGGTGCCGAACTTTTCCAACTTTTCCAACAACTTTTCCAATTTTCGACCGAACTTTTCCTTGTTTGCAACACTAGTCCTATGTCTAATAACTGAGATATTTTGATATTTATGATAAAACGTATAATTGTAATAAAAATTATTAAAAGTAAAAAGTGAGGTTGGATAGATCTGACAGTTATCGATTTTTTTAACATTTTGCTTTATTTACCAAATACAAAAAAATAATTTTTAGGAATTTGTTACATTTTCCTTCTGAATGTTTCCTTCTGTGCTTCTTTATGGAAAGATTGAAACAAGTGCGGGCATTAACGTGACGGACCCCAATACCAATAAATCCACAAATCCTCCACACAAAAAAATAATTAATCATAAAAAGGAAAGAACATTGATTGACATTACCCACCTCATAAATAATACATTACAAACTTCCTTTCCGCGCCGGAAACGTCGCATAAAAGCATAACGGCCTGCTTTGTATTAGTTGGCGATTAACCTTTTAGCCTGCTTCATTTGTTTTTTGTTATTGAGCGACGCCGATTTTCGCAGGATGAAGATCAAACAGGCCGATAACAGGAAACAAAGGAGCTGCATGTCGATTTTGTCGGAAACTTTCAGAGATTTCGCTGAGAATACAAGCATACACGGCCTAAAGTATACTGTAAGGAGCGACACCAATCCTTATGAAAAGTAAGTTTATGTAGAGAAGATAATAAAACTAAACATAAAAGTATTTAAAGATCGTTGCGAAAACTATTAATCAATTAATTAATTATTAATTTTATTCAAAATGACCAGTTTTTTCTTAAAGAATAGAATATTTTGCAAATTTTAAGCTATATCCTTTGGATATACAGGGTGTCCCAGAACTCGCGCCACAGAGAAAAAAGGAACGTGTCGAAAGTAATGCGAAATATACTTAAAAATTAAAACTGTCTAACGCAAAGGATAAGCGAGATAAGAATAAAAAACGATACATTCAGGAGAAAAATGTAACAAATTCCTAAAAATTATTTTTTTGTATTTGGTAAATAAAGCATAATGGTAAAAAAAATCGATAACTGTCAGATCTACCCAACCTCACTTTTTACTTTTAATAATTTGTATTATAATTATAGGTTTTATGCATACATGTATCATTATTTTAAAACGTTGTATGCCATTCGGCTAAGAAGTGTCTTTTTGTGCTTCGCTCAGTTGTAGGTCTCTAAAATGGCTTAAATACCTATATCTTGTAAAAAAAATTATTAGATGGAACGTTTTTTTGATTTTAAACGTACTTTCCAGAAAAAAACTATAAAAAAATTTGATGTCAAGTTCTATTATAATACAATTTTTGAGTTTTTTTTTTAAACATGAATTTTTCAAGTTTGCAATATTTTTTTTAAACCTGATTTATTTTGCTATTAATGCCTCTTTTCCCAAAGTGGCCCGACTTTTCTTTCTATATTTTTTTATTGAAAAACCTTTTATTTCTATAATAAAATCAAGTACCTAACCATTGTGTAACCTTATCATTATTCATTATAACATATCATGAAACGATTTACTTAAATAAATAAACAATTAGCATAAATCAAAGTTTTTTTATGAAAAAAAAATACAAATAAATAAAAATTATTATTATTATTAAAAAAAATTTATGGTTTTTCTCAAAAAAAATAAATTAACATTTTTGTATTTTTTTCTAAAAAGGGTAAAAGAACAAAAAATTAAAAAAAAACATTTTTTTTAATTCTTTTTTTAGTTGGGTAAAAAATATCCACTCAAAAAAGCGTTTTTAAATACCCAAATCTTTTTTAAAAATTAACTGAATTCTTTAAATTGCTAGGATACTTGGGTGAATATTTTAAAACTGTCGATTTTCGGAACCATTTTCGTTAACATATGAAAAAATTACAAATCTTATTAATTTTGCACTTTTAGGTCTTTTCAACATAAAGAAGAAAACGTAAATTTTTTAGAAAGTTGAACGGTTTTACTTGGCCATCTCTTATTCTTCTGCGTCTCTTTGGTTTTGTCATTTTAATTAATTTCCCACTGAAATGAAATATTTTAAATTGGTTACATGTAAGGGACACGACAATGACGAGCACGGTAATGATAATTTTAGGGTTAGAGTGTTTTACAATGTTTATTCGAAAATGTAATGGAATTTTCAAGTTACCATTTGCTTTTTGTTAATGCAAGACTCCTTTGTATTAATGTAAATATTTTGCATGTCCATAAACTTTGAAATAATACTCACCCCGACAATGACGGACTTAGACGTAACAAGCCGTTTTCGTTTTCATTCGGCGCACGTCACAACTTTATGGTTTGACATATGCTAGTGGACGTTAGACAGGCAGGATATTTCCATATCAGACGTTCGAAAACTTTCGGCATTTTCCGAATGTATCGCGTATTTAAATATGAAATTAGACACATTTTAAGTAGCCACGGCAATGACGCTCATGGGTGTAAACAAAGTTTAAACGGCATTAAAAGAAAAGTTAACATTTTAAAATGCAACTTCTTGCTAGCATTGTATTGTTTTGTATTTTCTTCGCCTGTGTTAGACAGGATATTGCAAGATTTAATTTGTAAATAAATGTAAGAAAATAATATGTTGTTGATCTTCGAATGTGAACAAGGCACGGTAATGACGTTTACGACACAAAATTTCAAATATATTTTTTACTATGCTCGTTTAGACTAAAATAAGTAAGGAATCAAGTAAAAATACACTCACAGGCAAAATAATCGATCCACACAAATTTTCGATGAATTTCAATCGCAAATAACTTTTTTATTTGATGTCGGATTTAAACGAATATTAAAGAATATTGTAGATAAATTAATAGACAATCGCTCACATTTTAAAAAAATACTAAAAAATAGACGTACGTTTATAATATAGAGGTTTAAACAAAAAGATGTTTTTTACCATAAGTTTAAGACACTCTGTAGAGTGGCAAAACCGTATATTGTTCTAAATTAAGTTTTATTTATCAAGTCACATCTATTCTTAACAGTTTTGATTTTGGTTCACCTCGATATATTAATTTTTGTGGAAAATTTGGATTTTAAAAAAAAACATTGCAATTTCAAATATTTTTCTGTATGAAGAACTAAGGTTGCTATGGTCCATCCATAGGCTATGGAGAATGACAGTGACAGTTTTGTTGAATAATCCCATACTTGGACAAGTCATACACGGCTTTCAAAAGCTATCAAATTGTTTTTTTGCAAATTAATGTTTAAATTTTGAGGTGTCTTCTTACTTTAAAAAATGGATATGTCTCCGACTGATGTTGCCAGAGCCAATAATTTAATCCAGGATGGACGGTCACAGTATTACGTGACAAGTGTTTTAAACGTTACAAGAAGTAAAGTCCAAAGGGGCAACATCAGTCGAAGATATTTTTAAAAGTAAGAAGACCTCAAAATTAACACATTAATTTACAAAAAACAATTTGATAGCTTTTGAAAGATGTATATGACATGTCCAAGTATGGGATGATTCAACAAAACTGTCACTGTCATCCTCCATAGGCTATGGATGGACCATAGCAACCTTAGTTCTTCATACAGGAAAATATTGGAAATAGCAATGTTTTTTTTTTTAAATCCATATTTTCCACAAAAATAAATATATCAAGGTGAACCAAAAACAAAACTGTTAAAAATAGATGTGACTTGATATTTAAAACTTAATTTAGAACAATATACGGTTTTGCCACTCTACAGAGTGTCTTAAACTTATGGTAAAAAATATATTTTTGTTTAAACCTGTATATTATAAACGTACGTGTATTTTTTAGTAATTTTTAAAATGTGAGCGATTCTCCATTAATGTATCTACAATATTCTTTAATATTTGTTTAAATCCGAAATCAAATAAAACAGTTATTTGCGATTGAAATTCATGGAAAATTTGTGTGGATCGAATATTTTGCCTGTGAGTGTATTCACCCAAATACAAAAAGTCGCCACCTCGTGACTATAATAGTAATAACACTCTGGGAATAATCTATATAAGGGTGAATATCCAAAACGGGAATAAATTGGGGTGGTAAAAAAATAAAACACTAGCAAAATAATACCTTAATGTGTATTTATTAATAACATAAAGTAATTTCAAGGCGGCTATAAATTAAACTTAATATATACATATAGTTATAAAAATAATACTATTAGATCATTTTTTTAAAGAACAATTAAATTAAATTTATTAAAATTTAACTATATATTATTAATTATCTTTAATAATGCCTTAACTTATATGAGCTAAGAGTTTAGGGCAACCTTTTAACTCCATGGAGTTGATGTCCATGGAGTTGATGTTTTTATAGTTAAAGTCACAAACTTTAGAAAATGGTACATAATGTATCTTTAGTTAACTGTAATTTAAGCAAAGCATATTTGGTTATTTCACCTGGAGAAAGTTTAAATTTCAATTGTATTTAAATCCCTTTGTTATTAAAGACATGGAGTTGATCTTTAATAAAAATACTTACCCTTTTTTTCGCAAATAATTGTTCTTTATAAATTTTTATTAAATATTACACCCCCTTTGCCTTGCTTACACAAATCAACACTAAATCATTCAAACGACGAAGTCTTCAAACATTACTAAAATACGTTTTATACAGGGGATTTATCATATATTAAAAGACTGCAAAGAACTCAGCTGTAAAATGGTGTCTCATGCTTTATTCGACATTTTGGGTTAAAATATCAATAAGTTTGCTTTTCGTTGTGTTTTTTTATACATTCCAAGTTAGAGGAAATGCAATATGAAAGAATCATTTCACAATTGCATCTAGTCTAATAGTATATGTATGATTTGTTGTCCCTACGCTAGGTGGTGACAGTCCATGGAGTTGACTTTAAAGCGTTTAAGCAAATTCAAATTAATAAAATAAATAATGTTTTATTTTTTTGGTTAAGTACGTTCTACTGCTAGACATAAACTGTCTATTGTAGTGTTATTTAAATGCTAACTACTTTCATTAGTATACTTTCAGCATATTTGCTCCATTCTGGAGAATCACCCATAAGTAGTAATGTGTAGCATTGTTTTTGCTGTCTTGCAGGATGTTTTGGCTGCTGATAGTTTTGAGCGGAGTATGCGGCGCCATTTACATGACAATACTGTTCTGGGAGCGATACACTAGCAATCCGACGCGCACTACGATATTAACAACGTTCGCTCCGACCGTCATCATACCGTTCCCGGCCGTTACCGTTTGCAATATCAATCGCATTATGGTCGACAAAGTCGACAGCTTCGTAGACGAACTGTAAGTATGCAGAAAGGTTGGTAGTCTTGGAATTTAAAATATTATAAACGTTAATGTTATCGATGCATGGGCAGGCCCCCCTACGCGACGCAAATAAAAAAATATAAATCGGACTGATAAAAAAATCAACTATTTATTATTTGCATAAAGGTAAAATATTGGGCGTGTAAAAATTTCACATATTAATATTATTATTAAGAGGCTCCCCATCGCGATTTTCTATTTTTCATTTAATAAGCATGAAAAAAAAAACTTGGAATAATATATTTTTTTAACGGATTAATGGACCTAAATGGAAATTTTATTTTTATTTACATTATACAAGGTGTCCCTAAACTTATTGGCATAAATTTAGGAAAAGATTGAGCAAGTCAAAATAAGACGAAAACCTAAATAAATATTTTTCCTAATTACTTATGTTTCCAAGATACAGGGTGATAAAGTGTTACCTATCATATCAGTTTTTTTAATATAACTTCTACTATGGTAGTCTTGAAAACGTGATATTTTGCGAAGAGTCACTTACTACCAAAACACATATTCACACGTAATTACAATTGTTTGAGTGAACACAGTGTCGTAGAAACGGGGGATGCTTTAAGCTTATTGTCCCATACAAACTTTGAGGTTAGGTTTTTATAACATTTGATAAAATTTTTCGATTATTCAGTTCGGCTACTATTAAAAAGGTGTACCTCAAACTTCTATAAAATAAACCGTTTCCGAGATATTCGAGATTACAATAATTGTTATATCGCATTAATGCGATAATAATTATTTAAAAGGATTAAAAGGTATGTGATAACAAATTTTATTTTTTAATTGAAAAAATTAAAAAGGGCATTCCATGAGCCTCGAGACTTTTTGCCGTGACGGTCACATTAAAAAAAATTGTTGTTTTTTTCAATTAAAAAATTTGTTATCATATACCTTTTAGTCCTTTAATGCGATATAACAATTATTGTAATCTCGAATATCTCGGAAACGGTTTATTTTATCGAAGTTTGAGAGGTACACCTTTTTAATAGTAGCCGAACTAAGTAATCTAAAAATTTCATCAAATGGTATAAAAACCTAACCTCAATGTTTGTATGGGACAATAAGCTTAAGCAACCCCTGTTTCTACAACACTGCGTTCACTCGAACAATTGTAATTATGTGTGAATATGTGTTTTGGTAGTAAGTGACTGTTCACAAAATATCACGTTTCCAGGACTACCATAGTAGAAGTTCTATTAAAAAAACTGATATGATAGGTAACACTTTATCACCCTGTATCTTGGAAACATAAGTAATTAGGAAAAATATTTATTTAGATTTTCGTCTTATTTTGACTTGCTTAATCTGCTCCTAAATTTATGCCACTAAGTTTAGGGACACCTTGTATAAATATTATTTTTATATATAATTTAAAGTAAACGATCTACAAAGAGGTCTCTTATTATTTTATAATAATTATTTAAATCTACTTGTTCAAAAGTTATTCAAGCTTACACGTATAGTAAATTTCAAGTTTTTCTTACTTTTCTGCTTAAACTATTAGACTTATAGCAAAACGTTATAGGACTTTGGTAGATTATTATAGTTTTACAATTCGTCACCTGAGAATTATAGTGTTGTTATAGTTGATTTTAAGAAAAAAAGTTTAAATAAACCTATGACCTAAACCTCTTAATTTTTGAGTTACAGGGTTACGGTTAAAGTGTTAAGAAAAAATTCGTTTTTTTATCATAACTTCTAAGATATTTTTATAAAATTTGGCACACGCCTTCTAAGCATTAACAGTAAGTTTTTGATGTAGAAGATTTTTTATTTTTTTTACCAGTGGCGTCCGTACAGGATGTGGTCTAGATATTTATGGAAAAATATTATGCACGCCACTGCTATTTTTCAAAATAAAAATTATTTTTTAAATCCCCATTCGTTTTAGGGCAAATTTGATTTCTTGGCCATTTTTCGTACAACTAACGGTTTTCGATGAAAAAAATATAAAGCATTTAATGCGCATATTGAGAAAACAATGCCATGATTAAATAAACATTAAAATTAAATTTAATTATAAAATAATTTTAAAAGAACTAACATTAAATAACGTAAACAAAAACAAAAATAATTTAGATTAGCTGTTGAAAGTGGCCACCACCTGCAAGTACCCTTTCTGGAGTATTTCTGATAGTGTCACAACAAACTATTATGCGGTTTCTCAACTCCTCCTCAGTATTTATTGGGGTGCTGTAAACCAACGCCTTAAAATGTCCCCATTGGAAAAAATCAAGATTGTTTAGGTCTGGCGATCTAGGTGGCCACGATTGTGTTCCTCCGCGCCCTATTCAGCGATTTCTATAATATTATAAAATAGAAAGATTTTGTCTAAAATATTTTTTTATATTTGTAATAGATGTCGCTGTAATAAAAAATCAATTTTGTTCGATTTCTCTTTTGTATACCATTCTGCAATATTTTTTTATAAAATACTTCTGGGATGTTATTATTAATAATACAAATTTTGCTCAAAAAAATTTGCCTATTTACTGAGATATTTCAAGTTTTAAGTTATAATTACAATTAGGTACTAACTAATTTTGTAGACATTTAAAAGGCGATGAAGCCGAGCTGGCCAAAAGAGCCCTACCACAACTATTGGCATTCACTCATCCAACATTTACAAAATTCAACGTTACGGAATTGCAAACACTACAAGCAATTTTGGAAAATAATGAAATAACAGACATAAACTACATTATGAAGAGAATTACGCAATCTTGCCCCGAAATGTTGGTCAAGTGCGTTTGGAGCTACAAGGAAGAAGAATGTATGGAGTTGTTCAGAGAAACGTTGACTGTTAATGGGCACTGTTGTTCCTTTAACTACATTGAAAAGTGAATTGTAGGTTTTTAAAGGTTGATTGATACTTAAATATGTTTTGTAGATTTGAGTCAGAAATGGTTCACACACCCTATCATGGTCCTTCATCAGGATTATACCTAATTTTGGATACAATGACACAATCTGTTCAGCATACCCCACTTTATTCCAAAGGAATGCAGGTTATGAAATAGATTTTTTTCTTTCCATCTCAAATTGACCAAGCAAAAGGGGTAGGTCCCCAGTAAACACAATTACGTAAATATTACATAAATATGACGTCATGTCAAGTCACGCTTACGTAAGATATAGGTCACACTTGAGTCATACAAGAGTCATTATTTCACACTTCCTTACGTCAGACTCTGACGTAATAAATATGACATAAACATCTTGATGTAACACTGACATCATACCATTACATAATATTTACGTAATAAATGTGACATAAATATGACCTTAGAATGACGAAGCCCCTTCCTTATTTTTCATCATGGGGCAAAAATTTTGCCACAAAATAAGTGAATACTGGAAACAGCTCACTAGGCTGAAACCAGTTCCCTCTTCCAAATGAGTAAATTGTGGGTTAGCCACGGATCGCCAAGAATTCCAGTGAAAAAGCTAAATTTTATCTTGGGCCACAATTCGTGACTCATTTATTTGCCGAGGTTCGGATTCCTAAATCTCAAATTGCAATGCAGCCAGTGTCAACTTATATACTTAACGAATAGTGCCACATAAGCGAGATGTATTATGCAATAGTGGTTGCCTATGATAAGTAGATTTTTACTATATTATAGTAGATACCTACTTATCATAGGCAACCTTTACTGCATATTGCAACTGTTAACAATTAATATATCAATGTTATTTGACAACTTTACCCTTATTTGTCTGAAACACAATAACCGGACCATATTATAATATTATTATAAAATTTGTTTATCAATGAAGAATTCTTGAATCGTTTGAAAGTCGATCGTTTGAAAGACGATTGGACGAATTCGCGTCTAAAGACGATCGTCTTTAGACGATTTTTCCCCATGGTACCTCTGTATTTGGAAATTGAAATTTTAGTATGTTAAACAAGGCATTAAATATATAGGTACTACCAGAGACAAGGGTACTCTGGGTACTACTTTTTGACTTAAACCAATTTCTAAAATGGCGTCGTACTGTCAAAAGGTCACATTTTTTTCAATGGGAAATGGAATCATTATCGAAAAGGTATTTATTGCAAGCTGATACTTTATCTAATTTATGAAGCTGATCAAAACCAACTCACAATGGATTTTGAACCAACTACTAATTTTTCAGATTCTTTACAGGGGTATTTTAGAAATAAGAACAAAAAAAATCGCTTTTTATGAGTAGGTAGCTATAGCTATAGGTAACATTTTTTGACATGCATGGATTAAAAAAAAAACAAATGACGTCGTACTGCCAAGGTCACATTTTTTTGAAGTGAGTGAAATATCATTTCAGGTATTTTAAAGCGTAACTAGTTATTTTTTCGATTGTACAGGGTGGAACAAAAAAATTCCACTTTCACCAAAAGCGCCATTTTCAAAAAATAATAACAGTAACATACAATACAAAAATAACACGTTAACACGTAATAACACGTAAATCTTTTGTTGATAATTTTTTACAATTTAAAAAATAAGTAGGTAGGTACTTGCAAGTACTTGCAACCATGATTATGAGTACCTACATGATTTTTCACATGACCATTGAATAAAATGTGTACTTTTGAAAGTACGACGCTATTTTCAAAATTTTTTACGTCATAAAGCAGTAGGAACCGGATTCATAAAAATCTATATGATGTTTATTACATATTAAATTAAGATACATTATTTTTTGATTAATTTTAAAACATATTTTCATTTAATCGACCAAGTACTAAGTAGCCAAAAAATTCAAGGAACTTCGCGTTATTTCTTTCATAATGCTAGATGCAAAAGTAATTTCAAAATATGAAATTTTCTGTATTTTAATGTTTGAATTAAACTGATTGGTAAGGAAAAGTATCCACTGATTTTATTGTTTAAAATAATCAGCGTCAATTTCAATTAATAGAATTTACTTACGTTATTTTACTCAATGATTGGAATTAACCATTTTAATCAATAAAAAATAAAAATTATGTTTGCCTATTTCATTCATTGAAAATAAAAGTCCATTCATTGACAGATTTCTTATGTCAGTCTTACCTTACAAAGTGACCTTAAACTTATGTAATGGTATGACAGATTTCTTACGTCAGTCTTACGTAAGAAAGTGACCTAAAACGTATGTAATAGTATGACGTATTTCTTACGTCAGCCTTACGTAAGAAAGTGACCTTAAACTTAGGTAATATTATGACAGATTTATTACGTCAGTCTTACGTAAGACAGTGACCTAAAACTTATGTAATATTATGACAGATTTCTTATGTCAGTCTTACGTAAAAAAAGTGACTTTAATGTTACGTCACGATATGACTTTAATATTACATAAGATGTACGTAATATGTAAGTCATTTAATTACATCATATAAAAGTCACGTTTTGGGTCAGTATTATGTCACTATGACGTAAAAATTGTATTACCTAGATATGATCTACGTGTTACGTAAATTTTAGGTCATAAGTCACGGTTTGGTTCACTGGGTCGTTATTTTTTAACGACATTTTTTTACAGTTTAACTACCGAAATCAATGAGACACGTATTTTTAAAAAATTGACAGAAACATCGATTTTTTTTACGAGTGGCATTTTTTCTTGAAAACTTTGCCAAAAATGTTACATTTTTTTTTAATTGTATGTAAATGTTTACTACATACAAAAAAATATAAAAAATTAAGTGAATTTTTCTAAACATGCAAAAAAAATTAAGGTCAAAATGTTGACATTTACTTACACATTTTTTTTACTTTATATTTTTTCGTTTGAAGTTGATAGTTTGAACAACTTCGTCATTTCGGAATTATTATTTTTTAATAAAAATGTCATTTTCTAGTAAAGTCATCGCAAAAATTTTGTTTTTCAGCTAGGGTCATGAAACTGAGGTGACCTATGTGAAGGGTAATTTAGAACTTTTTGACATATTTAACATATCACTTTTGGTTTCACCGGAACAGCTCTTAAGTAAATTAAATTATTAAAGATTTTAGAGTAAAATGTAAACTAATATTTTTGCATTTTAAAAGATGTAAAAAGTATATGTGGGCGTTTTATGATCTGTTATTTTTCTAAACAATATTAGCTTGAGACAATGAGTTGCCCAGTTTACAGAGAAACGCCCATGTACCTAAGTTAATTTTGGTTAAAATAATAAAAAGTACTACATACCTAAAAGTAATGAATCGAATTCACAGGAAACTTATGAAAACGCGATTACGAAGAAATGTAGATATGAGCGAGACAGTCGCAAAACTCTTTTTGACTGAGGCTCTATCTGAAAGGGAAATAAGTATTAACAAATTATTTGATTTCATATTTTGTTTTTTTATTTATTGCCAGAGATTCCCCACAATGGCCACACTTTGTAGATATGTTAGATATAACTTTTTATAATTGTTTCATTTAGTAGTTTTAAAACTAAAAAATGTTGAGCAATAACGTAAACCCCTTTGATTTTAACCACTTACTTATTTTTATGTCATTTTATAAAGAGTTTTAGCGTATATAAAAACATATTATGTTTTTATAGTAAAATAAAATGTTCACTTACCAGCAAAACAAACTAACGAACTGTCAAATCTGATAAAAACAAAGGTTTCAAAGCCTTCTTAATTTATTTACTTCTTTACACACTTTAAAACTTAATAAATATTTAAATTTAATCACAGATTATAAAGGTTGAAAGAAATATTATTAAAAAATGGATTTCTTTTATAACAAAAGAACCACCCTCTTTTATTGAAAAAAATAGTTTTGTCAAAAGCATGATACAAGGAAACATGTTATGCTACTATTGAAACCAAATTTCGTCCGCCACGCGCATGTCACATTCGTCAACCGAAACTAGATATTTGAATTGCTGGTGCAGTCTTTAATGATATTATTGTGTTTAATTAGTAATTATTAGCTGGCCATACACAGACGTTATTGCGCGCGGTTTATCGTGTTATCTGCATAAACATATGGAAAATCATGTACGTGAGTGAGTATCGCCGCGCGAAATGATAGAACGGGAAGGGATTTCAGACGTGCTTTTCTCTGGAGTGTGGCGTGTCCACACGCCATATTCCGCGTCACGGTTTACCTTTGCTTGGCAAAATTTCACTTTGAAAATTTGTACATGATCACATGCAGTTTCAAACGACTCGATAAATGACACTTTTTGCCCACTCACATACGATTTTTCCTTTGAAACTGATATACCACGGGCAATCACTTGCTAAATCATTTGAATACTTTATTAAGTGTATGGAACATGACGCTTTTTTTGCCACGCCGTTCTTTCGTGCATGCAAACCGCTACATGCCAACACGCCACGATAAACCGCGCGAAATAACGTCTGTGTATGGCCAGCTATTAGCAGAGAGAATTGTGTGTATTATTATATATAAATCTAAGATATTTAATATTGTGTTTTTATAATTATTTATGTGTGTGGGATTAATTTACAATGCCAAACTGCAGTTTGCAGCACATGTGCTGTGGCTATGTGGTTAATTATAATAAAAGGTAACAGGTAACATTATAAAGTTATACATAAATTAAATCTTTTTTTTTAATTTAGTTTTTGGAGATTATGTGCTTCAAAAACCAGCACCTGTTTTTTGACAGCTGTCATTCAGGCATTTGTCATTTTAACAGATGTCATTTTGGCAACTGTCATTTTGACAGTTGTCATTTTGAACAAAGTCTAAACTATTGCATGGAAGTTGGAGGAAATCAGTTTAAGTATACTAAAAATAAAAGTTGTAATATTACATCTTTTATTTTTGAATTATCGACCTTATTGTGATTTAACAAACATTTTTATTTTCGTTCGTTGACATATTTTTGAAATCTTTAACACAAAAATTCTAGAAATTAAATTAAAAATTGCAAGAAACTTAATTCTTTTAAAATCCGGCTATTATGTAAAAATAAAAGAAGTTCGATAATTCGAAAACAAAAGCCTAAATAATAGTTATTTATGTCATCAGGCTTTTTGTGCTAAGCTCAAGGTTGAGCGAAGCACAAAAATGCACTTCTTGGCCAAATGGCATACAGCATTTTATCTTCAAAGCACTTTATATAGGTCAATTTAATTCAACATCAAAGCGGCCTAACCTCACTTTTTTAGAATCTCATTTATTTATTAGCTAAAGATTACATTACTTAAATGTACAATAATTATTATTGCTTTTAGAAGCAGTAATAGTTTGACAATACCTAGCAACATGATTTAAGTAGAAATGGATTTTTGCTATTACATTGAATTCAATTAATTCTTTAATAAATAGGTAGGTATCTAATTTCAATTTGTTTGGATATTTATTTAAAAAATAGGTAGTTTGGAATGTTTTAGCTGTGTGTAACATTTAATTTCACTGAACACTTAAAGCATATTAAAACTTAAAGATAATTTAAATCGTAGAAAAAGAATCGTGCGTTTTCTTGGTTGCCTAACCTCACTTTTTGTTTTATTATGCATATTTAATTTTACAATAATTTAATGAAAAATATTAAACATTAACAGTAAAACAAACAAATTAGTTCTTATTATAAATAAATTAAACCAGTTTAGTACGTTAATTTCTTAGATAATAATTAATTTGTCAAAACAAGCGAGAAAAAATCGAACTAATTACTTGCCTCATAAAATTTTTTATCGGCCTAGGCCATAACAAGGTATTTCTTTATCGAATGTTGACAACAATAAAGTTTAAATTATAGACTGCGTGGAGATAAAAATATTTATTTTCAACATCTACGTTGTTAAATTTAAATAAAACACCCTGTGTTTATAACTTTTACTTCTATTATTTTAAAAATAATAACCATATCAAAAAACAATAATTATTTTATTTGCGCTGCATATATAGTTTAAAAAAATGACAAAATACAAATCCGTAGAAATACTACCTCAAACCAATTTTCTCTCACAATCAGTTTTAATAAATCGGCCGTCATACATGTAAATTTAAAAAAACGCGAACGCGCTCCTCAAAATTACATTGGAGCAAGTGGATATCTTTGATGAGCGTGACGTCACACAGTGGATCGATAGATAGGAATTTGTGGACATAGCACCAAAGTGTGAGAAGATGAGGACATTTTAGGTTTAAAATAAATACTTATCAATTAAATAACGTTGTTATTTACAAAAGTAAATATAAAGTCTAGTTACTTGATATACAAGGCGTTTTAATACACCAAGGTCCACTATAGAAAAGGTTTACCAAGTTTTTGGTTTTTTATTTTTATCTTTTTCAAAAAAAAATTTTTTTCCACGAAATTTGGTGAAAACTTACCTTTTTATGTCCCAAATACACTGTAATTTATTTGATTTGAAATATTTATTATTTCGCCTTATTTTGACTTAATATCAAAAAAGCACCCTAATTTTCAATCGTAAATTCTCGCGTCAAAATATCAGCTTTTTTCAAAAAGTCGGTGTGCTTTTTGTTTGTTGAAATCTCTACTTTCTGATGGTGTAAAAAAAAATATACATTACTATGGTAAATGTTCTCAGAAAATGCAAAAAATATTATAATGAATAACGAAAAAAACTCGAATTCGAAAATTTATTTTAATCATTATGTACAATTTCATCAAAAAAATGTGATTGTTGCAATTTTTTTTAGTTAAAATGTTTATTTATTAAATTCTAATAACATTTATGTCAGAAAATCTCTTAATATATAAAAATACATGTAAATCATACTATTGAATTTAAATCTAATTAGATACTTCATTCTGATTACGTTATTCATTATAATATTTTTTGTATTTTCTGAGAACATTCACCATAGTAATGTATATTTTTTTTACACCATCAGAAAGTAGAGAGTTCATCGAACAAAAAGCACACCGACTTTTTGAAAAAAGCTGATATTTTGACGCGAGAATTTTCGATTGAAAATTAGGGTGCTTTTTTGATATTAAGTCAAAATAAGGCGAAATAATAAATATTTCAAATCAAATAAATTACAGTGTATTTGGGACATAAAAAGGTAAGTTTTCACCAAATTTCGTGGAAAATTTTTTTTTTTTTAAAAGATAAAAATAAAAAACCAAAAACTTGGTTTTTTGAATTTTTCACATAAATTTTGAGGTTATGTGAAAAAATTGTAAATACAAAAGTTGTAGATCTTTTTATTACCTACAACTTTGTCATTTAACTTTTTTCCATAGGACTTGTAGTTTTGCCGGAAATCGAGATAAACCATTTTTTACCCTTAAAACCCCCCCCCTCCCACTTCCCGAACTCAGATCGCCCGTAATTTATTTTTCCTTTAATTTTTATTATATTCCCCTCCTTTTCCAATGGGTTTCATCCTACTGTTATTTTTTTTCTCTTTTTACCATTTTTAAAGGCTTCTGCACTGGTTCTATATGCTCCATGACACTATTATCTATATTTTCCAAAGTGGCGCCTTGTGGCGGCAAATCTCTGTACATTTGTTTTAAATAACCTTTGAACTCCATAACAGCCATAAAAGAAGTTTATGCATATTTAAGCATTTTTTTAAAACTCAAGATAAAGTTTAGATTTGTGTAACGCATTGTATAACAATAAAATTTTAAAAATTATTGTTATTAAATACGTGTTGGTATTAAGTTAACCGGGCAATTTGCAAGCTTAGTTATCATATAAAATAAAACTATAAAAAAATATATAAGTTTTTGTTAAGGTATGAAGTTATGCTGTTTAATTTGTAAAAGTCAGTTTAATAAGGAAAATAACAAAAAACATTCTTTACGAAAAACGCCTTCTGTACTGTTTAGTATGTTGCCAAAAAAAATTGTTATGCTTATTTTTAACAAATTTGAAGTTTTTGGGAGACATTTAAAAAAAAAATGATATCAAGTTAGTAATTTTGCATAATTGCTGTATGTCCACTAACATATATGAGCTCGATCCACTGTGCGTCATAAGGAGCGAGAGAGACAGCGCATACCATGTTTCCTTGTATCATGGGCAAAAGTATGGTTTTTCAATTTTTGAAAGCTCCTAAAAAACAGCATTCCAAAAAAGGAATAAAATTTTATTTTTTCCAGACTACTTGGCCCAACATGAAGCAGAAAAGCCAATTCAAGGCACTCTATAGATATAGAAATAAAATTTAATCAAAAAATTATTTGACCTGTCAAAAATTGACAAATGACATATGAATGTATTCAGAATATTATTTTGAATACAAATATGTAAAAATGCATAGGGTGTTCCATTAAAAAACAAAAATATGTTAAATATGTCAACATGTTTTAAATCACTCTTTGTTTAAAAAAAAAAATATTTGTATGCAAGAAACATTTACCTACAATTTAAAAAAAAATTGTAACGATCGAAACATTTTTGGGCAAGATAACGGATTTTCAAGAAAAAATGTATCTCGTAAAAAGAGAAAAACGATGTTAATGTCCATTTTTCAAAAATTTACTACGGGTGAACAAAACAAATTGAAGCAAAAAGAAAAAATTTGTTAAAAAATAACGACTACATCTTTTTGCCTGATCGATTTCAGATGGAAAGAACCAATTAAAAAAACATTAAAACTTTTTGTTAGGTTATGCTCCATAGTCCACAAGACTACCCAGGCGACGGAGCCATATTCAAGATGGTGGCCAAAGGCAGGCAAACCGATCTGCAAATACTTGGAACCCAACTTAAATGTAGCCCAGGCGTTTGGTCTCTACCAGTGGAGCAAAGGCAGTGCGTGTCCCCGGAAGAAGTGGAGCCTCTATTTTTTCACGAAAAATATGCAGACACCAACTGCTTAACGGAATGCGACGCCAAGTATTTTATAGAGGCTTGCAACTGTGTGCCGTTTTATTTTTATTTTTCCGGTAAAGATAAATATGTAAAAATGTTGTTTTCTTGATGCTTGGTGGTTTTAGGAATAAATGTTTGCAATATGAAGCAAATAAATTGTTTAAATAATGCCACTAAAGGTAAGTTAAATTAAATCAACCAACAACCCTTTAATCGTTATTTCTGGTAATTTTGAAACATCTACATTTTCATCCATTTTTTGATTTTTTTCGTCCACTAGATTTTGAGTTACCGCACCATCATTTGTTTTTCTTATGACTATATAACTATAGATAGAAAAAAATTAAGGAATCCAACGATGTATCAAATTTACCCTATAAGTTAAATCATTTTTAGATAAAAATAAGTATTTGTCGTAAAAAAATACTCTCATTTAGTTTAGTAAATTAAATTCGTGACTAAAATGGCGTTCATCCCAGCAAACACATAAGTCAGGTAATGTAATGGCCCATTACAGCGTTTAATGGTTAAATGATGGCATTTTTAACCCAAGCTGTTCTTGTACTGGGCCTTTACAGGAATTTTTCGTTAATAAATGTCAATTTAGACAAAAGGCTGTCGTGGTAAGGTCTTGCAATGGCCCTTTTCAGGCAATGATATGTATAATTTAACATTAAAGGCCCACATATGGCAATTATAAGTATCAAGTTAATGGAACTGTAACATACCATTACAGTGCCAAATGTTTTCCTTTGCTTTACACCATATTTACTAATGAATTGCCTCATGTTAGTGGTATTATGCATATGCATATAGAAAAATAATATAGGTTTTGAGATATATTAATTAATTATCTAATAGGTGTATTTTATAATTAATTATTAATGAACTAAACAACTAGGTAGTACCTTTTTCAAGTAAGTATTTTTACTGTACAATTTATACATTAATGTCGTACTATTTAATAACCTGGGTTAATATATTCTTTTACTAATGATACTTTTAAGTAAAAATTAATTATTTTTAGAAACGGTTAGGCTAAAATTTGAATTAGCCACTACAAAAGATATTGAAAATACTATAAAAGCATGGTTAAGGGGAGCAATCGACAGGAATGGTGGTCGTAAAAATCGAGAGGAAAAAAATCAATGAAATTATTAATTTTTCTTATTTTAATTTTTTTTTAAGAAATTTGATTTTATTTTATAATATTTGTTAAGTTTTTTTTTTAATTAAATATGTTATGTTATAATTATGTTTGAATTACATGTATTTTATAACACATTAAACACTTTGTATTTTTTAATTTTTTGAAAGTTTTAGGGACATTCCATGATAACGAAATTTTTGTCCCGACTGTTATCTATATAGTAAAGTACCTATCTATTATGGTGGATTAAATTTGGTAGGTATACATTTATTATAATAAATGTATACCTACCTATAGGTCGAATATTACACGATAATCGGGAATGTTTATCCCTACCGTCAAAAATCGGTCGGGATAAATTATTTCAATTATCATGGAATATCTGTACCTAGTTAATATATAGGTAGGTACCACATTTAATCCGACATAATAGGTACTTTACTTATCCATTAAAGAATATTTAACTAACCACTATAGAATCTTTAACACCCCATATAAGAACCTTTAGCTTGCCACATTTGTACCTTTAACCTGCCATATCGGAACCTTTAGCGGTTCTTGTAAGTGTCTTTATCGACTGCCGTTACATGCCCATAAAAGGTGAACGCGACATAATATGTAGAGGTCCATTAAAGTCAGCCTTTATAGGGCCTTTAGTTTATTAAAGGCACGCGTTTAAAGGGCCATTACAGAACCTTTACGTTTGTGTTTGCTGGGATCAAACTTGATACATAATATAATGTAAAACATAATTTTTACCCTGAGCCTGTCAGATACAAACACAAAACTAGAAGGTGGGTTGGGTTCTAGTTTTGTGGATACAAATCAATAAATTAATTAAAACGGTTTTAAGGTTAAAATATTTTGAGAACCTCTGTTTTTTTCCAATTTTCAAAAGATATTATTTTTATTTTAAAACAGCTTAGGGCATTTTGAACAGTTCTAAAATTTAAAATCTATTTTGATGTAAATTTTTAATAGCAATAATTTTTTTAATATAATTTTTTTTAGAAAAAAACTTGGAGGAAAGCCGGTCAAAATGTTACTGCCCCTCAGAATGTGAGGATTATGATTACAAAATATTATCAACATCCACAGAAATCCAATTGACCGACTCGATTGAAAATCCGCTAATGTAGGTTTAGGCCGCAAAAACAGATGTCTTCGATTTGCTTCATATTTTAAGGGTCTATTATAGACACTTATCAAAAAATAAAAAATCTTAAAATCAATTTTTAGGTATTTTTGTGGATTTTACAGTGTAAACAATGGAAAGTGGTGAGTTTCTTTGTTTTAGAATATTTTCGAAATTAACTTTAATATTTGTGAAAAAATTTATACATACAAATATTTTTCTTATATAAAAATAAAGAAAATTTAAAAGTAATAATAATAAATAAATCGTTATCTTGAAAAACCGTCATTTTTTAAAATTCTGAACAAATCATACCTATAGCGTTGAGTGAAGAAGAAGAAGAACATGGTACTATATATACATATTATGTAATATAATTTTATTTTAATGTTTTTTCATGGATAACTTGACAGAATAAATTTTTGTAGTTATTATTGTGCATTTTTCTACTTAAAATTTTTCAATAAAATTTAGTAAAGGGTCGTTTTGAGGGGTGGTGAATCAATTGCCGTATAAGCACGGCAATGGATTTAAAAAAATTGCTAATATGAATTCTTAAAAAATTACTCTGAAAAACTGACATAGACTATGTCACATAGTAGGCCTTGTATTTTGAACAAATATGACGTTTTTTGCTCCAAAAATACAATTTATGTACACTTTAAAACAAATCCGGTTAAAATCGCACAATAAATAAATATTTTACAGGAGTCGAAACAAATGGGTCACACTGTATACTATTTTTTTTATTAAATGAAAATTTAAAAAAAAAATAATAAATGAATCGATATTTTGAAAAATCACCTTTTTTTTAACTGAAAAAACCATACATAAGAAAAAAAAATATTTTAAGATTTAATTTTATTTATCACATTCACTTTCCAAATTGGAATTGCCACTAAAAAATTGAAAACCTTTGTTGACGTTCAATAACTGATTACAGAAATCGCAGTGACCGCTTGTAACTAGCTAGTAATTAGTCAGTAACTAGCTAGTAACTAGTCAGAAACTTGTTAGTAACTAGTCAGTTTTAGTCGTAAAGGGTGGGCCATGTTTATGTTGAATTATAAAATAGCAAGGAGAACAAGAAAAACTGATTTTTTTTCAACGAATTTTGCTTTATTTGATACAATGTTTCTTCCGATTAAGTATGGAAAATGATTTTATTTAAGTGGCCACCTCAACTGGCTCGGCAGTAGCCCATCCTGGAACACCAATTTTCGAGCACTTTTTCAAAAGTTTGCTGCTCTATTTAGGCAATTTGAGCTTGAATGTTTTGTTTTAAATGGTGAGGCTTTGTTACGGCGACGTGTGGATTTTCCGTGGCCCAAATCCTACAGTTTTGCTTGTTGACATATCCTCCGAGGTAAAAATGCGCCTCATCCGAAAAGATGATTTTTCTTGCAAAATTAGGGTCATCGTTTAACTGGTTTAAAGCCCACTCAGCAAAGCGAAAACGTTGTGGATGGTCAACTTGCTTTAACTCCTGAACAAGCTGGACTTTGTACGCAAACATACCGAGGTCTTTGTGCAGAATCATCCTCAGAGTGGTACGGGAAAGGCCGAATTGTTGACATCTGCGCCGAGTTGATGTTGACGCGTTCATGCGTACATTTTCGGCCACAGCAGCGATTGCTTCAGGTGTACGTCTAGAACGAGCATGCGAAACATGTTTTATGTCCACCAGCATTCCATTTCTGCGCAATTTTTTGATCAAATTTGTAATACTTTGGTTTGACGGCGCCTCATTTCTTCCAAACGCAATTTTCTTGCCGTCTCTGCGATCACAGTCACATTCAAAGTAAGTTTTGGGTATTTCGAAACGTTGATCCAAATTTATTCGGTGCATATTTTGTAATCGGAAGGTTAAAACTAAACCACTGTCAACAATTCATGGCGCTTAAGTTGAAGCTTCATTAATAGCACGTAGTTTAAAATTCAACTTATAGATGGCCCACCCTTTATTTTCTTCACGTCCCGACAAGTCAAAAAATCAGTAGTGCAATTTATATTTTTTTTTAATTAATAATTTCGAAAAAAGAAATTTTAAAGGCAGCTTAAAAAATGTATGTGTGATTTTTGTTATTTTCCTGTTTAATTTCGAAAATATTCTAAAACAAAGAAACAGTACATTCCATTGTACACTCACGTGCAAAATAATCGATCCACACAAATTTTCGATGAATTTCAATCGCAAATAACTTTTTTAATTGATGTCGGATTTAAACGAATATTAAAGAATATTACTTCTTATGACGTTTAAAACACTTGCCACGTAATACTGTGACCGTCCATCCTAGATTAAATTAATAGCTCTGGCAACATCAGTCGGAGACATATCCATTTAATAAAGTAAGAAGACACCTCAAAATTTAAACATTAATTTGCAAAAAACAATTTGATAGCTTTTGAAAGCCGTGTATGACATGTCCAACTATGGGATGATTCAACAAAACTGTCACTGTCATTCTCCATAGCCTATGGATGGACCATAGCAACCTTAGTTCTTCATACAGAAAAATATTGGAAATTGCAATGTTTTTTAAAAAAATCCATATTTTCCACAAAAATAAATATATCGAGGTGAACCAAAAACAAAACTGTTAAGAATAGATGTGACTTGATAAATAAAACTTAATTTAGAACAATATACGGTTTTGCCACTCTACAGAGTGTCTTAAACTTATGGTAAAAAACATCTTTTTGTTTAAACCTGTATATTATAAACGTACGTCTATTTTTTAGTATTTTTTTAAAATGTGAGCGATTGTCCATTAATTTATCTACAATATTCTTTAATATTAGTTTAAATCCGACATCAAATAAAAAAGTTATTTGCGATTGAAATTCATCGAAAATTTGTGTGGATCGATTATTTTACACGTGAGTGTATATACATTAAAATCCGAAAAAATGCATAAGAAGTGCTAAAATTTTAGATTTTTTTAATTTGAAGACCCTCAAAATTAGAAGCAAATCCGTTTTTCGCGACGCACCTAACATAATCTTCAAAATTTTAGTTTAGAAACAAAAATTACTCCTGATACAGCAATTGTAAATATTTATTTTATTTCCAACACTCAAACAATACTTGTGAGAGATACAATTACATCAACCATTTATTTGTTATGTAAGTATTAAAGTTCAGAATCGCTCTTAAATCTTTACTCACAAGATTAATATTTTTATACATTTTAGCATCTTTTGGAGGAGTATATAGCCTATTTATGGGATGCAGTATTATGACCATAGCGGAAATGATATATTTTTTTGCGGTACGTTTTATTATTAACATGAAATTGTTTGGTAAAGTTGACAATCCTGACAACGAAATTAAACCAATCAAAGTTAAAGAAAAAAAATATTATGGAAACAGTGTTTTTTTGCACTAAAACAACGCTGAATATTTTGATCTAAAAAGTTTATTATTATAATTGAGATAATAAAAATTCAATTATAAATTTATTTTCGCTTATTACAATACAAAATAATAACAAAGTATTTTAAAGCTACAAGTACTTATTTACAGATTTCACGAATTAAAAAAACTTAAACCAAATCATTCAAACCTGGCCTTTGCGTGTAGGGGAAGGTTTTCCCCCTATTTTGCGTATTTCTTTGATACCTTTGCTGGTATTGCCCTTGATTTCTGTCTCTGTTATTCATCATTGGTGGTCTTTGGATTTCACTGCACAATTGTTCATCCAAAACCTAAAAAAAAGATTTTACCTAAAACAAAATTACTAAAATATAATAACTTACAGTGTCTGCAATGTGCCCTTGTTTCTGCAACATTTGTTCAATTCTATTAAATTCCAATGATGTATCTGGATTATCCAACTGTACGACGGCATTTTTAACTTTTTCTATAACATCTTTGTTAAAGGTGTGCACGGTTGTTCCTGGGTTATCATCGGAGAGTATACTTTTTAATACAGGAATTGCATCCTCTACTCTGCCCAAGTCGGCAAAAGCAGCCACCTAATACATTGAATTTAAGATAAATCAATATATTTTAACTATGTAAATTTACTAAGTTGGCTATTTATCGTTTTTGCACTTTTTGGAAATTATTTTTTTCTTGTTTATACCTTTTGACACAAGGTGTAACGGAAAAATATTTAAAAAATATTTTCCCAAAGATAAAGAAAAAATATGCATTGGAAGTTTTTATATTTTTGTGATACGCCACTGGTTACAGACTTGTGTTCTGTGAGTACATAGATACCAACCAACAAAGTAGCTGCGCGTTGCCAGTTGTACAAAATTGTTACTAAACATTTTGCAAAAAATAAATAAATACAAAAGTTGTATGCCCTTAAAACTCTAATACCCTTCAGTATTTATTTACTCATCCTGCTATTAGCTTAAGCAATGATTAGAAAAATTAGTACCTTTTTTAAAAACTCCATAACCACAAAATTAATTTTTTCATTGTTTTTCTTCTGTTTACTCAGATGAAATTAGGACAAGTTCACAGGTTAATTTTTAAACATTCAATTTGTTTAAATAAATCCAAAAGCAGTTAAGCCATTTACAATTTGAGTACACCTTCATTACAAAAATGACATAATCAACAATTAAATCAAATGAGTTCCTTAATTCCCTAATTAGGGTCCATAAAGAAGCACCTAAAACTTTTTTTCTTCTAAATTCTAAAGACTAAAAATAATTTATAATAACCTTTATCCTACCAAAAAGTACGCCACTGATCGACTAGGAACTTTAGGCTAATCTGGTTGCCTAATTTAATTTATTATGTTATGGTTGGTAACAACCAGATTTCCAGTTTCTGTCAAAAAAAAAAGTTGCCAGATTTTGTTTAAATTTAGCTTAATTACAAAATGACAAAATCATCCATGCAAATGGTTAATTTGACGTTTTTATTAATTGTTGATTTTGTCATTTTTGTAATGAAGGTAAATTCTAACAAAATCTGGCATGTTTAAAGTTTAACCTGTTGTCCTAATTTCATCTGAGTGAACAGAAAGAAAAAAACCGATGAAAAAATTAATTTTGAGGTTATGGAGTTTTTAAAGTAGGTACTAACTTTTCTAATCATTGCTTAAGCTAATATCTGGATGAGTAAATAAATACAGAAAGATATTAGAGCTTCAAGGGCATAAAACTTTTGTATTTATTAAGTTTTTATTTATTTTTTGCAAGAAAAATTTTTTGTAACAATTTTTACAACTGGCAACGCGCAGCTAATTTGTTGGTTGGTATCTATGTACTTACAGAACACAAGTGTGTAACCAGTGGCATATCACAAAAAATATAAAAAAACTTCCAATGTATATTTTTCTTTATCTTTGGGAAAATATTTTTTTTAAATATTTTTCCGTGACACCTTATGTCAAAAGGTATTCAGTATTTTAAAATATTACATTAACATCCTGTATTATTATAATAGTCAAGTTACCTATTTTTTGTTGATTTTTTGAATAAAAATGATTTATTTTTGTTTTTTTTTAAATCATGATTTTTTCGAACCCTGTATAAAACAATTAAAATTTTAACAAGAATTATCAAAAATTATTTTTTGTTGATTTATTTAAAAAAAAATTGTGTGTTTTTTTTAATCCTATATTATTTGTGACATTTGCTTTTAACCATAGAAAATAATTTCGCTAATATAAGTCAGTGTAGGTAATACCAGAAACTTCTAGTCGGTGACCCAACATCGATCCCGACTTCTCACGAGCTGGCACGAACCGCCTTATAACGTGACGTCATAATAATAATCCGGTTTTGTTCCCCGAACATACAAAATTTGTTGTCAAGCTAGATAGCTTAGATGGTAGGGCGTTTGCTTTGCATGCGAGAGGTCCCGGGTTCGATACTCAGAAGTTGTCGAATTTTTTTTACTTTTTTATTTCATAAATTTGTTGTTTCTTTGTTAAAAAGTGTTTTATTTTTATCGTAACATAAATTTGCCCATTTTAGTTGGGTTTTTTGCTCAATGGGGCGGGGGGGGGGCCAATGGGGCGGGGTCGGTTGGGTTGTGTTGTTGAGTTTGGGTTGGTTTGGTTTTATTACGTAACTAACGTGCCCTTAACATGTATACAGGTACAATTTATTATTATATTATTGTTGTGCCGTCAATTTTAAATGATAATAATGCATTGTATAATATATAATAAATTCTTTGTCCAGTCGGGATCGATGTTGGGGCACCGGCTAGAAGTTAGTGGTAATACCTACTAGATATGCAAAATTATTTAATTTAAATTATTCAGATAAAATGATAATTGTAAGCAAAAAGCAGATAATTGAAAATAAAATAAAATTTGTTTACATTTTTAATAATTAAAACTGTTATTAAAATAAAATAAATAAGAGTATTATAAAAAAATATAACATTACATACAAAATAAATATCAAGTAGTCAGTTAATTAAACAAAATTATTGGTAAAAACGGTATAAATGAATTTTGATCAAAATTTACAAAATAAATTTTGATATCAAAATTTCTTTATCCAAGGGGATCATAATAGAAGTAGAATCAACAATAATTGGTAAGATATTGAATATAATAAACAAAAAAGATCAATTTTCAAAAGGTGCAAAAATCTTTTTTGTTCAAAATTGTTTTTAGGCTATAAACTAACAATTAAAACGACGAACTTGGTAAATAAAGGACACCTTAATGTACATACCTTAATATTTCTGATTGTAGTATAATTTTGATTTCTGCAAGAAACTAAAATTTCCAAAGCTATGGCAGGTTGTCCTTGATTTAAAGCTAAGCCAGCCGCAAAAGTGGTAGCCCTTCTCATAGGTAAATGACCCACTTCGCTTAATTCTTGCCACATTTTAACAGCATAATCCAAACTCTCTTTTGTATTCTAAAATTTAATCATTAGAAAAGTAAATTTAAACAATATATCCCATACCAATTTATAGCAAGCTGCCAACGCCAAAACCACAACATTTCTTGGGTATTTAGCCCCCTCCAACTGTCTACTTTTAACAATATCAACCGCCTTAAGAACTTCATCGTATTTTCCATTCTCATAAAGTAAATCCAATAAAATTTGGTATGTCATAACCTGGTCAAAGAATCCATCCATTTCAGGAGAATTAAACAACTCCCAGGCCATATCATGCTTCCCATATAAATGCAGCATCCTCATGACAACAGGGCCAAAGACATAATTGCCGAAACGGACTTGTTTGTTTTGAGCATTAAACCTAAATAAAATATTTAGGTTTAATTTGAATGCCAAACTAGGTATATGTACCATATAACTTACTTTTTGATCATGTTATACACCAACTGAATATCCTCATCACTCTCAGATAAATGAATCATATTTTTAAGATCCTCAGTGAAGATCATGCTTTTCGAATCCTCATTGGAATATTCGTTCATTTTTTCCCTAAATTTGTCGGAAATATTGTGCATTTGCATTCTGGTTTTTTCCTGCTGCATTGTAAAGCCATCAATACCCAGCGTTGATTTCGAGTAAAGTGATCGGACATCTAAATAAAGATTTTAGAAAAAGCTTTTAATGAATTTTGTTACTTACTCTGCACTCCGGTTATGGGTAAAACGTTACTTAGTTTCACTGCATTATTAATTAGATTGAGGGTTTTTGGTTTAAATAAGGAAATTACCGCATTTGCCATTTTAGAGATTTAACCTATTTCAAGTCTGCGGCCGTCAAAATTTATGGTTAGTCTTCTTCTTCTCTAGGATCAGCGTTGCCATATAACAGCGTTGCCAATGCTAATTTGAATAGCAAGACTTAAAAAATGCCCTCTGTTGAGATATGTGTTAATTATAATCGAATCGATGTTTTAAAACTTATAAACGCTAATCATCAAACTTTACATCTTAATTAGCTATCAATAAATTAATTTTTATGGCATGGTGCGGCCCAGTGGCGGCTCGTGGGTGTACAGGAGGGTGAGGCTACATAAGGGTAATTTTGTCTAAATAGTATTTAGTAAATACGAATAAATTTCCACGTCACCCGGGAGGTATTATTCTGCGACGCGTTGACCTTTTTTAAAATGGAGCCGATAGCACTACTAAACCAAAAAATAAACTCTAAAAAACAAAACAAACAAAATATCACATCAAAGACTAGTTTTAATCTTAAACTTAAAATATAGTCTTAAAAAAGTTAAAAATAAATAAATTAATCAAAAAATAAATCTAAAAAGTCGACCCCTACCTAAGTATTAAAAAATATAAAATACTATACGTCTATCTTTTAAGATTGAAAATTTATATATTATTTGGTCGTAAAATTGTGGGTCTGCAGTGAGATTTAAAAGTAATTCTAAATTTTCAAACCGCGTCTCTAATTGAAGAATTATGCAATCTATTATTTCAAAATATAAAATTTGCTTAATAAAAACTGCTAAATCTACCTTAGTGTGTTCCCTACAATAATTAAATAAAAAAATTTACTAATCGAGACAAAAACTATAAAAGATCAGCCAAAAGTTTTAAATAATTTAATCTGAATCAAAACAATAACGTGCTCTACAAACGCTAAGAGAAGACTGGCAACCTTCTTTGTCTCCGCTGGCATCCCACCATAAACGGACCACCAATCAAAACAAACCAAGCTAACTAAATTTCGCCTCTTCTACGGTGTTTATTCGCGAACTTACGGCGATATTTTTGTTGGTGAGTCATTTTCGCTTTCAAGAGGTAAATGGGAGCTTCCGAGGCTGTGAAAATTTCGCCTCTGTCCAAGCGACTCTCAACGATGCACGTTAACTTAACTGGATTTTTATTTACGCTTAATATGATTGATTGGTTTTTTACTTTTTATTGGGTAGAACTGTTGTAAAAATACACTTGCAATAGGCAAAAATATAAATACAAAAAGTCGTTCGTTCCTTCATTTTAAGGGTGAGGCGCGGCCTCAGAGGCCTACCCTGACGAGACGCCACTGGGTGCGGCATTTCCAATCGAGTGAAGATTTCCTGCAATTTGGGTAATTGCCCACAACTTGGCAACACTGTCTAAGAAACCTTTTAATTTACCAGTGACGCACGCAACCGGTATAATACCAGTATTTTACGTAATGCGCTTTTGGTTGTTTTATAATTGTATACTTATTATTCATATTGGCCAAATTTAAGTAAAAATACCTATTTTAAAATAAATTCATACCTTTTAATTAATTAAAATAGAATTTTGAAAATTGATCTAACGAAGGGTATCTTTCCTTTCTAAAAACTTATTAAAATTGAAAGTGAACATTATTTAGCTATTCAAATCTTTTTTTAAAATTAATAAATGGTAAAATCTTTGCATTTTTTCGGCATAGTGCCAATTCCCAATCAAGTTGAGATTTCCTGCAATTTGGGTAATTCCCACAACTTGGCAACACTGTCTAAGAAACCTTTTAATTTACCAGTGACGCACGCAACCGGTATAATACCAGTATTTTACGTAATGCGCTTTTGGTTGTTTTATATTGGCCAAATTTAACTAAAAATACCCATTTTAAAATAAATTATATTATAATACCTTTTAATTAATTAAAATAGAATTTTGAAAATTGATCTAATGAAGGGTATCTTTCCTTTCTAAAAACTTATTAAAATTGAAAGTGAACAGTATTTAACTATTAAAATCTTTTTAATAAAAAAAATCAGGCAACAAAAATTAAACTAATTAATTTATTACTTATACCAAGTTAGTTAATTAACATAATTTAATAGTTTTAAAGTTAAAAAACCATAATACTTACTGTTTCCATAGCAACCATATTAACACGTACGTAGGCTACAGTATGAGTCACTGGTGATACCTAAGTTTTTGTTAGCTGTATAACCCCACAAGTTGGTATGCTTCTATTGCAGGTTGAAGGTAAAAAAATCCACTGTAAAATTTTTTAAATAAACATTCCACAAACGATGTGAATCTCTGGTGATCTAGAACCCCACAAGTTGGTATTTTTATGCATAACATGTCGTAAAAAGACTACAGAAAAGTTTTTTAAATAAGCATTTTAAAAACTTCGTGAATCACCGGTGATCTCAAAACCGGAAATATGATGATTTCTACGATATTATTCTAGACACCAGTCAAATTATAACGCAAAATATCACCAGTGATACACGAATGCGATACTTAGGTGATTCATATAGAATAGTATTGTAATACAAGCATATTTTTTTTAAATTACTACCTACAACTTATTCAAAACCTAAAGTTAAAATTTCAGCAGTATAGAAAATATTTTTTATGTTCTGATATGTATAGGTACCTAAAATATATATATTTTACATGGAAATTAAGTTTTTTATATCGTTGGATTCATAAAAAAAATCACCGAGATATTTACGTACCTACATTTTACTCAATTGAACAATTTTGGAGAAATCCTGATAAGGATTTCACTGTGAGTTTAGAGGTCTAGAATCCTTTTTAAGAGAAAAGTATAGGTATAGGTACCTATATATAGGTACACTAGGATGTCCGTTATTTACCAACTTGGTTTTTTTGTTTGCAGTGCCCCCTAAATTTTTAGTTTATGACCTAAAAAAAATATTCATTTTAAACCGTGCCACAAAGACTATACATTTTCCGTTTAAATAACATGGGGTTTCGGCAAGTTTTACATATATTTTTTTTTCTCTGAAGCAAGTTTATAGGTATACAGCAAACAGTGATACATATTTTTATAGGAAATTAAACGTTGTACAAAAAAGCTTTCCTATGATTTTTTCATAAATTCACTGATTTAAAAGTTATTTAAGGTTAAAATTAAACTTGTAGTAATTTTTTCGATTTTTTAATTTGACTGCAAAATTATAATTATTTTTGTGAAAATTAATTGTTTATTTTTGAAAATATGAGATTTTGTATTGTATTATTGAAAAAATAAAAATTATTTAAAAGAGATACTTAAGTAAAAATTATTGACAAGAGATTTCGATAAATTCAATTTTTTTTATTACGTTAAACGAATATTGTATTAGTTTTACTCAATTTTAGTACATAATATTTTTATTTCTGTGAAATTCTACAAAATTTTATACGATTTTATAAAAAATTATACAATAAAAAGTATAGCTTATGACGTAGGAATTCTTTTAACAATTATTTTTACGACAAAATAAAATTCGTAGTTACGCATACATTGTCTTGAATATGAGAGCACATTTCTGCTACACCAATTATCCTTTTCAAATAAGTTAAATGTATTTATCTACTTCTACATTGACGAGCTGTGACTTTATGGCGTTTTAGTCACGGGCTGAAGTTGGCAATAAGTAGTGGCTTTTGGGAATTTTAGTCACGGGCTGAAATTAGCTTTATTATATATTAGAGAAAAGTGAGGTTAATTCCATTGACATTTGACAGATGTCAAATGTTTAACAAATATAATTGGCTTTAAATTCTTTTATGTGTTCGTCGTAGATAAAGTATACTTAGTAGGCAACTCGCTTAATAAACTTATCTAGACACTTGTTTTTAATAAGCTTCGCTCGTGCCTAATAAAACTCGTAACTAAAATGGCGTTTTGTAAAATTTCACAGAAATAAAAATATTATGAAAAAAAGTAATCGTTCTAAATTTGAGTAAAACTAGTACCAGATTCCTTTAATGTAATAAACAATTTTTAATTTATCGGAAGTTCTTGTCAATAATTTTCACTTATCTCTTTTCAATAATACTTAAAATCAAATATTTTCAAAAATTAACAATTTATTTCAAAAAAATAATGATAATTTTGCAGTCAAAGTAAAAAAATCGAAAAAATTACTATTAGTTCAATTTTAACCTTAAATAACTTTTAAACCAGTGAATTTATCGAAAAATCATAGGAAAGTTTTTTTGTACAGCGTTCAATTTCCTATAAAAATATGTATCACTTTTTGCTGTATTTTAACTTGCTTCAGAGAAAAAAAAATATATGTAAAACTTGCCGAAACCCCATGTTATTTAAACGGAAAATGTATCGTCTTTGTGGCACGGTTTAAATGAATATTTTTTTTATAATTTTTTTTATAATTCTTTTTAGGACATAAAGAGGGGGCACTGCAAACAAAAAAACCAAGTTGGTAAATAACGGACACCCTAGTATACACTCTACAGATTTATAATAAACATTTTTACATAGCAATTGTAATCGAATCTTTATTGATTTTTATTTAGGATGCGAAGGCTAATACAAAATAAGAATGTCTGACGGAGGTCTGTATCCCGATATAAGAGATAAAGATGCCGTGTTTAAATAAATAACAATACAAAAATACTTTTATCTCATTTGAGGCTGGGTTCTTAAAGTGAAAGTGTGACTGTATTATTATTTTTTACCCTAACGTAAGTAAAATATTATTATTTTTATTTTGGGAAAATATTTAATTCAAATAGCATTTGCATTTAAAATTCCCAATTACGCTTTTAAAATAAACATTATAATTAAATGTAAAAAGAAAACACAAAAAATCAAATTTCGCATAATTATTAGAAATAATTAAAAACAATCGAAAAAATTTAAATTATATATGGAATATATTCCTAATGTGAATTTAATGTGTCGCTTCAATATTTTAAAAAATACATTTTTAATTATAAACACAACATAAATGTTGGGAAAAGCGGAACGAGTAACATCATCTAAATTTAATATTTTTAGTGTAAAATGGAAAAAAATGAAAAATTTTGCATGTACTTCCACGGTTTTGCCGTAGCACATCACATAAACGCCATATTGTACACCACTTTTGGACATTTAACACACAACATCCATGAAGTTACAGATGAAAGAGTTCTGGATCTTAAAAGATTTGAAAATAAATATTTTACAGGCTGGAATCTCGTAAGTACATTATTTTATTAAGTGCGACCTAAACTTAAGGGATAATCTAGATTCTAGATATATGAAATACATAAAGTTTTACCTATCAAAAAGTATATAAATAAATTAAATTTACTAGAAATAAAAGAGTAAAAATTGTGAAATTTCAAAGAATTTTTGTATGTTTTATGAGAATTTTTAAAGGTTTGGATAAAATATTTTCAAAATATTGTATTTCTGAAAACAGTAGCAAAAATATGCAATTTTCTTTAACCAAAATAAAAATATATAAAATGGCAACTCTTATTGCCCTAAAAAGTCAACATAAAGAGTTAAATGTATTTAACATTTTTAAAGTTATTATTTATATTCCAGGATATACAAAAATGAAAACAAACTTATCTTTATCCGAAAAACAAAGCAAAAACATACCACCTTTTTGCTCTTAAAAAAATATCAAAAAAATAAAACAAATTATATTATAAAAGCACGATTAGTAAGTAAACAAATATAATCATTCTTTGGTTTGACCTTTGTCCATTTGAATATGATAAAATGTCTATTAATTATGATACGGGCTTCTTTATTACATAAGATAAATTTTAGGGCCTGCAATTCCTATACTTTACGTTAGCTTTCACATTGGATTTGATGAAACACTGGAAATTACACCCGAATAAAAAACTCGTCAAATTTAAAGGGTACATGTTCACTAATTTGGTGTTTCCATGCTCAGCATTTGTATGCTGTATGTTTTGGACTGTTTATACGATAAATAGGGAGTATGTGTTCCCGGAAATATTCGACCATTATATACCAGCATGGTTTAATCACTCTGTACATACAAATATACTGATATTTATATTGCTGGAGATTTTTATGGTGAATCATTATATGGCCAGTTTTAAGTCGGCTTTTTATTCCCTACTAGGATTAAGCCTATTATATAACATTGTGTAAGTTATATTTTTAAGTATATTATTAATGTTAAAAATATTAATGTATATATACTTTTTTTTAGTTTTTTCCACAACTATTTTGAGCATGGTAAATGGCTTTACATCTTATTCAACATTTTTTCCTGGACGGAAATAATTTTGTTTGTAAATTTTAACTTTTTGGCATGTCTGGTTTTTCAGAGAGTCGGATATTTCATACAAAAATACAAATTCAGATGGTCCAAGAAAAAAATCATCACCAAATACGAACAATACAAGAAGGATTTGTTAATTAAGAACTAAATATTTTAAAAGAAGTGAAAGGTGTAAAAATGGTTTATTGTGATATTCCTTAGGTTTAGGGTTTAGGGTTCCTAAAATATCCGCCAGGGGCAAAGGGGCCAGCACTTTTTCCTATTGATTTAACAAAATAGATTATATAATTATACAAGGTGGAAATATTTCGCAGGTGCATTACCAAACTTTGATGGTATTTATGCAAAAAATTAACAAAAATTCATACCTTACACCTGAATAAATCCTTAAATGTTACCTTATTGAATAAGGCTTATTCTGCTCGAAAAAAAAACCGTTTTCCAAATGTGAGTTAATTGCCATGCTTTTTAGTATTTTAAATTTTATTTACAAATTATACTGTTAAAAAAATGCAGTATACGACACTGATTGGTGTGACCAGCGATATCCCTGAGAATTTCGGTAAATCCCCGAAAAAAAGTAACCGAAGATAAAAATTAATTTAAAGTGCAAAACCCTGAAGTGTGGCGTCGCTACTTGTCCCTATATCCATAGCAAATAAAAAGATCCGTAAATTGTTTAAAATAAAGTGTTTTATTGTTATAAATAAAAATAATAATTAATAAATGACTTTATTGTAAAAAATTATACCTACATACACGTTTTACAAAAGGCGAATCCAGCGCAAAACAAGATTTTTATTAGCATTGTTGTACTATTTTTTACGTTAAATTATGAAAAATAGTCCACTCTCAGAAATGTTTTTTCTTGGGTTTTAAATTATATTGTAAGAAATTGTCTTGAAAATAAATAAAGAATTATTAACAGATTTTAATTTTTAATTAACAGAATACAGCGACTTCCAAACGTGCCAGTTTGAGAAATTAATTAATATAAACCAAAATGATGAGAATTAGAATCGGTAAAATCAAAGTAACTACTGTACAAAAACAAGTTGTTAATTAACCTAAAAAAGATAGGTACACCTAAAATTAACAGGTTAAAATATATTTCAGTCAAAAACGACAACTGTTAATTTAGAGTACGCAGATTTAAAAAACCGAATTATTCAATACTATTCATGTAAATTTTGAACATTTTCTCTATAAATATCTAAAATGAGTCATGGAAACGTTTTTAAAATGTGTTTTAATTGCCAGGCATGCTTTTTATTATTTAAATTTTTATTTAGAAATTATTTTGATAAAAAATGCAGTACACGACACTGATTGGTGTGGCCAGCGAATTCCCTGCGCATTTCGGTAAATCCCCGGAAAAAAAATAACCGAAGATAAAAATTCATTTAAAGTGCAAAACCCTGACGTCTGGTGTCGCTACTTGTCCCTATATCCGTAGCAAATAAAAAGATCCGAAATTGGTTTAAAATAAAATGTTTTATTGTTGTAAATAAAAATAATAATTAATAAATGACTTTATTGTAAAAAATTATACATCCACGTTTTACAAAAGGCGAATCCAGCGCAAAACAAGATTTTTATTAGCATTGTTGTACTATTTTTTATGTTAAATTATGAATAAAAGTCCACTCTCAGAAATGTTTTTTTCTTGGGTTTTAAAGTAAAACGGGTGGATACTCGACAAAATTATATTGTAAGAAATTGTCTTGAAAATAAATAAAGAATTATTAACAGATTTTAATTTTCAAGTAACAGAATACAGCGACTTCCAAACGTGCCAGTTTGAGAAATTAATTAATATAAACCAAAATGATAAGAATTAGAATCGGTAAAATCAAAGTAACTACTGTACAAAAACAAGTTGTTAATTAACCTAAAAAAGATACACCTAAAATTAACAGGTTAAAATATATTTCAGTCAAAAACGACAACTGTTAATTTAGAGTACGCAGATTTCAAAAACCGAATTATTCAATACTATTCATGTAAATTTTGAACATTTTTTCTATAAATATCTAAAATGAGTAATGGAAAGAGAAATTTGAGTTTTTGTGAATTTTAGTTACAAGTTAAAACGTTTTTAAAATGTGTTTTAATTGCCAGGTATGCTTTTTATTATTTAAAATTTTATTTTTAAATTATTTTTGATAAAAAAATGCAGTATACGACACTGATTGGTGTGGACAGCGAATTCCTTGCGCATTTCGGTAAATCCCCGGAAAAAATTAACCGAAGATAAATATTCATTTAAAGTGCAAAACCCTGACGTCTGGTGTCTCTACTTGTCCCTATATCCATAGCAAATAAAAAGATCCGAAATTGGTTTAAAATAAAGTGTTTTATTGTTGTAAATAAAAATAAAAATTAATAAATGACTTTATTGTAAAAAAATATACATACACGTTTTACAAAAGGCGAATCCAGTGCAAAACAAGATTTTTATTAGCATTGTTGTACAATTTTTTACGTTAATTATGAATAAAAGTTCACTCTCAGAAATGTTTTTTTCTTGGGTTTTAAAGTAAAACGGGTAGATACTCGACAAAATTATATTGTAAGAAATTGTCTTGAAAATAAATAAAGAATTTTTAACCGATTTTAATTTTTAATTAACAGAATGCATTGACTTCCAAACGTACCAGTTTGAGAAATTAATTAATATAAACCAAAATGATGAGAATTAGAATCGGTAAAATCAAAGTAACAACTGTACAAAAACAAGTTGTTAATTAACCTAAAAAAGATACACCTAAAATTAACAGGTTAAAATATATTTCAGTCAAAAACGACAACTGTTAATTTAGAGTACGCAGATTTCAAAAACCGAATTATTCAATACTATTCATGTAAATTTTGAACATTTTTTCTATAAATATCTAAAATGAGTAATGGAAAGAGAAATTTGAGTTTTTGTGAATTTTAGTTACAAGTTAAAACGTTTTTAAAATGTATTTTAATTGCCAGGCATGCTTTTTATTATTTAAAATTTTATTTTTAAATTATTTTTGATAAAAAAATGCAGTATACGACACTGATTGGTGTGGCCAGCGAATTCCTTGCGCATTTCGGTAAATCCCCGGAAAAAAATAACCGAAGATAAATATTCATTTAAAGTGCAAAACCCTGACGTCTGGTGTCGGTACTTGTCCCTATATCCATAGCAAATAAAAAGATCCGAAATTGGTTTAAAATAAAATGTTTTATTGTTGTAAATAAAAATAATAATTAATAAATGACTTTATTGTAAAAAATTATACATACACGTTTTACAAAAGGCGAATCCAGCGCAAAACAAGATTTTTATTAGCATTGTTGTACTATTTTTTACGTTAAATTATGAATAAAAGTCCACTCTCAGAAATGTTTTTTCTTGGGTTTTAAAGTAAAACGGGTAGATACTCGACAAAATTATATTGTAAGAAATTGTCTTGAAAATAAATAAAGAATTTTTAACAGATTTTAATTTTTAATTAACAAAATACAGCGACTTCCAAACGTGCCAGTTTGAGAAATTAATTAATATAAACCAAAATGATGAGAATTAGAATCGGTAAAATCAAAGTAACTACTGTACAAAAACAAGTTGTTAATTAACCTAAAAAAGATACACCTAAAATTAACAGGTTAGAATATATTTCAGTCAAAAACGACAACTGTTAATTTAGAGTACGCAGATTTCAAAAACCGAATTATTCAATACTATTCATGTAAATTTTGAACATTTTTTCTATAAATATCTAAAATGAGTCATGGAAAGAGAAATGTGTGAGTTACAAATACACAAAAAAGTATCACAAAAGAAGTTAAAACGTTAAACAAAGAATATGCGATAAAATATAAAAAGTGTATTTTAATAATTTGTATAATGCTTCTCATTGTAATTTCATTCAATTTAATATTTATTGTAAAGGGACCAACAAAACTGCCAAAATTAACAACATCAATAAAAAATTAGCTACCTTAAGAAATTAGTATTAATACTTAACACATAAAATATTGCACTATAGCACTAAAATTATTTGGCATATAAAAACGGATTAGTCCCTAGCTTAAACGTAACCAATAATAAAAAAAACAATTCGATTACACATGTCAATTAAAAAGCAAGATTCGCAAAATTATTAAAAAAAAATACAAATTTGTTGGACCCTCTACATGGACTGGAAAATCATATCTCGAAATAAATGAGGATTATCAAAAATGTATATTAACCGTTTTTTAGTTGGCTTTTCTTAAAGAATCAAGTACATTTCTAGATATTTACAAGTATACATTCCACAATCTGCACAATCACAAACCTGTTTATTAAAGTCAATAAATATTACAACCACACTTATTTGAATCATGCCAAATAACTGTAAGTGTCCTTTTGCCCCTCAGTCCGCTCCAGATACTCCTTTTCTATTAGAATATCTATACATTTCTGAAACAACGAAAACATGTTTTTTTCATTCATTTAAATGCAATTGTATTTTGTTTTTACGGAGGTGTGGGCATGGAAAAATATTGAAAAAATTCTTGGTTACAGTAGAGACATGTTCAGATCCAATATTGACATATTTTCCATAGTTCCAAAACTGATTTTTGGCTTAAAAGGGCGGCCATTTCAAGCGCGCGAAACGCACGAATTACAAAACTGTTTTTATAAAATAAATTGTAGATTATTTATTATATAATATTTTGGCATCAAAATTGTCAAAAATATTCTTCTTTTATTAGGTTATACATTAAATAAAAAAAACGCAAGAAATATTTTATAAAAGTAGATATAATTTTAATAATTGAAAGGTGTGGACGGGACAAAAAAAAGATGTATCTTGTCCCGTCCATCCCCTGTCAATTATTGAAATTATCTCTACTTTTATAAAACATTTCTTGCGATTTTTTTTATTTAATATATAGCCTAATAATAGAAGAATATATTTGAAAATTTGGATGCAAAAATAATATATAATAAATTACCTACAATTTTTTTTATAAAAACAATTTTGTGATTTGTCCCGTCCATCCGCTTGAAATGGCCGAGGGGCGTTTTTCATATTTTTTTAGGAAAAATAAAAACTATAAAACCGCGTTGAAAATTATTTATGACCCAATTTTAAGTTTAAAAATGTCCTTGTAAAGAAAATATATAATTATATTTTAAAATTTATTATTAATAAATAAGATAACTTTTGGGTTTAACCTTTTTGAACCTTAATTGACGCATTTTGAAAAGGGGTCATTCCCGTTTTGAACTGTTGTTTGTTGGTATCTTTTTTATGTTTGTGTAGTAAACATGCTGATTAATTAATTAATTGATAGTTTTACAATTTATTACGGTAATTCAAAATGTTTTTATTTGTAATAAATACAAATCTATTATTATAATAATAAACTTATTATTATTATTATCTATGAATAAATAATTAATAATATGAAAAATAAAAAAATAGCTGTTTTCAAACTTAAAATTTAGAAAATTTTGGAAATTTTAACATTTTTTAGAGATGGCAGATGTTTGAGCAATTTTAAGTATCCATAAATTAAATTGACCATTTATTGAGGGGAATTATCCCCCAATGAAACAAATATTCCCCGACGCAAGTTTTTCACTAAAGATTAATATTTTTGCTATTACAGAATTTCTAAAAAAGCGTATATTCACCCACTCTAATGTATGTTGTTTTTGTTTTAATTTAATTGATTTTTATTTTTGTTCTCAAATACATACATTTTTTAACTATTTATTTAATTAAAAAATTTACAATTTACAAAACTAAGTCAAAAATTTTTTGTCCCGTTCAAAGAAATTCTAATATGGTCACTTTAAATAAATGCTTGAACATTTTTAAACGCTCAAGCGCTTTTGGAATTCTAAAATTTTTATAAATTCTAAAAATATTGTAAATTTTAGAAATTTGGTCCCATTTTTTATATTTTACTACAGTCCGATTTTTTCCCTTAACTTTTAAAAATGACAAGAATTTTTTGAAATTTTAAAAATTGAAAAATGTTCCCAAAATTTTCGAAATATCGAATTTTTTTTAATTTGTCCCAACATTCTTTATATTTTTACTACTGTGCGAAAATTCCCAAAATTAAAAAAAAATTAATGCAAAAATTAAAATTGTCGAAATTTTAAAATTTTTACTGCTTACCTGTGCAAATTTGAAATTTTGAAAATTCTTAAAAAGGTTTAAATAAAACACAATTCAAAATTTTCATAATTTCTCCCACCATTTCTTATATTTTTACTGCTGTGCGATTTTTTCCCACATTTTTATAATTTTGATCTACTGCGCTTTTATAAGCATTTTTTAAACTTTCATTGTTGTCTAAGTTTTTTTCAATCGAAAATTTGTTTTTTTTATATTTTATATTGTGTTTATATTGTGCGAAATTATTTCCAAAATTTTTGACTATTTTAAGTTTTGCATTCATTTTTTTTTAATTTTGGGAATTTTGAAAACTAGAAATTTTAGAAATATCTTTTTTAATATTTTTCAACAATTTTAAAATTTTGTAAGAATTTTTGAATATTGAAATTGTAAAGAATTTTGAATGTTTTAATTTTATTTTTAAATTTAGTAAATTTAAAAAATGTTTGTAATATTCTTATATTTTTACTATTGTGCAAATTTTTCCTCCAACTTTTTTAATTTTGAAAACCTTTATTGCGCTTTTACAGGCATTTATGTATGAGCATTTTTAAAAGTGTTCATCAATTTAAAAAATTTCAAAATTTTTTTCATTTTTTCATTTTTTTTCAAAACTTAAAAATGTTGCCAATATTAAGTTTTGCATTCAATTTTTGTTAAATATTGGAAATTTTAATTTTTTAGAAACATTTTTAACTGCAAATTTTACCTACAATTTTTAAAAAATTTGACAATTTTAAGATTTAACTTTTTTGAGAATTTTGAATATTTTTGAAATAATATTTTTTATATTATTACTACTGTGAGAATAGAATTTTTCTCAATTTCAAAAAAATTTGAAAATGTAAAGAATTTTTAGGTTTAAATAAAACACAATTCAAAATTTTCATAATTTCTCCCACCATTTCTTATATTTTTACTGCTGTGCGATTTTTTCCCACATTTTTATAATTTTGATCTACTGCGCTTTTATAAGCATTTTTTAAACTTTCATTGTTGTCTAAGTTTTAATCAATCGAAAATTTGTTTTTTTTTATATTTTATATTGTGTTTATATTGTGCGAAATTATTTCCAAAATTTTTAAAATTTTTGACTATTTTAAGTTTTGCATTAATTTTTTTTAATTTTGGGAATTTTGAAAACTAGAAATTTTAGAAATATCTCCTTTAATATTTTTCAACAATTTTAAAATTTTGTAAAAATTTTAAAAATTTTTGAATATTGAAATTGTAAAGAATTTTGAATGTTTTAATTTTATTTTTAAATTTAGTAAATTTAAAAAATGTTTGTAATATTCTTATATTTTTACTATTGTGCAAATTTTTCCTCCAACTTTTTTAATTTTGAAAACCTTTATTGCGCTTTTACAGGCATTTATGTATGAGCATTTTTAAAAGTGTTTATCAATTTAAAAAAATTCGAAATTTTGTTCATTTTTTCATTTTTTTTTTCAAAACTTAAAAATGTTGCCAATATTAAGTTTTGCATTCAATTTTTGTTAAATATTGGAAATTTTAATTTTTTAGAAACATTTTTAACTGCAAATTTTACCTACAATTTTTAAAAAATTTGACAATTTTAAGATTTAACTTTTTTGAGAATTTTGAATATTTTTGAAATAATATTTTTTATATTATTACTACTGTAAGAATTTTTCTCAATTTCAAAAAAATTTGAAAATGTAAAGAATTTTTAGTTTAAAAATTTTCGAAAATTTTGAAAAACTACGAATTTTTTTAATAGGTTTGGAAAATTGTAATAACTTTTAAGGTTTAAATTTTTTTTTTCATTTTGTAAATTTTGAAAATTGTTCCCAACATCTTTTATATTTTTACCACGGCAAATATTTCCCACAACTTTCCGCGTTATCTTCAAAATTTGGTAACTGGAAGGGTAAAGTAATTTAAATAACCAAAAATTTAAACCGCGAAAAATTAATATTAGGTAAATCAAAAACCGCAAATTAAAAATAAGCTCTCTTACCTTGATAACGTGAACTCTGGGCTTGAATCTCGACGAAAGCTGGTTGAGAACTTCAGCGACCAGTTGCTGGTGCTTGAGAACTTTGCGCATCTTCATTATGCGCACGATCGCCGCCTGTATGAGTAATTTCCTGTCCTCCTCTATGTGCTTATGCGTTGTCTCCTGCTCCATTTTCAGTTCCGTCTTCATTGGTATGTTTATATTCACTCTAAGCTTTTTGCTGCAAGAAAGGGCGAAATGCTTGGAGTTATCAAATGAAAAACAATTATAAATATTTAATAATTATTAAATATTTGACTTTACGTAATGTTGTTTCATTGTTTAAATGTATATTTTTGGGCCAAAATAAACATAACTGTATGGCACTCCATAAAATTGTGACTAGCAATTCAAATTTATTGAAAACAGATAGGAAAAATAGCGAATTATTATTATGTCTAGGCATAATAATAATTATTTTTTATGATACACTTTAATTTAATACGTATTTTTTTTGTAACATTTACATATTTTACCTGAAGAATATTTTTTAAACATTTTACATAGGTATTATTTTGTTCGTTGAATTAATATTTGCGCCATTTACATTTGGTCCATTTTTATTTTGTATGCAGTTCTTTATTTTTTAACTTTGAAATTTATATTGGAACTATTGTTAGACTAAAAACATTGTTGAACAATTTTTTTAAACAAGATTTTTAAAATATTTTATTTTATTCAATTATTTTTTAACTTACAATGTCTTATTTATAACACGACAATAATTTTTTTACGATTAATTTTATGTGTAGAAATATCATTGTTTATATTTTGAACTGCAAATTTTACCCACAACTTAAAAAAAAATTTTAATTTTGAATATTAAAAATTTTAAGAGTTTTGAAGGTTTAAATTTAAAAAAAATTGAACTTTTAGAATAATTATTTTGGAAATTTTAAACATTTGTCCTACCATTTCTTATATTTTGACTACTGTTCGAATTTTTCCTACAATTTTGAAAATTTTAAGAATATTAAGGTCTACAAAATTCAATCATTTTCAAAATTTCTCCTTCCATTTCTTATATTTTTACTGCTGTGCGAATTGTTTTCACAATGTTTTAATTGTGCTCATCAATTTAAAAAATTTCGAAAAATTTGGTAATTTATCCATTTCATAAAATTTTTAACTATGCGAATTTTTCCCATAATTTCAAAAAAAATTGAAAATGTAAAGAATTTTTAACGTTTAAATTTTTTTAAATTTGGAAATTGTGCCATAGAACTGATTTCTAAAAATTAAGTAAAAGTCGAGGTAAAAGTATTACAAATTTTTAAATATTGAAAATTTTGAAGGTTTTAAATTTTTTTAAATTTGTAAATTTAAACAAATTTGGTAATTTTGGAAAATTTCTTATATTTTTACTACTGTGTGAATTTTTCCCACATTTTTATAATTTTGACCTACTGCGCTTTTTTAAGCATTTGAGCATTTTTAAAAGTGCTCATATTTATATTTATTCAAAAATTCTGAGAGTTTGAAATGTTTTTAAAATTTTGTAAATTTAAAAAAGTGTAACTTTTATTTTGGAAATTTTGAAAATTTGTCCTACCATTTCTTATATGTTCACTACTGTGCGAATTTTTCATACAATTTTAAAAATTTTAAGAATATTGAAGGTCTACAAAATTCAAACTTTTTCAAAATTTCTCATACCATTTCTTATTTTTTACTGCTGTGCGAATTGTTTCAACAATTTTTTAATTGTGACCTACATTTAGGAGCATTTTTAAGTGCTCATCAATTTAAAAATTTCGAAAAATTTGGAAATTTACCCATTTCTTAAAATTTTTAACTATGCAAATTTTTTTCCACAATTTTGACAATTTTAAGTTTTAAATTTAAATTTTTTGAAAATTTTGAAAATAATTTTTACCATAATTTCAAAAAAACTTAAAAATGTAAAGAATTTAAAAAAACTACAAAATTTTTGAATATTGAAAATTATAAGAATTTTTATTTTTTTTTTAAATTTGGAAATTGTGCCATAGAAAAATTAAGTAAAAGTTTGGTTTATAATTTAAATGCAAGTTGTCGACGGATTTTGGACTTTTTTCCACAATTTTTTAAATTTTAGAAAATTTAAAATATTGAAAATTTAAAAAAATTTGGTATATTTCTCCCGTGTGAATTTTCCCTAATTTTTATAATTTTGACCTACTGCGGTTATATAAGCAATTATAAGCATTTGAGCATTTTTAAAAGTGCTCAAACTTTCAAAAAAAGAAGTTTTAAATTTAATTTTTTTGAAAATTGTATACATAGTTTTCATATTTTTACGAATGTTTGGCACAATTTCAAAAAAATTTGAAAATGTAAAGAATTATGAAAAACAAAATTTTGAAAATTTGTCCTACCATTTCTTATATTGACTTCTGTGTGAATTTTTCCTCCAATTTTGAAAATTTTAAATGTTTACAAAATTCAAACATATTCAAAATTTTTCCTACCATTTCTTAAATTTTTACTACACTTATGAGCATTTTTAAGTACTTATCAATTTAAAAAAATCGAAAAATTTGAAAATTTATCCATTTCTTAAAATTTTTATATGCAAGTTTTTTTCCACAACTTAAAAAATGTATAAAAATTTATTATATAATATAATATTTTTTTATATTTAATATATTTAATATATATTTATACAAAATATCAAAAAATAATATAAAAAAAATTAAAAATTAAAATTCAGTTCGAAAAAAAATCAAAAAATACTTCCCAAAAAAAAAAATTTTGTAGAAAAAAAAATGGTCAAATGTTAAAAAAACGAATAATAAAAGGCAAAAGTGAAAAAATATAAAAAAAATTCAGTTCGAAAAAAAGGGGTAAAATGTTTAAAAAACGAAGAAAAATTCATTTTTTACAGCAAAAATGGAAAAATATATATTTATTTTTTTTTTATAAAAAAAAAAATAAGATAAAAAAATTGGTCAAATGTTAAATGTCAAAACAAAAATTAGATCAAAAAGGAAATCATTAAATAAAAAAAAAATCCTTAATTAAACGAAAAATAAAAAATACTTTTTTTTATAGCACTACAAAAAATATTTAAAAAATGTTCAAAGAAAAATTAAAAAAAATTCTGTTTGAAAAAAGGTGTCAAATGTTTAAAAAAAATAGTTTGAAAACAAAGTGGTCAAATAAATGTTTAAAAAAATGAGAAATAAAAAATAAATTTTATAGCAAAAATCAAAATCAAAAAAAAAAATTAAGTTTGAAAATACAATTTCAAAAAAAAAATTAAAAATTTAAAGAATTTTGAAAAACTAAAAAAATTTTAAGAATTTTTAAGGTTTGAAATTTTTTGAATGTTGGAAATTGTGCCGTAGAACTGATTCCTAAAAATCAAGTAAAAGCATTGGTTTGGGATGTTACTCACTTTTTGAAATTTAAATGCAGGTTGACGACGGAATTCGGACTTAAATCGTTTTCGTCGTCCTCGCAAGTGATGAGTTTGGCTTTAAGCAGGATTTGTATGACTTGAATGAGAAAATCCGTTTTGATTTGCGTGTTTTCTTCCAGCTGGGCGATGGTCCAGTTTTCAGAAACGTTGAACTGCAACAGCACGGCCATTTGAAACGTGCTGGCTTGCAGAGTATACCTAAAATTAACAATAATACATTTTCCTGCATAAAGTTCCGGGACGTTCGATTTTACCTATTTTTGAAGCAGTTCGTGTTCAGTTCGCCTTTAGACATGTTATACAACCAATTAAGTTTCCTCCCTGAGTGCTGTCCTGAGTAAAAGTTGGTAAATCTATGTACACTTCTTTCGAGCTACAATAAAAAAATATTAACAACTAATAAACTAATAAATAATTGTTTTATCACCTCAGAAGGCAAACCAAAAGTGAAGGACTGTTGGAAAGGCCACGATCCCGAGGACAACACTTGAATACTAAAGTCTATTCCTAAAGTCTCATGTGAATTTGATAGGTGGTTTCTAAATTGTTCATTAAGGTCTTTAGAAACCCCAATATCCTGGAAAAAATTAAATTTTATACGCATAAAACAAACCTAATATATTAAGTTACTCACTTGGAACATTCTTTGTAATTTGGACGTATATTCAAACCCGCAGGCTTGCTTTAATTTTGAGATCATTGAAGCCTCAGCGTCATCGCTAGCAGACATGTGCTGCACCAATCTTTTGGCCAACATTTTGCTGTAGAACTTTTGGAACACATCCTTATCTTCGATATATTTGAACACGACCATCTAAAACAATCAAAGGTGGTTGCAAAACTAAGAAAAATGACACCTCAAAATTTGTACTTTTTACTAAAGCTTAGGGTGAATTATTTATACAGGGTGTCCGGGAAAAGGAAGTCAATCCGTTAACCATATATTCTTTGAGTTAAAACAATAAGAGTTTCATAATACCATTTTTCAATTTAGAGCTTCATGTTCGATATACAGGGCGACAAAGTTTGAAATTTAAAACTGTTTTTTTTAATAATTCGAGTAATTGATAAGATAATAAGTTCAAATTCGGTACACTACTTCAACATAAATAGTTACATTTTTTGAGACCAACAAAGCAAAAAACAATTGTCAAATAATCAAAATAGGGGGGGTCCAGTACTCACTGACTCCCCCTATTTTTAGTACGTGCGCCAATGACTTCCAAACGGTATTTTTTTAGGTAATCATTTATTGTTAAAAAAAATTTGTCTCTTATAAAATTTTGATAAAATGATTTGTTTTAGAGATAATTTGTAAAGTATGGGTCAGTCCATATCAAATCAACCAAAGGTTCTTCCTATCCCCCAACCATCTCCGATTTTGATAATTTTTGGTAAATTTGTTTACCTCACTAAAAAACTCAAAAATCCCATATATTTTTTTCGATTGGTGGTTTTTGTTTTATTGATATTTGAAAATCAAAAAATTCCGATAAATTTGGGTTTTGCAAGTACTTACAAAAATAGCGATATCTCGTAAACTATTAAAAGTAGAAAGGTGAGTGGTGGCTTATTTTAAAGGCCTATTAGAGACCTTTTTTATGATATATCACATGACCTAATTTTTTTTCAAAAAAAAAATTAAATTTCAAAAATTTGATATGGATTGACCCATACTTTACAAATTATCTCTAAAACAAATCATTTTATCAAAATTTTATAAGAGACAAAAAATTTCAACAATAAATGATTACCTGAAAAAATACCGTTTGGAAGTCATTGGCGCACGTACTAGAAAATAGGGGGAGTCAGTAAGTACTGGACCCCCCCTATTTTGATTATTTGACAATTGTTTTTTGTTTTGTTGGTCTCATAAATGTAACTATTTATGTTGAAGTTGTGTACCGAATTCAAACTTAATATCTTATCAATTACTTGAATTATTTAAAAAAATCAGTTTTAAATTTCAAACTTTGTTGCCCTGTATATCGAACATGAAGCTCTAAATTGAAAAATGGTATTATGAAACTTTTATTGTTTTAACTCAAAGAATATATGGTTAACTGATTGACCTCCTTTTCCTTTAAAAATCATGTTTTTAACGAAATAAAATCGTTTTTAGCCAAAATTCAACAATTTTTGCCCATTTGAATGACTATATTTACTTCTATACAAAAGAAGAAAGTTTTTTTTTATTTTATTAAATTACTTGGAAAAAACAAACTTTTTGTCCCAATATTTGATATTCAGGGGTTTTCAGAAGGGAAAAATTAAATTTCTTAAAAAATTAATGTAGGTTGTAGGGGCGACACTTTTTTGCGCCTTAGTGTATTCACGTTTTAATAAAAATATAACTTTTTTCATCTTTATTTGGCAAAAAAGATAAACCTTCTAAATGTAAATGTCGCTTCAAGTAACCGTTTTCAAGGATAGAGGCGTTAAAATCTTAAAATTTGTAGGTACTTAAAATAAACATTTTTTTTAAATATATAAAAACATAAAGTTTTAAAAGAACGACGAAGTTGGACAGCCACTAAATTTCTAACGTCTCATAATATATTTTTTAAATCGTAAACTACTTTAAGAATTTTGAAGGTTTTAAATTTTTTTAAAATATTAAAAATTAAAAAGAATTTGGTGATTGAAATTTTGAAAATTTGTCCCACCATTTCTTATATTTTTAGTACTTTTGAATTTTGTCTACAACTTAATAATTTTAAAATTTTTTAAGAATTTTGATAATTTAATTTTTTTTAATTTTGAAAATTTGTCTAACCATGTCTGCAGTGCAAATTTTTTACTGCGTTTGTATAAGCATGTATGATCATTTTTAAAAGTGTTTCGAAAAATTTCGAAAATTTTGCAAACTTGTCTTTTTTGAATACTTTTAGGTGTACGATTTTTTTTCCAAGACTTTTAAAAATGTTGACAGGTTTAAGTTTAAAACTTATTTTATTTTTTAAATTTTGAAAACAATATTTTTTATATTTTTACTGCTGGGCAAATTTTTCCTACAATTTTTAAGTTTTAAAAATATTGTTAAATTTTAAAATTTGTCCCACCATTTCTTATATTTTTACTACTATGCGTATTTTTCCCTAATTTTTATTATTTTGACCTACAGCATTTTTAATTATAAAAATTTTGAAATTTTGTAAATTTGTCCATTTTTGGAAATATTTTTAGCTGTGCGAATTTTTTTCCAATACTTAAAAATGTTTGATAGGTTTAACTAATAAACTTTTTTAAATTAGGAAAATTTTAAAAAATTTAGAAATATAATTTTTTATATTTTTACTATAGTATACTGCGCAAATTTTTCCTACAACTTTTAAGTATTAAAAATTCTGCATTTTTTCTTAATTTGTCCACCATTTCTTATATTTTTACTAGGAATTATAATATACAATGTATTTACAATGTATATATAATGAGCATTTTTAAAAAATTTAAAATTTCAAAAATTTTACAAATTGATGAACACTTATAAAAATGATCATAAAAGCGAAGTAAAAAAGGAGAAAAATTTGCAGTAAAAATTTAAGAACAACTTTACCTTTTTATTAGGAAATTTTGAAAATTAGTTTCACCATTTTTTATACTTTTACTGTGGGAATTGTCACCATAATTTTTTAATTGTGATCTACCAAGCATTTTTAAGTGCTCAGTGCGAAAATTTTAGGAATATATCCATTTTTTTTTTTTTTAATTTTTAACTGTGCAAATTTTTTTCATTTTGACATTTTTACATTAATTTTAGAACGTTTTGAATATTTTAACATTATAATATCGTTTTTTAATTTAAAACTTGTATATTTCAATTTATTTCTGCTCACACCAAAAATGACCGTAAATATAAATTTTTAAACGCCCGGTTGTTTTAAGTGCCATTTTGACAATTTTATTTCATTGGGTTGAAATTTTAACACAATAAAGTAGATAGATGAAGCTACAAAAATTGTTCATGTTACAATAACTTTATGAATATGTATGATTTTTTTTTTAGTTTAATTAGGACCCAAAGCTACATTACAATGATCCTTGGTTTATTATTTGATTAACAAAATATATACGAATTTTAATATGTACAGGGTGTCCCAAATTGGTTGTCCGTATAGGGTCATATCTTTTAACCTAAAAGAGCTAAAAAGAATCTGTCAACACTAATGAATTCTGTGATAAAAAGTGTCTACATAACATGTTAAACCTGTATTCGTAACTCAAATATTAACGAAGCTAGAAGCATTTGTCAAAATTGGCAAAAATTGAAAAAAGAGGTATATCTCCTAAACAAATGCGAATCGAGAAAATTCAGACATCATCCGATGTATCTTTAAAAAAGACGACGGGGATGCGTGGTCGAATTTTTTCTAGCATTTATATTTACTGAGATAGCCTATACGGACAACCAATTTGGGACACCCTGTACATCATGTAAATTACATGTAAAGAAAAACGGTTTATTAGCATATCTTAAAAATAAAAGCTAATTGAATTGGCCACTATGTGGTAAAATTGCTGTCGACCAGTGTAATTAAATTTACCGTGTACAGACGATTTATTTAACATTTTAATTTACCAAATTTTCTTGTTTAGTTATGTCTGGAAAAAGTATCATTACTTTTGTGATCGCTTCGTTTTTTATTATGTTATAAATCGTGGATAAATGATGAAATGCTCTCGGCGATAATTATTTGCGAAATATTCGGACATAAAAACTCCAAAAATATTCGCACTTTGGGGGAAGACATGCCGCGTTAGAAAACAGACTTACCACTTGGTTAAGGGTGTCCTCCAGTTCGGCCTCCTCCGGATTCTTGCTGGACTTCTTCAGCAAGAGGTCGCAGTACTTGGCGAGCAACTCGGGCGATTTGCTGCTGGAGTTGGCGTGCTTGGTGACGGCGTTGGCGTTGATGAAACGCCCGCACGCCTTGTCGAGGGCGGCCACGAAGCCGCTGTCGTTGCTGAACGCGACGAGCACCAGCGCGTTGTACTTCTTGTGCACCTCCAGGATCGTGTTCACGTAGATTTTCGGATCCTAAGTATTGGGGAAAAAAATCATCATCGACTTTGCAGTAGATAGAGTAGGCGGTTTTGGTCGACACCCTAGTAGGGCTGGTACAGTTGAAATTTTCAAATGAAAATTTCAACTTTGAAAGTTTCAAACTTGAAATATTTCATTTAGTTGGAAAAGTGAAATTTTTAAAAATTTCAAATGAAATTTTCAATCCGAAAATTTCAACATTGCCTGTGAAACTTTCAGAAATTTCATTGAAAGTTTCGCAATTTACTGAAAATTTCGCATAAATTTCACATGCGGCCTCCCCTGGGACCTTTAATAATAATTTACAACAGATTCCGAATCGACCAATAAGAACGAGTTATCAAGCGTCTGGGCGTTTTTGTTTAGTTCGGCTTGAATTTGAATACACAAGTAATTATTGTTACCAATTTAATTTGTAAATTAAATCAGACTTTAAATTTTTTTTTAAATCATGATTAATTTAAACTTTTACTTTTGCTATAATTGCATCGGAAATCTCAAGAAATTTGTGGTAAACATAGGTATTTACTATTTATATTATTGGTGCAGGGGCCCACAGAGGGGTAGGAGGTAAGAGAGGCAATTTGCCATGGTCGCCGAGTGGGCTTATTTCAATATTAATATATTACACTTAAAGTGATTGAAATTTATTAAAAGTTTCAATAAATTTCAGAAATTTAGGAAATTTTAATAAGTGTCATGAAAATTTCAAGTGAAATTTCAAGTATAAGCAAGTGAAATTTTTTTTTTGAAGTGAAATTTTCCCAACCCTACCCACTCCACTCTTCCGTGACTTTGAAGAATATTTTCCATAGCTGTGCAAAAATGCAACTAACAATCCTTCAACACGGTCTACAGGGCCGAGCCTAGGGTATCTGCCGCCCGGGTGCAAGAATTAAATTTGCCGCCCCCATTAATGTAAAAAATTAGGTTGTCGGTAGGGAAAGGAGTTCATAATTTATCATTCTCAATAAACATATAACAAATTTTATAGTAAAATAACAAAGTATTTATTAACAAATACATAAAAGAATAAAATAAAAATAGATTCAGGAAAAAAAAACAAAAATAATTAAACTAAACTAAAATCTATTTTTCTCGCTTTTTTAATAGCAAATTCCCTAATCAAGTCGCCTACATCCAAGTTGTTAGAAATATCTTATTCAATACTTATAATTGCTAAATTTAAAAGCCTGAATTGACTCATATTGGATCTTAAATAGGTCTTAATTAGTTATAATTTCGAAAATGACCGCTCTCCATGGGCAACAGTAACTGGTATCGTCAAAAATATTCTTAAAGCTACAAATAAATTCGGAAAGATGCCTTTTAAATCATTAACTAGTTTTTAACTTAAACGCATTAAAAGACAAAAGAAACTACTATGTTTGCATCTTATTTGCCTCACGTTAATAGAAAAACTAAAAATTGCTGAAATACGCAGCCGTTAAATCGAAAGAAATTATGCTTTAACAGTTAAGTTAAAGTTTAACTTAACAGTTCTGCTTGTAAACAATATCACGTGGTACACAGCGCGCGATTTGATTGGTTTCCCGTAAGCCCGCTTCCGTAAAACATGAAACTTGACGAACTCGAAGCGGACGGACGTAAAGCGAAGCGGGCGGGCGGCAATCTATAAACCGGGCTTTAAGAAAATTGTCATCATCATTTTTTGTGGCTATCGCGCGTTCGGTTATGTCTTTTTTATCATTGCCGCCTGACAGCACAATTTTGGCATTGTTTTTGTGTGTAGAATAAAAACGATGATTCCTCAATTGAAACGCCGACATCAATAAAACGCAAGTGATTTTTAGAAAGTTTTTTGCATATTGCAAGGTGGCTTTTTTATTTTGATGATATTTTGCCGCCCTGTGTTAGTGCCGCCCGGGTGCCATGCACCCCTTGCACCCCCGGCACGGCTCGGCCCTGACGGTCTAAACCCGAAAATGCAGATGGTTTGTCTATTTCTTACAACCTTCTTGAAAGGATTTGTTTGACAAGTGGATTTTTTTATTAATTTTATTATTTTTTTTAATTTTCAAAATTCCGAAAACTTTAATAAAAACCGTTTTTTAGAGTAAAAATTACAGTTATGATTATTTTAATTTAATTTAATGGGGTAGTTAAATTTTTTCTGACCTATACTTTTTATGGTTTTATTCAAGGCGTTTTGTAATATTAAACATTTCTGTGAAATCAGAATTTCAATTGAGTTTACCGTTTTCGAGATATTTACAAAAAATATAAATTTTTATGACGTCACAAACCTCGCCATGTGACCAACATTTTAAGATTTCTATTGGTTGAAAATTACCCTGTTGTCAAGTTGTCTTGTTAATGATTTCATTCGGTTATGTCAGAAAATACCCGAAAAGGTTATGTACAAATACTGTCACTGTCAGTTGAGTGAAAGAAGAAGAAGAGGAGGTTAAAGAAAATTCTGAAATTAAAAGTTTTATTGATAGGTTTACACATTGAAACACCGTGTGAAACCTAATAAAATGTAATAAATAGGTACCTAATAACTGTCTAAAGCAGAGTTTAATATATTTCATAGAAAAAAGTTGCAAAATAAAGCTGAAAATGAATTAAATAAATTTACAAAAAATAACAGTAAATGTAAGTTAACAATGGTATTTACGATATTTGTGTATAATTTTTATAAAACTTGCATCCCTGATGTGTAAGATTAAAAAATGTATGACAAACTTTTGGACTGTTCGAAGATACTATGCTCTAGAGTACATTTTTGGTCACCAAATTCATTAAGTACCTATCTTTCTTATTACGAGGTATCATATTACTGTTTGATATTTTAGAGTCCAAGATATATCTAAAAGAATATAAAGAACTAGGCATTATACTAATGAAATGCATTTACGACAAAATATGATTATAATTATAGGTACCTACTTACTTTATTTGTTTAAAAGCTTCAATGTTCAATGTAACCAACCATTCCACAAGATTCCTCTGCTTTGGAGTCCGTTATTAATAAATCACTTATCTAATATCAATTACAAATAACATAACAATAACATTGATTTTCAATAATCTAAATTTTAAAAAAACATAGCCCGAAAAAAAGAAACGTCAATTAATCAATTCTTCTTCTTCTTCTTCTCAACTAAAATTATAGATCAAGTGGTTTTAAAACTAAAATATTACAACGAGGCGCCATCTATCGTAAGAATCTTAAACTAAACACAGTGGCAACCATAGAAAAAGCTGGCAACGTTGTCAATAGCCTAGTGACGTAATTAGGAGATTTATTTTTGTAAATATCTCGAAAACGGTAAACTCGATTGAAATTCCGATTTCACGGAAATGTTTAAAATTACAAAACGCCTTGAATAAAACCATAAAAAGTATAGGTAAGAAAAAATTTAACTACCCCATTAAATTAAATTAAAATAATCATAAAAACTGTAATTTTTGCTCTAAAAAAACGGTTTTTATTAAACGCTGAAAAATCTAAAAACTTCACTCACGTTGTTCGCGCTGTCGCCGCACTTCTCTATGGCGGCCAGGCCCTGCGAGGCGATGTGCTGCTCGAGCAGCGTGCGCAGCTCGCCCAGGCCGTCCGGGATGCGGCTCACTAGCGAGTACATGCGCCCCAGGTCGGCGTCCTTGTCGGCGTCGAGCAGCTGCTGGAACTCGGAATGGAAGAGCTCGAGGTGCTTCTGGATGAGGACGCGCTCGCACGTCTTCGCCAAGCGCTCCTTGGTGGTCTCGTGCAAGTAGATTTGCACGCGGCGTTGCTCCTCGAGCAGCCTTTGCTCGGCCTAAAAGGAAACCCTCGTTTAACTGGGCTACCACTAGTAAGCTACTAGTGATGACCCAAACAGCGATATTTGCTTGAAGCCGCCAACAGTTTTAAACAAGGGCGATTTTATTTATTACCTGGGTTAAAATTTATTTACAGGCACATTTCAGTCCCTGGCAAAAAAAAATTTAAAGTAACGAAGTTTAAAATGACAAAATGTAACGCCCGTCACATGTCCCTGTCGTCTGTTTATTATGTTAAATCTGTTGCATTTTACTGTCCAAAGTTGAAAATAAATATTTAAATAATTTACGATATAGAAACAGTTACGTAATTTTTTAATCAATTTTCCTTATACTCCTCTTTACAATATCAAAGTTTCGGTAGTGCCTTAAAGCTGTGTCCCCCAGATTGTGCGTAACGCCGGTAGCACTCCATATACGCTCACATTTTTGCCGCCAGAGGCGCTAATATCAGTCTTCGTTAAATTTTGTGTTACGAAAACTTTGCTGCTAGTGATTTTGCATTAAATAGGTAAGTTTTCATTAAATTTACTTAATTTTTCCTCAAATTATGAAAAAATTAGTTCATGCGTATGTTTTTGTGTCGTAACAACGGTCACATGGCCTATTTTTAATATTCTTCAAATTTCTTATAATTGCTAAATATAAAAGTATTTTATTTATTTATTTATTTACATCAATATATGCGTTATTAATAAATATGAATATTTTTTTATTTCGTTATTACGTTTTACAAAATTTGTTTAATAATCTATGATTTGAACGTGTGACCGGCGTTAAAAAAGGTTGCTTAAAGAAGATGCCGGAAATTCAGAAACCTACATATCCAGTGCGGACACATACAAAATTTGGTAGAAGAAACCTGTACCAACTAAAAAACTTGGGGTTTTTTAAAATACACCGACTTTTATTTTTTAACTTTTATTTTTCGGAATTGGCCCGTAAATAAATTTTGACCCACCTAATAAACACACGGTGCTGTTCTGAGAGGTGATTTTTGGACTTTCTGTGAAACCTAATTTTTTTTATATTCTTGTTAATTAGGTCATAACTAAAATTTTAAGAGCAAAATAAAAAAAATTTGACGGTTAATTTTGTTTTAATTGGATGTTTATTAAAAATATGTATGCACACTTTCAATTCTCCAATTAAAACTTGCGATTTTATTTAAATATTATCATAACTTTTTAAATCAGATTAAAGATTAGTTAATTTCCTAAAAAAAGGTCTATACATTTTTTATATCTTTTACTGTTTTGTTGTAATACACGTTTAAAGTTTTAATTTAAGGTTAAATGTATAGTATACATTTATTAAACAATAATTCTAAGGGTGCCACATTTTATTTAGGGCCGATTTATTCATTTTTGATTTATTTGACGAATAATTTCATTGGATACTAGATATTGCCAAGACATGAAAGTTATTGGCCCAATAAACTTTACTAAAGATGAATAAACCGGTCCTTAGTTAAATTTCATGAATTTCTTCGTAACTTTTACTACAATTTTTCATTTTTGTTTATAAAAAACACTTTAAAAAACTAAACAAAAATTATAGAATACGTATACTGAAAATGACAATTCAAACATCAAATAAATTTTTAATAGATAAGTTTCGTGGCAACCTTTAAGGATATATTAATTAGGGGAACATAAATGTATACGTCAAAGGTTAGATTAAAAGTTTGAACGCTTATTGCAACAAAACAGTAAAATATATAAAAAAAATTGTAAAAACCTTTTTTTTAGTTATAAATGCAAATATTAAATATTTAAATTAAATCGCTAGTTTTAATTGGATAATTGAAAGAGTGCATAATATTTTTAATAAACAGCCAATTAAAACAATTCAAACCGTCAAATTTTTTTTATTTTGCTCTCAAAATTTTAGTTGTGATCTAATTAACAAGAATATAAAAAAAAATAGGTTTCACAGAAAGTCCAAAATTCACCTCTCAGAACAGCACCGTGAACAGTTTTTAAAATAAAAATTTTATGTTTTACTTAAACAGGTCTTTATGACAACACATGCTTTGTATTTTTTCTTGTAAATTTATGCATGTTATAGTATTACATTTTATGATAATAAAACTAATAATTAATGTAATGGATAAGTAAAGTATTTATTATGGTGGATTAAATACGGTTTGTTTATATTTACTGGGTCGGATATTACAAGATAATCAGAAATTTTTATCCCGACCGTCAGAAATTGTATTGTGGCGGTAGGGATAACAATTATATCAAAAAATGGAATGGTACTTGAAAGTGCCTTTATTGATTGCCGTTACATTCTCGCGACATAATATGTACAGTTCTATTAGAGTTAGCCTTTATAGGGTCTTTAGTTCATTAAAGGCACGCCATTATAAAACCTTTACAGTTGTGTTTGCTGGGTATATACAAGTAGTATTAACACAGGTTAAAAATATAATTAATTATTTAAAAAAATAGATTGACAAACTTAAAAAAATTAGTATAGAACTAGAATAGAAACTGATAAAACTTATAACTAGGTAATTTTAAAATTAAAATTTAAAAATTCATTAAATGAAAAAAAGGAAATTTGAATTGAAATTTCCTTAATTTTATTTTTAAAATTTTTGAAAAAAACAATTCCAATGTTATTTATAGGGTTTTAAAATTTCCGGAACAAATTGAGCCGGCGGAAAAAAACGGGAAAATGTGAAATTTTTAAAGAAATTGACTTTGCTTTTTTTCATTTTATTCAAAAAATGCAAGTGAATTTTTCCAAAAATTTACACTGATATGGAGAAAAAAGCGATTTTTTTTCTGTAAGAATATTTTTTTTAATTAAAATAATGTTTAGTTGTTTTGATTGCCACTTTTTTGAAAATGTGTATTTTTCCAAAAAAAAAATCAATTCAACGAAAAAAAGAGTTTTTCCCCAATTTTCCGGTTTTTTTTCGACACTTTAAAACCCTAGTTGTTTAACCTTACCAAAATTATAATTTTTATTTTAATGATAACTGGGTTATAAATAGACATGCAATATACAAGACGTATTTTTGTAAAAAATACCTAGGTTTTTTCGTAAAATCATTTAAATGATATCGAAGGTCAAAATTTGAAATAAAAATTGTCGTTTTTTAAATATATATAAAAATATATTATAAAGTTTTTTTACTTGGGTATTCTCTTATTATTTGTTTACCGTCTAAAAATAATTAAAAAAAAATTCTGATGTCCTTTAACCCTACCTAAATGATGATATTTTTTTCATTTAATCACAAAAGAAAAAATTTATAAGTCACTATAAATGTTGAAAGAAAAATATTTTTTTTTAATTATTACAAACTTTGATATCAATTTAATGTATGGTTTTACAAAAAAAACGTTATTAACCTTTTTCTACAAGAATGTCTTGTGTATTGTTGCATGATTATTTATTAGCGAGTTGATTTTTTGCTTACATCTTTAAAATCAAAAAACGACTTAATGAAAATATATTTTTTTAAATTGTTTTTAGATTGTCAAACAAGTTAAGTTATATAACCTTAAAATCACAAAACGCAAAAATGTTTCCAAATAGAATTTTAAACTAAAAAAATCCAAAAATCTATCTCATTTTGCTTACCTTCTTCATGTACTCTGTAATAGGATTTTCCACCAAAAACCTGGAACTCTCAGACGTATAAAACCTCTCTGTATCCTCAAGAAAAACATTTTCGAAATTTTCCTTGTACACGCTCAAGTTAGGCCCTTTGGCACCTGGTTCCTCCTCATTTAAACCCAACTCGACATAGCAATTTATCACTCCAGAAACTAAATGGGTGTTGATAGTCTCACCGTTTCTCTCTCTCTCAATTAGTTTTAATACGGCATTAGTAACCTAATAATGCAATCGATGAATTTGCTGTTAAACATTTCATTGTCGAATTAATTTACCTGTTTGTTTAGTTGTTTGAATAAATGGTCCCTCCAAGTCACAAGAGCAAGCTGATAAATAATGTAAATGCCTTTTCTACCTTCCTCACACTCCCTTTTCACCCAGTGCCTATTTAAATACGCGCAAACTCCATTGAGCACCTTACTACTAAACTGATATTCTTCCCATTGTACTGTGTAGAATTTCAACACATCCTCATCCATTCGATGCATGCCATCCTGAAAGGAATATTTCAAAACATGCAAAATATTGTTTTGAAACTCTCAAGAAGTCAAATAAAAACAATAAAAATATATTAAAGTTTGGGTTATATCTCCCAAATATTTTTTTTAACCATATACACTGCGCGTCAAAATTAACGCATAATAAGTAAAAAAATGTAACCCTAAAACGTCTTTACCAATCTTTATGAAATTTTGTATAAAAATACTTCAACTTATATCTCAGCTTACGTTTTCTTGTGTTTTTCGAGAAAATATTTTTAAAGCCCTTTTAATTAAAAATAAAAAAACGTTCAAAAAATAACTTTTAGGTTTTTTTTTAAGTAAATAAAAAATATGTTGTTAAAGACCGTATTTTTGTTAGTATACCCTGAAAATTCTGTACAAATCAAACGAACAATAACGAAGATACAGCGCTTCAAAGTCGGTAAAAAACCCTTTTTGATTATTTTGCTAAAAAGTGGTCATTTTTGACGACTTTGAAGCGCTGTATTTTCGTTACTGTTCGTTTGATTTGTACAACATTTCCAGGTTATACTAATAAAAATACGGGCTTTCAAATCATATTTACGGATATTTTTTCGAAAAACCCTTAAACACGTAAACTGAGATATAAGTTAAAGTATGTTTATCCAAAATTTTATAAAGATTGGTAAAAGCGTTTTAGAGTTGATTTTTTTTTTACTTTACTTTAATTTTGATGCGCAGTGTATTATAAATGGGAAAAAAAGATCGTAAAAGGGGTAGAAAAAAATCAGTTTTTTCTAATAAAAAAGGCAAAAATTACACTGAAAAAATTATGGTAATTTTAATCCATAAAAAGTACAATACAGAGCGCCCTCTAGTTGCTACAGTAAAACTGTGCCCATAGTAAGTTTCCTTATACGAAAAAAAACCTGTATACCATTTTTTAATGCAATACTACTATTTTATAATTGACATTATCCAACAAAATGTAATTTTTTTTATATGGAAATAAACAGTATTATTATTATTATTTTAATGCAATATGTCAAAAATGTTCACGATATTTTAAATTTCCATTTTTAAAACTGAATTTTAACATTCTGTATCTCAAAAACTAAGCGTTTGACGAAATATTTGCAATAATTTAAAGGTTCTATAATTAATTTTAAGTTTTTAAAGCTATGCAACAAAAACCTGAAACACCCTGTATATAAAAAAAATTGTTAAACCCAGAAAGTTTTGCCTGTAAACAATTAGGTATGTTGAAAAGCTTCACACCTTTTCTTCCTTACCAATAGGAAACTACATAAAGCTATTATTTTTTTAAAGGTGGATATAAGCAAAAATAAAAACAAAATGGTTCCAGAAAAAAATGGAATAAATCAAATAAAAAATGCAGAAATCCTTTCAGTGTCAATGTAAATGTTTTAAAATTTATGAGGAACCTCTTAAAATTAAAATTAAGAGTTTGGATTTTAACTGAATTTTTATTTAGGCATATATAAATTATTTTCATGTGGCATTGAAAAAAAAATATCACCTTTTTTAACTTCCTATCAGGGTTTGCCTGATTTAAATTTTATTTTAATCAATGGTTTTAATCAGTTTAAAAAAAAAGTTTCTAAAATCTAAAAAACACTTAAAAGATCTAAAACTAAAGCACAATATTAACTTGACCAAAAAATATATGACAGTTGCGGATAGTGGTATATTTGTTTGTAAAGTAGTGACAAAGTAATATTATTATTATTATTATTATTTTTAGTATTTTTTTTTTAATAGTACACTTTATTAAAAAAGCTTATAATTTTGAATATTGTAATACAAATAAATAAAATCATTTTTTGTTGATTTTTTAAATAAAAATAACTGATTTTTGATTTTTTTAAATCATGATTTTTTCAAACTCTGCTCTCCATTAAACCTACATATAAAGTATTGATGTTAAAAATTAAAAACAATCTATAAATCCATAAAATTTATAAAAGCAATGCATTGCTAATGGGCTAATTTTAAATTCAATTAAAAAAGACTTTACATAGTTAAATTCAAATTATTAATAGGTTTTATCACAATCCACACAACATTTGATTGTTGTTATTATTTGTAATCAAAATACAAATGACCTTGAGAATAAATAATAGATTTAATGACTAGAAATGCACAATTTTGTAAGCCAACCAAACATTTAACATGTAGGTATTTAATGTATAAATAAATAAATAGTAAATAATAGAAAATTACCAAACAACCTTGTAAACAGCAAGTCATCCTTCACACATACAAACATACAAAGAAAATATACACAAAATTGTATACGTACACTTAATAAAGACACTAAGTAATGCCTTAAAAACTCCCTAAGCCTTTGATACAGTTCAAGTCCCACAAGTTGGGCCCCGCAACCTCCTGCATTTTTTTTGTTTTTCGATGGAGGGTTGCTGGATTGTTTGTTAGCTTGTTGGGCTTGTTGGTGCACAGAGGTGCAGTAATTGTAAACGTGTGTGTAGAGTTCCATGTATCGGGACCTTTGCATGGTCTGCCATTCGTACACCTGTTTAATCCCAGTGTTTAAGTCACCCCATATTTGATCCAGATTGTAAACTTGTTTTAGACCTCCTGGATTGTTTCCTGTCCCCATTGAATTCTTATTCGACATTTCCTTCGAGCCACAAAATATTTTTCTGAAATTGAAAATGTCTTTTAAGGCACATTTATGAGGTCAACTAAAATTCAAGCTATTTTGGTTTTTGGCGTTGTTTCGACACCGGATTCAGCATAAACGATTCACGCATTGCACAAAACCATTTTAGAAAGTTTTATCAAAGATATTTTGAAATGTCTTTCACCTTTTGTTTGTAATGATCTCCATATAAACTTTCTTTCATATTTTATACTTACCAATTATTCTATAACATAACAAAAATTTACACTCTATATACAAGTAACTGGTACAAGTGAAAACTTTAAATTTTTAAAACGTATGGAATTATTTTAAGAACTTTATTTGTTTCTTGATTTATCACAAAATTGACAGTTTTCACTTCTCTGAAGTTTGGTTACTTTTGCTATTTGTGTTATTAAGTTGGCAATACTTTAGTTACATAATTATTGTTTTAAAATGCACTAAAATTTAAAGGAAATTGAAAATATTGCAATATTTTACTTAGAATTACTATCCCATTCTAACATATTTTTGTAAAGAAATAAAGTTAAAGTTTGCGGCACATTCTATTTAAAGATTTTACCGAAAAAAAAAAATACTGTCAAATTTGCGGCTAACTTCGCGTCAGTTTTTTAGCGGGAACCATAACCATAATTTTTTTTCTGCGCTTTTGAAAATTTTCGTGTTTATTTGAAGAATTATCATGGGAATTTTGGGATTCTCGAAACTTTTAGCCGATGTGGCCCCACACGCAATCAAAGAAATGGAATTAAAACATTACTTTGGTAAGAAAAAACTAACATTTATTATAGGGGAACTGCATTTCACAAATTAAAACTTTTTTAGGTCGTAAAGTAGCTATTGATGCCTCTATGTGCTTGTACCAGTTCCTGATCGCCGTGAGAAACGACTCGGGCCAACTTGCCACAGCCGATGGTGAAACCACATCTCACCTTTTGGGCACATTCTACCGTACCATCAGGTTGCTAGAGAACGGCATCAAACCTGTGTACGTTTTCGATGGTAAGCCGCCGGATCTAAAAGCCGGCGAGCTCACCAAACGTGCCGCCAAAAGGGAGGAAGCCCAAAAGGCTTTGGATAAAGCCACTGAAGCTGGCGATGCCTCCGATATGGATAAGTTCAGCAGAAGGTTGGTTAAGGTTACTAAGCATCATGCTGAGGAGTGCAAGCAGTTGTTAACTTTAATGGGGGTCCCATACATTGATGCCCCATGTGAGGCTGAAGCTCAGTGTGCTGCAATGGTAAGTGAAATACGTTTATTTTATTTATTTATTTATTTCTTTAATATTCTACAGGCTTAAAGTAAAGTTACAGAATATATCTACAAAAATAAAAATATCCTATATACCAAAAAAATAACCTAAATATTTTAGAAATATTAGTTATTATAATTAAATGCCTCTAAAATGTTTTCACAACATTTAGATGTACCACTTTTTAAATTTATGCAATATTTTTTTCAGAACATTTTTAAAACATTTTTGTAAATGTTTTTAGATTACCTTATTAATGTTTCCTCAACATCACAAAAATATGTAGAAATATTTTCAAAATATTTACAGCTCATTGCATCTTTAGGTATTTTAAAAATATTGTAAATGTTAATAAAATATTGCTTTTATATTTATAAAAGCAGTGTGATACTTTTTGTGTAGTGAATTTTGTTGTTTTGTACTGAATTTTCTTGTTTTGGGGTGCAAAAAGTAAATGTGGTATGGTATTCTCATATTAGATATACTCAAAACAGTGGAGATCCATGTTTATTTATTTAAAATAATAGATATAAATAAAAGAATATTTTTCTTGGTTTTTCTTTTTAAGTTTCTTTTTTACTTTCTTTTTCTAAATTTAGCTTAAGCCAGCCATTGTTTAATTTAAATTAAAGTCTTCAGTTCAGGATTAGGTATGTTTGTTTTTTGTTAATAAGAAATTTACTGATAGAATAATTATTTCAAATGAGTGGCAATAAAATTTGAAGATACCTCCGTGGTTTAGTACACTGCCATTATAATAGCAATTATAATCTAAACAATAAAAATAAATATATTGCATACCTCTAGCAGGAAGGATTATGGATAATTTATTATTTTATCTACTCCTATTGCATAATTTTGTGTTTTTTCGTGAATATTGATATAATTATAAATTCCCTGCCTAACAACGTGAATAATAAACTCATTATTCACGTTGTTAGGCATCAGTGATTGACCGATTTCAATTTTCACTGCGATTTAAACCAATCGGGTTTTAAATTAAAAGAAGGCGACTATAATAACATTTAAAAATTGGTAAAAAGTAAGGTTAACCATTTGACAGATGTCAGATTTTATTTGTTTAATTTTTAACATTTAATTTTCTTTAATTGGAGTAGATAAAGTATAGTATTATACTCGATATTATGCGCATTATCTCTCGTATAATAATATACTATTAACCTATCGTCGCACTTGAAACACACTCAACAAAGTAAAAAACTGACGCTGATTTGTGGATGACTTTAGCGGCCAAGCCTTAGACAACAGATACCTTTTTATCAAAAAGTTTATAAATATTGTTAAATAACTTAACAATATTTAGGAAATATTTACATAAAATTGCGAAATAAGATATTTACGTGATATTTTTGAATGTTTCAGAAATATTTACGGGAAACAGTTTATTTATGTTTGAAATAAGAATTCAATTCAATTGACTCAATTTTTTGATGAAATAAAGATCACACTAACAAAACAATCCAATACCCAATAGAAAACTTTTTTTTTCAAGCCTATAATAATTTTCATAACAAAAAATATAATGATCTGATTATAAATGTTAAATGTTAAACACTAAAGAATTGCATTTTCCAGTGCCTATGTTGTAGAAATATTTCATCTTTTTATTAACACCCTGTATCAGAGCTGGGAAAGTATCTAGATACTTTAAACAAATAATAATAAATAATCTTTATTATCCAATTTTGACAAATACAAGTTTGAATAGGAATAGTCAATAAGAGAAAAAATGCACAATAAAAAAGTTTACCACTAACTTAAAGGCTAAATTAAATGAATTAAATACTACAAAGTTACAAGAGAAAAAATTCAGAGACATCATACAAACACAAAGACTGTAAATAGTTTTTTAATTAGAAATATTTCATCCTTTTATTAACACCCTGTATCAGAGCTGGGAAAGTATCTTGATACTTTAAACAAATAATAATAAATAATAATCTTTATTATCCAATTTTGACAAATACAAGTTTGTATAGGAATAGTCAATAAGAGAAAAAATGCACAATAAAAAAGCTTACCACAGATACCTACTTTTGAGTATGAATAAAATAAAAACTATAAAATTATGAAAATTCAACAAGTTGTAGGTTAGGTAGTTACTTTGAATCTTTCTGGAAATCCCCCAATTTTCTTTAAGAAAATATCTAAGTTACACTGAAAAGTATCTAAGTTACTTTAAAAAGTATCTTAGTAACTTTTTATCTTGAATGTGTCTTAGTTACTATACTGAATACTTTTTTAGATACAAGTTACAAGATACTTATCCAAAGTAACTAAGTTAAAGATACTTTCTGTCCATTATAAGTATCTTAGATACTTTTAAGTATCTAAGTTACTTTTAAGTATCTTTTTTTTCAAGTTACTCCCAGGTCTGTCCTGTATTCGACAGGTTTCAAAGATACTAAGAAAAAGCAATATTTTTTTTTAACTTTGAACACTACTTATATATTTAAAGTTGCAGACCTAAGTAAGTATTTGAAGTTGGTGGAACGCACTCAAAACAATGAACTTTTTTCCTTAAAATTATCCAAGGATTTGAGCCAATTAGTATTAGCATCCAATTAAGAAACAACGTGTAAATTAAAATAATAACTGAAATTTTAGGTAAAAGCAGGAAAAGTTTTTGCAACTGCAACTGAAGATATGGATGCTCTAACCTTTGGTTCAAATGTCCTTCTAAGACATTTAACTTTCAGTGAAGCGAGAAAAATGCCAATTCAAGAAATCCATTTGGATAAAGTTTTGGAAGGATTCAATTTTACTCAGAAAGAAGTAAATTCGCCAATTTCATTTATTGTTTTTTTACTTTATTATATTTTAGTTTATCGATTTGTGTATTTTGTTGGGATGTGATTACACTGACAGTATTAGAGGAATCGGCCCCAAAAGAGCGTTCGAGTTAATGAAAAAACATAAAAGTATCGACGATATACTCAAAAATATTGATAAGGAGAAGTATGTACCGCCTGCAGATTGGAACATTGACGTTGTCAGAAACCTTTTTATTGAACCAGTAATCGCAGATCCAGAAACCATTGATGTAAGCTATAAAAATACATTTTTTATAAATTTATTATTATTTTTTTTTAGTTAAAATGGGGCGAACCAGATGAAGAAGGCATGGTTAAGTACTTGTGTGGCGAGAAACAATTCAACGAAGAAAGAGTAAGAAACGGCGTCAAAAAATTAATGAAAGCTAGAAGTGGAACCACCCAAGGAAGACTTGATGGGTTCTTCAAGGTTCTATCCTCGACCCCTGCTAAAAGGAAGCCTGAAGATTCCAAGAAAAATACTCCAAATAAAAGGGGGAAAGTGGGAGCTGGAAAGGGAAGAGGAAGACCAAAGTAATGTTAGTTTTTTTATGTTTATTTTTAAGTTTTACTTTACATTTGTTTTATCACATTATTATTAACATAGGTACCAAATTATGGAAAGAATTTTTATGAAATTATTTTTTAAGTGAAGCATTGACTATAAAGAGTAAATATTGTTCAATACTCCTGTAATTCTACCATACACATATATTTATTTTTTTTATATAATAAAATACATACACTTACCTCTTTTGCATTATTTTTTAAAAAATATGACTTAAATTAAAAAATGTAAAATTGGGTAAGAAAAATTGCATTTTGAAGCATTTGTATTGTTTTATTTATCTTAAAGCTTGATTAAATGATTACATCTAATATTGCGTATAATTTTTATAAAAAATATGAATATCACAAATTCCTCCATTAGTTTTATTTTTATCAGGCAACTAATTTCATTGAGACAAGTTCAGTTTATCCACAAGTTGCTGTAAAATTTTATTGTTTTTGGAGACTGCAACTTTTTGGAAGTAATTCTTTGTTCTGGCCTAAAACACAATTTATTACAAGGTGTCCAAAAAAAAATTATATTTAATGGTTTGAAAAAATTCAGGAAAAACAGGTTAATTAAGTTTAAATAAGAACAATAAGTAAATAGACTTTTTAGGGGATTTCCTAGCAGCTAAAACACATTTATCTAGTTTATAACAAAATATACATTTTCCCCAAAATTAACAATTTGGAAAAAACAAAATTTGATAAGTATTTGGTGAAAATTAAATTGAAAAAAGTATTATTTTTTTAAAATGTGAATATACTAAGGCGCAAAAAAGCGACCATTTGACACCCTGTATTTTGGATATCGAGTTTTGTATTAAGGTCAATTTAGTTATATCGCATTATTTTGGTCTTGTACCCTGTATATTATACCAGGCACAGTAAAGTATAAAAATTGTGATGTTACGTAAAAAATACATCTTTCTCAGTTTTTTTATTTATTTTTATTAATTTTTTCAAACTTAGTAGTAGCATATACAGTGTGACCCATTTGTTTGCGATTCACCCCTGTAAAATCTTTATTTTTTGTGCGATTTTAACCGGATTTGTTTTAAAGGGTAGACCTTGATAAACTGTATTTTATTGTAAAATTTTAAGTAGAAAAAAGCACAATTTTAACCACAAAAATTTATTCTGCCAAGTTATCCATGAAAAATTAAACTTTATTAGTAAATGTTTTTTCCATGGTTAACTAGACAGAATAAATTTTTGTAGTTTGTGCATTTTTCTTCTTAAGATTTTTCAATAAAATTAAGTATAGGGTCGTTTTGAGGGGTGGTAAATCCAGTGCCGTGCTTAGGTTTTGTTTAAAAAAATCGCTAATACTATTTAAGTAAAAAACTCGTGCATTTATTTTACAAAAATTTGCAAATAATTTAATAAAAATGCAAAAAAAAATTGCATTTAATATCACAATATTCAGTTGATGATATTGAAACTACCAAATAATAAATCAATTTTTTTAGTATCAAAATTTTTAAATATGGAAAATGAAATACATTTTATTTTAACTTTATTATAATTAACAGAAATGAGATTTTAGATTTTGTCTACGCTAAAAATAACTTAAGGTGTAATGGAATAAAATACTTTTTGAAGAAAATGATTTGCCTAAATTTTAATTTTTAAGAGAAATTTACCAAAATTTTAAATTTAATTTTCCAAGATAATGTAATTTTACCTATTTCACCTAAATTCTTATTTTTAACAAATGAACCTAATTTTCAAATTTTACAATCAAAACCAAAGGCTTTGTTATCTATGATCAAAACCATGATTTTTTTGTACAGTATTGGTAATGTGGGTTGGTTGGTAGCGACGCAAATGTGACATTCCTGTGCAATGTTGCATGAGATCTCAAGTTTTTCCAGTCAATCTTGGTTTATTAAAAAATCTTATGAATTTTAAAAGAATTTTTTTAAACATTTCTATCATGAATGTGCCGACATTACAATATTTTTACAAGATATATTCGTCGGTTATTTTCAAATTTTTTAAATCATAAAAATGTTCAATAAAATTGTAAACAATAATAAATTAATTAATATTACCAACTAAAAGTTGCTTTCCAGTACATAGGTAATTTAAGAGATTTCTTATCTTCTAAAACCAGGACCTACCTTACCTATTTAGGTACCTATTTTTATAAATTTTGCGACCTAAAATCCCATAATTATTATTACCTACTAATATTATACACTTTTCGAAATTTTATATTGGATTTAGTTTCAGATGCCAATGAATCCATTAATGTAATTATTGAAAGAAAAACTTTATTGTGTTTTGGGACATTTTTTGGTAATTTTGCTTATTTTTAACAATTCTAAATTTGGGGTTTAGATAGTTTTTATGTCATCTTTAGTTTTAATTTTATAAATATAATTTAAACGGTTTTAAGACATTTTAAGAGAGTTCCAATAAAATTTATGTCATTTTTTTATCGTCTTAGACAATTTTTAGATATTTTTGAGACATTCTTTGGTAGTTTTGCTTATTTTTTAAAAATTGTAAATTTGGATTGATTTAGACAGTTTAGGTAGGTCATTTTTAGACAATTCCAATACAATTTGGGTCATTTTAGATAGTTTTGGGACAGTTAAAATACAATTTGGGTCATTTCGGATAGTTTTGGGACATTTTTGGTCATTTTAGATAGTTTTAATACAATTAGAGTCATTTTATAAAGGTTTTGACATTTTTTTAACAATTTTAAATTTGGGTTGTTTTAGACAGTTCCAATACAATTTGGGTCATTTTCGGATAATTTTTAGTACAGAATAATATGAATTTTTCACAGACATTATAATGACCCCCATGTCACATTTACACTTCGTCACAAACGACCCCCCTCTAAACGTGTGACATACTTTATAGACAAACACTAACCTAAAATATTGCACATCTAAAAACGGTTGAAATGGAAATATTTTTTTAAATTGCTTTAATGGTTTATACTACCTACTACAATAAAATATAAAATTCTAGAAATGTATCTTACCATATACTTTACATCTGCATAACCATTCTTAACGCTTAGTTGCCACAAATTCAAAGCCAATGTGATTCTGTTAGCAGAGTTTATATCACCTCTGGTGACAACTCTTATAAACAACTCGGTGGCCAACTGAGATTGCCTTCTGCAAGGCCCCATTTCTTTTAGCTGCGTCAAAATCTCGCCGAGCAAAATTGAGCAAATATTGTTCACTTCTGATATAAATTTTGGGTCTGAACCATACATACTGTCATTTGACTCCACTACAAAACAATTATTTTACTATGTATTTATTTAATTAAATTCATATACCTTTGTCTATATGATAGGGATAAACCTCTTGGTTCATGGTGGACATCATGTCAATAACACTTATGTAAATAGTTGTTAGCGACCCGTTTTGTTTATTCCATTCAAAGCATCTCAAAACGTTCAGCAAAATCCTTGTAAGACTTAAAACGCCTCTCTCGGGATTATCGGGTACTACTACAAGTGTCGACAAAAATTCTTTTATGTAAGGGACTAAGAATATTTCGCATTTGCCGTGATCGTCCTGTAACTCCGGAATTATACTGAAGGCTGCTTTAAAACAAGCATCCGCTGAAATATTGTTTTAAGTACCTAGGTAATTTTTTCTTTAAATCAGTATTTACCTTGTCCCAAACATTCGTTGAATAAAGCCACCCTTCCGGATAAAAGATAAAGCTGCAATCTGGTTTTAACAGAAACAATTGAAGGAACCGTTATAAAACAATAGACAGCACAAGCTCTAACAAAATCACCAGTTTTTCTTGTATGCATCCCTTTGATTATTTGTCTTGTGTTTACGGATAGAGAATTAACGCACTATAAAAACAAAATTATTGTTATACAGGGTGTCCCAAAATTGGCTGCCCAAAAATTCCTTTTGAAACTCCAAGACAAATTTTCCTTTACCATTTTTTTTTAATTTGTTGGTAGGCAACCCAGATTAAATAAATAAATCCTGCAATTTTGCCAATTCGAAAAAATGGTAAAGGAAAATTCGTCTCGGAATTTTACCCTGCATAATGTAACATTAGACTGGGCCAAAAAAATCGACTATTTTTTTTTTGTAAAGTATATCAAAAATATTGTTTGGGGTAACAAAAAAAAATTATGGTTTTAAGTTTGAGTCCATAATATTAATATTATCATTATCATCGCAATTTTAGGTTTTTTTCCTAAGCGAGTTTTTGTCTTAGAACTCGCAAACCATTAAGTTTAACAAAATTGATTTGGGAATTTTTTTTTTTAATTGAATGCTCTACAAAAAAGGTTTGATTGGAATTTCCCGTCAGATGAACCATTTCCTTAAAATCATGTCTTAAAATTGGTATAGTTTAACAATTTGAACTTTGGAATTTTGTAATTCATGTAAAAATCAGTACCCGGAAAAAACCGATAGATATTCTTATGGGAAATCAAATGCTCTACAAAAAGTCTCCTAATATTTTTGGCTAAATTCACTCCATCAAAAGTTATTCAGGTTAAATTTGAAGTCAAAACGAAATTCTTGTTTTTTCCGCTCTAGATTTTTTTTGGGTCAGTTAAAAACTTGAATTCTTTTATCGATGATAATCTTTATGATATTGATAAAATTACTAAAAATTAAAAAAAAAATATTCGAATTCATTCGAATTTTTTCGCTTAAAGAAGCTATTTTCTTTAGAAAATATTATTTTCACTGTTATCTATTTAATAGTTTATATAATAACAATCATGTTGTTATTCATTGTAAATTGTTAATTAGTTATATAATACAAATTTATTAAAAAAAAATCAAATTATCATCCATAAAAAAATAAATCTACAGAGGAAAAAACAAGAATTTCGTTTAGTTTAGTTTGATTTAGTGAAATTAAGAGACTTTTTTTGTAAAGCATTTGATTTCCCATAAGAATATTCATTATTTTTCTGCGTACTGATTTTTACATGAATTACAAAAGTCCAAAGTTAAAAGATCAAAATGTAAAACTATATATAGTTGGTATACCAATTTTTAAGGCATGATTTTAAAGAAACGGTTCATTTGACAAAAAATCTCATTTGAACCATTTTTGTAGAGCATTTAATTTCCTTAAATATATCTGAGTCAATTTTGTTAAACTCAAAGGTTTGGGAGTTTCTGAGTTTAAGACACTTCCAATACAATTTAGACAGTTTTTATGTAATTTTCATTCAGTTTTAGACAGTTCCAATACAATTTGGGTAATTTTCGGATTCATTTTAGACAATTGTAATACAATTTGGGTTATTTTAGAAAGTTTTGGAAAATTTTTTGGTAGTTTTTATTGTTTTTAACAATTCTAAATTTGGGTTAATTTAGACAATTTTAGGTCATTGGTACTCAGTTTTAGACACTTCCAATATAATTTGGGTCTTTCAGATAGTTTTAGACAGTTTTTGTTCATTTTAGATGGTTCTAATACAGATTTCGTAATTTTAGACAATTCTCATTCAATTTGTTACATTTTTGAATAGTTTTAGATAGTTTTTGGTAATTTTGATTATTTTTAACAATTCTAAATTTGGGATGATTTTAATCAACCCAAATTTAGAATTAAAATCAAATTTGGACAGTTTTTTAGGTAATTTTTAGTCAGTTTTAGACAGTTCCAATACAATTTGGGTCATTTTCGGAGTTTTAGACAGTTTTTGGTCATTTTAGAGAGTTCTAATAAAGATATCATTTTAGACAATTTTAATACAATTTGGGTTATTTTAGAAAGTTTTGGGACATTTTTTGGTAGTTTTAATTGCTTTTAACAATTTTAAATTTGGGTTAATTTAGGCAATTTTAGGTCATTGTTACTCAGTTTTAGACACTTCAAATACAATTTGGGTCATTTTCAGATAGTTTTAGACAGTTTTTGTTCATTTTAGATTGTTCTAATACAGAGACAAAAACTCGATGAGGAAATTTTTTTTTTAATTGCGATGATAGACATCTTAATATTAATATTATTAATATTCGATAGTTGATAGTTGATTTTTTTGGCCCAGTCTAATGTAACATATCTATTACATTGAACTTACTTGAATCAACTGCGCCAAAACAGCATCGATATTGGAAAACGCCCCCCTAGCCTCAACATAAAAACTGAGCTGTTGCTCAAAGTCCCTGCCGTAGTCCACCCTTCTGATAATGTTGCATAAAATCTCCCCGATTTGCTTGTACTCGTCTTCGGGGGTTAGAGCGTTCACGGAATCGTGTAAAACCCCGCAGAGAAACATTAGAGCGTTGGTGACTACCGGATCGTTTGTTTTTAGGTCGCTATTCGATTGGGTTAGAACGCTTTTGCACACCTCGACGCGTATCGACTCTTGCTGGAATAAGTCTATGAGACGTAAGAAATTGTCCTAAAATTAAATTATTATTATTACACAGTTTTTTATCATTTTTATAGTTTTTTTTATAGTTTAGCAAATTAATTTAATTTTATAAGGACTAAAGAGTTCATGGTCATTTTTTAATAGTTTTAGACAATGTTTGATCAGTTTAGATAGTTTTAATACAGCTTTCGTCATTTTAGACAGTTCCAATCCAATTTGGGTAATTTTCGGATAGTTTTAGACAGTTTTTGGTCATTTTAGATTAGTTCTAATACGGATTTCGTCATTTTAGACAATTCTAATACAATTTGGGTCATTTTAGATAGTTTTGGGAAATTTTTTGTTAGTTTTGCTCATTTTTAACAATTCGAAATTTGAGTTGATTTTGATAATTTTATTTAGGTCATTGTGTCAGTTTTGGAGAGTTTCAATACAATTTGGGTCATTTTCGGATAGACAGCTAGTTTTAGAGTTTTCGGTAATTTTAGAAAGCTAATAAAGATTTCGTCATTTTAGACAATTCTAATAAAATTTGGGACATTGTTTGGTAGGGAGTTTTGATTATTTTTAACAATTCTAAATTGGGTTAATTTAGACAATTTTAGGTCATTGTTACTCAGTTTAAGACACTTCCAATACAATTTAGACAGTTTTTATGTAATTTTTAGTCAGTTTTAGACAGTTCCAATAAAAATTGGGTAATTTTCGGAATTTTAGACAGTTTTTGGTCATTTTAGAGAGTTCTAATAAAGATATCATTTTAGACAATTTTAATACAATTTGTGTTATTTTATTAGTTATTTTTTGGTAGTTTTGTTTGTTTTTAACAATTCTAAATTTGGGTTAATTTAGACAATTTTAGGTCATTGGTACTCAATTTTAGACACTTCCAATACAATTTGGGTCTTTAAAATTTCCGATAGTTTTAGACAGTTTTTGTTCATTTTAGATTGTTCTAATACAGATTTCGTCATTTTAGACAATCATAATACGATTCTTTTTAGATTGTTTTGGGACATTTTTTGGTATTTTTGATTATTTTTAACAATTCTAAATTTGGGTTGATTTATTTCATTTTTAGTCAGTTTTAGACAGTTTCAATACAATTTGTGTCATTTTAGATAGTTTTTGGGCATTTTTTGTTGGTTTTTTTATTTTTAAGAATTAACATTTTTTGGTAGTTTTGATTATTTTTAACAATTCTAAATTTGGATTGATTTAGACAGTTTTTTCATTTTCATTTTTTATTTTTAGTCAGCTTTAAGCAGTTCCAATACAATTTGTGTCATTTTAGATAGTTTTGGGGCATTTGTTGGTAGTTTTGATTATTTTTAACAATTCTAAATTGCTTATTTGACTTTTTGTGTGTAATTTTTAGTCAGTTTTAATATTATAGGCATAATTTAAACGGTTTTAGGACCATTTTAGACAGTTATATACAATTTGGGTTATTTTTGGATAGTTTTAGACAGTTTTTGGTCATTTTAGATAGTTCTAATAAAGCTTTCGTCATTTAAGACTAGGGTTGCAACTTTTCATGAAAAGTTGAAATTTTTGAAAAGTTTGGTTTTATTTTTCGGAAAAGTAGGAAAAGATGGAAAAGTTGAGTTTTTTGTAATGTAAACGTATAAAACATAAATAATGCTTGTCAATGTATTAAAATAATTTATTTCTTATGTATTTAAACATACGTAACAAAATAACAAAAAAAAATATCAAACAAAATAAAATGAACAGACAACATAATAACAACAAAAATAAACTAGGTTTGAATTAAAAAAATCATATTTTTTAAGTAAAAAGGAATAGAAATTTATACACACCATAAAAAAACACATACAAAATAAAAAATAATTACAAAAAAATATGAAGCAAAAATTATTAAATTTATAAATTAAAACAATATATTGTTGTTAAAAATCATGGAAATTTACAAGTTAAAATTTAAAAAGAAAAAGAAAAGAAAACTTTCTTCTTTTCCACTTTTATATTTTTACTTGCAAATTTCCATAATTAAAAAAATATATATTTTTTTCATACTGTGTATAAATTTAGAATACGTTATAATAAAAGAATCTTTATATAATAGAAAATGCTGTTAGCAGACACCATTTTTGATAAAGTTTGACAAAATGTTATTCCAAAAAACAATGCTTTTAGCATGTTTTACTAAAAACACTTCAAATCTAGCGATTTATATCGAATTTTGACCAAATTATCTACCAAAAAAATGTATGGTAGTCCCAATTAGCAAATATAGTTCCCAGTCCTTTTTAAATGTCACTGCCCCTAAAGTATAGTTCCTAGACCCACCCTGCCACTTAAAATGTTACTCTATAAGGAATAGTCACTTTGAAGTATATTTCGAAAGTGACTGGTTAGTGCCTACCTACCATAAAAGTGGAAAATAAACACACCGATTGCAAGTGGCAAATATGTAATTTAAAAAAGTGGCTGGAACTACCTGAATCTTCGAATATGACACCATAAAAGAACAAAAACTTTATAGTAACTTTTTAAAGTAGCGGTCACTAACAAGTGCTACCATAATGCCTTCATTAAGTTTTTGTTACTTTATAGTAACAATTTAAGTTACGGGGTAGTCGCGGCCACGACACCTGGTTACCTCTAATTTATAGTAGCATTGAAAGTAACAAAATGGTTACTGCTACCTTCCTAGGTCACTATAAAGTAGCCGTCGCTTATCCTTTGCCACTAAAAAGTCGCGGGGATCAAAAATGGCTACTTAATAGTGACCATAACTTAATATACCCTAATAAATGTAATTGCCTCAGATTGCATATATGCATATATGTTACGCACTTTATTAAAATTCTGTAAAATGCCTAAGGTAAATAAAAAGAAATTTAGATATTCTAGTACTTTCTATCAAAGAATTAAACAAAAGGAATTACTGCGAGCCGAAGCATCAACATCAGAAACAAAAACTACATCTTTCTATAATCCTACTAATGAACATCATAAATCAGGTAGTGACATTTTTTAAGCTGTTTGAAGTACCTATTCACAGTCAAAGTTGATGCATGTTCTGATTTCTATATCTGAGTCAAGTGTTCAAATCTCGTTCTGATCGAGGTGCTGATGAATATTATTTATTCTATCTTACGTGAACGTTTTCACCTTAATAGTCTTTAAATATTTTGTGATGAATAGGAATTTAATATAAGAAATTCAAGGTGCTAAATATTTTTAATGGGTCAAGTTTATCAATACTTCCCTGAAGTATTTGCAGTCAAAGTTGATGTATGTTCTGATTTCTACACCTGAGTCAAGCGTTCAAATCTTGGGCTGATGAATGTTATTCATTCTGCCTTACTTGTAAGTATTTGGGCTATGTAAAAATGAATATTGTATGCTCTCTACTTAAGTCGTGGATTCAAATTCGAAGATTAAGTGGAAGAGAACGTTTTAAGATAGATAGAAATTAATAAACATAGATAAAACGACACGAGACGGAAGTGACGTCATATACGGTGTGGGCCCTGTTTTTGTATAATAAATTTGTTGAAAATATTGTGATACTACAAAGATTTATTAATTTTTAAACATAAGCGGTTAACATATAAATATGATTTCTTTCGTTGACTATACTGAAATACCTTAAATGTCAAATGAGTCGAGGATTCAAATTCAAAGATTAAGTGGAAGAGAACGTTTCAAGATTTAAGAGAGTAATTAATAAACCTAGAAAAAACGACACGAGACGGAAGTGACGTCATATACGGTGTGGGTCCTGTTTTTTTATAATAATTAATTTTTTTGAAAATAAATGAATAATTGTCATGTGATCATAAGAATTGCAATAACCAGTAAAACATTAGGTTTGATAATATTCAATTTGCATTTTACAAAAAATACGATTCTCGCGTCGCCAAACGGGAACTTCAAAGGACAAGGCGGAACGTTATAGTGGCACGCCGCGATCGTTGTAGCATAAACGCTGCAATTAAGTGACAATTTAGTGGCGCAGGGAACTTTCTTGGAAAAAATCACTTTATAGTTCCAAAGAATCGTGGACCATGTAGTTCCCAAAAAGTTATTGTTTCCATAAAGTCGTCTCTGGGTAGTTGCAATTGTCACTTTATCAATCCGAAGATTTTAAAGTTCCAAACGGGTAGGGTTGGCCTAATATATTATTGTTCCCGGTACTTTGTGGAAGCATATGGAACTATAAAGTATTTTTTGGATTAAACGGCCATATTTTTTTCCTGACTTTTCGGACGAACAGCCAAATGGCTCAAACATTTTGCGTTTTTAAGCTAAATATACCTAAACTAAAGATTTTTTCCTTAGATATTTTGTTATTTGTGACGGTGGACTAATATTTTAAAGTTTCACGCCAGTTTCAAGCAAATTATTTTTTTTTTAAATTACTACATGAGTTTCTATTGCAAATAATATAATAATTTGAAATGTTTTGAAAGGCGCTCGAAAATTTTGTCATATAAACCCACTATTTTATTCAGTAAAGTCGATTGCGTTTTGGAATTGACCCACAAAAGGCGTTAAAATCGCATGGTAAATAACAAAAAAATAATAATGGCTTCCATAATTACTTTCCATCATGACATTTATTTTTATGAAGTGTGAAATTGAAGAGGTCGCTGCGAATAAAGTTTAACAGTTTAATGAAAGTTCTACATGTCGGTGGAAAACACTTGGCTGCCACGAACCCGCGACTAGGCAGCTTCGTAACAGATAAGTCGCATTCAACGGTAGGCTACTTTATAGTGCCACATCGTAGTAACTCTTTTAGTGGCAAAAACTACCCAAGACACTACCCGGCTACTCAAAATCTTTCCCCATTTTGGTCGCAGTTACTTAGCAGCTACGAATATACAACGTAGCCGCCGATGGTCACCGCCCCCTTTGTAGTGGCTTTGATAGTAGCAGTTACGTATCTGCCACCATAAATGCTAGTTGGGAGTGGAAACACTGGTTAGAATTCAACTCATTGTTCATTGGCTCCCACCTAATAACTTTTCCAACTTTTCCAACATTTCATAGGGGGTGCCGAACTTTTCCAACTTTTCGACCGAACTTTTCCTTGTTTGCAACACTATTTAAGACAATACTAATACAATTGGGTTCATTTTTAGATAGTTTTAGGAATATTTTATATAGTTCAAAATTCTAAAAGTTAATAGAAGTAGAATTCATTCCCTATAGAAAGTGTGGAACGTCGAAAATTTAAATTTCTCATGATGAAAAACTTTATTAAAAAAAAATACACTCACCATTGCAAGTAAAAGCTCAAAATCTTGTATTTGAGCTAAAACTTTTTGAATAACAGCCTTCAACTCCTTGTAGTGATTTTCGTAGGCCCTATTGGGAGTCAAGTGGTCTATAATATCGCCAAACACCATGTTTATTTCCCTTGTCTATAAAAAACAAAAATTATTATTTTTTATAACTAATACATGTATAACACTTGTACCGCAAAATTCTGCACGACAAACTGCACCCAAGCCTCCGCACAACTGATATACTCTTCGGGCTTTTGCAGAGTTACAATGTGCCGCCACACGGTCGTCAGAATTTGCCGTCTTTGCTCGGAAGGTGGCGGGCATATGGTGATGCAGAGGCCAAGAGTGCGCAGCAGTGCGTATAAAGGTATACCGTCGTCCGTACATTTACCTATCATGTCCAGGAATTGTACGGTTCTGTCCGAGATAAATGAAGGCTTGAAACCGGACATGATAGTGTTCAAGATTAAGGAGCTGTAAGTTAATTTAACATAGTTATGTATTTTAATGAACGCCTTATTCATTTACCTGTTCCCCAATTGAGTTGCCCTAAACAACAAATCATTTAAAACGTTTTCATTGGCATTGCAAGCAATTGTAGCTAGAATATAATCTAAAGCTGGGGTATATAAAGTCATATACGTGGACTTTGGTACTTTCTGCTTTATCAGGTCCAATTTAACACTTCTGTTGAAAAGCTAAAAATATAATATTATATTATATATTATAATATTTTTTAATTTTTTTTTACTTATAATTGATTAAAAAATGATCATGCTGTAAAAGATTGATATTCATACTTTCTATTAAACGTAAAAAAAAAAGAAAAATCCAAAAAAGTATTTTGCAGTTTAATCCTTACTATAATATTAATTTACAATACAGGGTGTCTCCAAAATGGTGTGCAATAATATACAAGCGGTTTTTAGGGCCAAATAAAGAAAACCTCTAAGGGCACCTCTGCAGCTGTTTTATTATTATTATTTTGAGATAAAATGTGTTTTAATATTTATTTTTATTCGGAAATAGTGGATTTTATCGATGTTCAAAAAGAGTACCTTTTTTACGTATATTATGCAGTATTTTATCAGTCTTTAAATGAAGATACTACCTTAAAAAATTTAAAAAGTGGATCCATCGCGACAATATCTTAAAATAAAAATAAAAAATTATGTTTTTTTAAGTTCTTTAAGATTTCCATTAAAAATATATTGTAATAATGAATTTACAAGCAGATAACATGCTTGAGTTTGGAAAAGAATATTTCAAAGAATCTATAAAAAATTATATTTGTAAAATACAAAATACACTGTGATGTATACATATATAGAAACAATGTACAAATTCTTATTTATGTCATTAAATTAATATTTCTCTGAAAAAAAAAATGATTTTTTGCCATGAAACTTAAATTTCCATAAAAATAATTTAATTTTGTAAATTGACTATAAACTTGGTATAATAAATTAAATTTAAATTGCGTTTTAGACTGAGGAAAACACTTTTTACAATAAAATTTAAAAGTAAAGTTTTTTTTAATTTTTATTTAAATAAATAAACTGGATATAGGTAAATAAAATTCGCATAAAATTGCTTTTCAAAATGAGAAAAACAAATAAAAGAAAATAAAATTTAAAAAAGTGAAAATTTTTTTAATCCTTATTTTATGTCCTAAAATTAATATTGAAAAAAAAATGATTTTTTTGCAATAAAACTTAAATTTACATAAAAATAATTAAATTTTGTAAATTGACTATAAACTTGGTATAATAAATTGAATTTAAATAAAATTGCCTTTTAGAATGAGAAAAACACTTTTTACAATAAAATTGAAAAGTAAAGTTTTTTTTTAATTTTTATTTAAATAAATAAACTAGATATAGGCAAATAAAATTCGAATAAAATTGCTTTTCAGAATGAGAAAAACACTTTTTACAATAAAATTAAAAGTGATGTTTTTTTTAATTCGTATTTTATGTCAAAAAATTAATATTTTTCACAAAAAATATTTTCTTAGAATCTGTGCTGTAAAAATAAATTAAAATTACTTTTAAGTGGGGCATATATGCCTCACAAAATCGTATATTTAATATTATAGATATCTATGGAGACATACAATAAAATTTAAAAAAATTTAATCCTTATTTTATGTCCTAAAATTAATAAAAAAAAAATTTGCAATAAAACTTAAATTTCCATAAAAATATATAAATTTTGTAAATTGACTATAAACTTGGTACCTATAATAAATTGAATTTAAATAAAATTACCTTTTAGAATGAGAAAAACACTTTTTACAATAAAATTGAAAAGTAAAGTTTTTTTTTTATTTTTATTTAAATAAATAAACTAGATATACGTAAATAAAATTCGAATAAAATTGCTTTTCAGAACAAGAAAAACACTTTTAAAAATAAAATTAAAAGTGATTTTTTTTTTAATTCTTATTTTATGTCAAAAAATTAATATTTTTCACAAAAAATATTTTCTTAGAATCTGTGCTGTAAAAAAAAATTAAAATTACTTTTAAGTGGGGCATATATGCCTCACAAAATCATATATTTAATATTAAAGATATCTATGGAGACTCTTTAAATGAAGATATTACTTTAAAGAGATGATTTTTAAAAGTCTCTATGATCATAACTTACCTGTGGGTAAGTCTCAAGAAATCCTATAAAGTTATTAAACAAATATCCATTGTTATGATTTTTTTGGGTAACACTCAACCCAACTCTACACAAGTAACACCTTGCATATACAGCTACAAGCGGGTTGCCTACTCCATTAATCATATCTGTTATGCGTAAAAGTGCGTCTGATAACTCTCTTAAAAAAATTGAAAAATGTAATATATTTTTTTATTTAAGTTTAAAACAACTCACGTATTGGAAATAAAATTATAGGACTTTAATAAAGCCATTTCCACATATATTCTTGGCACTAACTCCCTTATAGATGCTATTTTATAAAACCAGTTCAAACACGTTTCTTTGACTGTTTCAGGGACCATTTCAAGTTTAAAATCCTCTGGAAGAGCCGCGGCAGCCTTAGATCCAGGTCTTAAAAAGTTTTTATCAAACAGACCAACAAAAACAACATTAAACTTACTTGTAATATTCAGCCTTAGTTCTCAATCTCTCATACACCAACTGTCCAAATATATCCAAAATATCCGTAATCAGAACAAATTTACTAGGATAAAACGACAAAACATCAGTATCGGCCAGCAATTTAGCGCATTGTATTGCTATTTTAAGAGCTTTAACTCTTTGCTCCGAATTCCAAGCAATAACCAATTCTCTATTCAACTGTTCGATTCTACCAATATATTCTGCCTGCGATAAATCAAACTTTTTTTGGGAGCCCTCCTCAAAGTAGTCCAACTGTTCTAGACGGTGCTGGATTTTGTCTACTGCTGTGCTTTGAGCTTTTACAACAACTAGAAAACATTCAACCAATCAATCTCCATTATAGAGAATGTAAAGATCCAATTGGTTTAACTGTTCTCTATTAAAAACAATGAACCAATCACATCAGTGTGCTTCTAAGCACACTAGACTTTTACAAAAGATGACATACTCTGATTGGTTTCATGAGAAACACACGAAAATTAAAAAAACTAGCAGTTATAAAAATTCAAACACTTACCTTTGTCCCCTTCAGATAAAAAACTTGTAACAATAGATATTTTCTCTGAAGTGGTGAATTTAGATAAAATACTAGCCTTTCTTGCACTCCACGGTTGCATACCACTATTTAAATTATCATTTATAGTTTTTTCAGCTTTAACTTGGGTTCCCGAGGTCTCCTTTAAAAAATAACATTTAAAACTTATACCTAAATTAAAATATAATGCCTACCATTTCAGCTGCCATCTTGGACAACGGATCCATTTCTTGCAAAGCAAACTCAGTTAAAGGATCCAAGCCGTTTAAAGCCAAAGATAATGGTTCCAATATAGAAGCAGGTGTTGATACAGGAGTGGTCCTTCCAGTACTGGGTTGCGAACCCAAAATACGTCTGGGAATTCTTTCTGTAACCTTTATAAACATTGCCATTTAAAAAATAAATAACGCCGACTCACTTACAGTAACATTTTTCAAAGGATGATCCTTTACTGATATTCTATCCAGAGGTTTTCCTTTTTTTATTCCGTCTGCGGTGATTATTTGGTCAGCATTTATGTAGGTTTTCCTGAAAGTTGTGTTTTAATGTTATGTTTGCCATTATTGCGTATATAAATACCATTCTGTTAAATTTGAACCCATTTTTGTGAATTATTTGACACTGACAGCTCGAAAACATAACCACAGAACATAACCTCTTTTTAATAACAATAGGTGGTTTCACAACGACATGGGTATATACTTCCAATTTAATGGATATGTTTGTAATTTAATTATTACGTTTATTAAATATTATTTTGTAACGAAATAATGCAAAAGATTTTCAAAATCTATTTATGGTTAAATAGGCAACATTTACGTTATTTTTTAAAGAACAATTAATTATACCGATACAATACATTGTTTTTCCGTACCTTACATACCAAACCAAGAAAAACCTCCTAATATTTACTTTAACCTAAAAATTTATCTTATCTGTTATTTTTTGAATAACATGGAAATAACTTGACTACATATTAAATTAGTGAAAATGTTTAGTTACCATATTTTAGCGGTTTTATCAGTGCTACTTTTCTTCCAAGGATTTTTCCCAATATCCAAATTCGAAAAAGGATCTCGAGATAGCCCTCCAAAAGAACTTTTAGGTTTTAATTTAAACAGTACTGAGCTCTACAAGTCTGGATTTACAAAAACTGTGATAGTAGTAATAGATGCACTTAGATTAGATTTTATAAACAATCAAAATACGCCGATATTATGGAAAGAAATACAAAATGGGGGTTGTATTAGTAATGTAACCGTTGAGAGCCCCACAGTGACAATGCCGAGAATAAAAGCACTGACGAGCGGTAATTTACCGCAATTTATCGATTTAGTTTTGAATTTAGCTAGTGCAGAGGTTTTGGAGGATAGTATTATACATTCAGCTCATGAGAGTGGTTTAAAAATATTGTTTTATGGTGACGATACTTGGTTGAAGATATTCCCAAAGTATTTCAGCAGGTTTGAAGGGACCACGTCATTTTTTGTCAAGGATTTTGTGGAGGTTGATAATAATGTGACCAGGAATCTTAATAAGGAGGTTTATGAAAAGGATTGGGACATAATGATTGCACATTACTTAGGTAAAACATATAGTTTATTTCAGAACAATAAAGTGTTTTGAAGATTCTTTCTTTATCTAAAACTCTGTAATAGTATATTATGTATCAAGTTTTATAAACGCCATTTTAGTTACGAGTTTTATTAGGCACGAGCGAAGCTTGCGAGCGAGTGTTTAATAAAAACGAGTCTTTAGAGAAGTTTATAAAACGAGTTTCATACTATACTTTATCTACGACGAACAAAAATAGGAATTTAAAGCCAATTTTAATTCATACATTTTTGACATTTAACGAATTTAACCTCACTTTTTCGCAATTTATAATAAAGCTAACTTCAGCCCGTGACTAAAATGCCCAAAAGCCACTTTTGTTAACTTCAGCCCGTGACTAAAACGCCATAAAGTCACAGCTTGTCAATGTAGGAGTAGATAAATTATTTTAAAAGGAAAATATCGTTCCTAGCAAAAGTAAACAAGTGCCTAGCAACCACATGGTTGCCATGGTAACTACCAACAGTAACGTTTTCCAGTAATTCTTTTTTGTGACAAAATTTTAAATGTGTTAGAAAAATCAATTTTGAGCATTTGTAATATTTGCTTTATCTAAAACCCTGTAAATATTTTTAAAACTAAAAACCGTTGAGTTTTTTTATTTCAAAAAAAGATAGGCATTGAAAATGTTTCGGTTGGTAACTAAGGAAAATAGCGTTCCTAGCAAAAGTAAACAAGTGCCTAGCAACCATATGGTTGCCATGGTAACTACCAACAGTATCGTTTTCCGGTAATTCTTTTTTGTGACAAAATTTTAAATGTGTTAGAAAAATCAATTTTAAGCATTTGTAATATTTGTTTTATCTAAAACCCTGTAAATTTTTTTAAAACTAAAAACCGTTGAGTTTTTTTATTTCAAAAAAAGATAGGCATTGAAAATGTTTCGGTTGGTAACTAAGGAAAATAGCGTCCCAAGCAAAAGTAAACAAGTGCCCAGCAACCATATGGTTGCCATGGTAACTACCAACAGTAACGTTTTCCGGTTTTTGTAACAAAATTTTAAATGTCAATTTTGAGCAATTGTAAGATTTGCTTTAGAGCCATTCCACGCGTAACGGATAGGACAGTTGCCGTGTTTTTATTTACAAAATAATATTGTTCTATTATATTAGCAATGTCAAATTTTTATAAATAGTTCTAAACTAAAGCTGTTTAACAAGGTTTTTATTTGGCAAAATTAGGTATCGTGGTTGACTGTTTAATTCCTTAAAAACTAATAATTTAAAGCGTAACGGACGGGACTTTGTAATAGTCCCGTCCGTTACGCTTTAAATTATTAATTTTTAAGGAATTAAACAGTCAACCACGATACCTCATTTTGCCAAATAAAAACCTTGTTAAACAGCTTTTGTTTAGAACTATTTATAAAAATTTGGCATTGGTAATATAATAGAACAATATTATTTTGTAAATAAAAACACGGCAACTGTCCTATCCGTTAAGCGTGGAATGGCCCTTTATCTAAAAGCCTATACATTTTTTTAAACGAGTTTTTTATTAATTTCAAAAAACGGTAGGAATAAAAAATGTATAGTCGATAACCAGGGATTTTAGCGTCCCTAGCAGCGCTATTAGCGTTACGGTAAACAAGTGCCTAGCAACCATATGGTTACCATGGTAACCTAGCAATGGCAACGCTTTTTCTGACAAAAATTAGGGGTTATGGGCCATGAATCATGGCCCATAACCCCTAATTTTTGGCCCATGATGAATGTCAAAAATGCATAACTTTTAGGTTTAGATCATATTGGCCACGTCTATGGCCCCAGATCATCACTAATCCAACCAAAACTGAAAGAAATGGAAGAAATAATCCTAAAAACATATGCAACTCTAAAGGAAGAAAGTGAAAAGGTTCTGATGGTTGTAACAGGTGACCATGGTATGAAGGATGGTGGTGGACATGGGGGTTCAACATTTGCAGAAGTAAATGTGCCATTTGTAGCACTAGGTTTAGATTGCCAACCTGGTAAAATGAAACAAGTTGATATTCCAGTAAACCTGGCAATTTTACTGGGTTTGCAAATACCTTCTACCAGTATTGGTCAGTTGAATCCTAACTTACTATCCAGTTTAACCCTGGAGAAATATCTGTTGGGTCTTTTGTACAATAGTGATCTTTTATTGAAGAAAAATGATTTTTGTGGCGATATGATAGATTTGGCAAAAGAGTTTCATAAAATGTACTTGGACAAAAAAGAAATTACATTTGCTGATAAAGCTAAAGAGTTATATCAAAATTGTTCTTTAATGATTAGCGAATCTTTGGTAAAAAGTTCAGTTAAACAGAATTTGCCTGTGTTGTATTTAAGTATTATTTTAATGTTGTATTTTTTGGTAACCAACATAAAACATTTTGCTGATGTTGCAAATATTTTATGCCCTCTTATACCACTTTCTGTGATATTGATAGCTCATCTTACCATTCAATTACCTGAAATTATAACATATGCTTGTAGTTTTATTGTTTTTGTTTATATATGTATAAATTTGTTCAATATTAAATTAATTTTGACCAGCGATTTTGATTTAGTGACAGTTATATTATTTGGTTTATTAATTGTACACCCTTTGACATTTTTTTCTTCAAGTTTTGTTGAGGAAGAGCAACAAATATGGTATTGTTTTGTTCCTTTAATAATGCTTATATTAATTTTAAATAATCATAACTTTGCACAAAAAAGTCTAGTGAAATACTTAATTTCAGGGGTAGTATTTAGATTTCTCATTACATTAAACCAAGTTGGTGATAAATGGGCAAATTTGTCTGACTTGGCGGATTGGTTTAAAAAGTATGAAAATCAGATTTTTTTGCAAGGATTTTTTATACTTGGACTTTTATCTATAGCTTTTTGTGTATATTTTTATTCGAAAAATTTGTCTACAATACTTTGTTCATTTATAGTATTAATATTAATCTACAATCTTAAAAGTAATGATAATAATAATATTGAACTGGCGCAACTAATTTGGTTTTTAATTTTAATAAATTTATGCCTGGGTAAACCACTTATTACTTGGATATTAATATGCACTTTACTATTAAAACCATACAACATTTCAATGATTTCTTACTGTGTCTTGACAAGTTATTTATATAAAAATCTAAAAAATAATGTTCACTTAATTATTTTTAACACTTGGTTGGGAAATGCGTTATATTTCGCACAAGGACACAGTAACAGCATAGCAAGTGTCGATGTATCTGTTGGTTATATTGGTTTACAGTCATATGAACCGTTACTTGTATTTTCACAAGTATTTTGCCATATTTTTGCTTTCCCTGTACTAAGTCATTTACTAATATTACATAATAATGATAATAATAAGAATTTTGTTATAATAAATCGTTTGTACATTAATGTTATAATCAGTATTGTTACACTTATTCATAAGGATCATTTATTTATTTGGTCTGTTTTTGCTCCTAAACTATTTATAGAAACTGTTACCATTTGTTTTGTATTATTTGAATATTGTTTATTTAAATATGTTAAAATGTTAATTGATGTGTATTATAAAAGTAAAAATAAATTTTCCAAAAAATAATTTAAATCATTTTATTTTAATATAAAATCTTACATGCTAATCATTTTATTAATCTTCTGGTTTGTCTGGGGGTGGTCCACATGGTTGTAACATCTTTTCCATCAAGTTGAATCTTACACGGGCCTTGGCTTCATTTTCACAAATTGAGAAGTAATTCAGCAAATCTGGGTGCCCCAAATAACTCGAATAACTGTCTCTATGCTGGTTTACAAGCCATTCGTACTTGGTTGTGTCTGCATGGCCAGTGCCAATGTATTTTGATTGAAGATGTTCCAACTGACTGTGAATGTTATAACGATCGCCCATATTTACCTAAAATAAAGTAAAATTACAATTACTTGAAGATTGTTGAATTATTTTTAACGTAAACAACACATTTTAAATACGAATAGTACTTTAATTATGATTTACAAAGAATTATTTACCTTGTTATTGTTTTATAGGTTGGCTTTTTTCACGAGCTTGACTGTCAAACCTTGACGTTTCTTCTTCTTCTCTGCGTTCCTCAAATTTCCACCGCCTATATGGTTTTAATTTGAATGATTCCCGAATTATATTAACAAATACCTGAATATTTTGTTAAGTAATATAATTTGTTATAATCCAGTTTGAGGTAAAATTCCTTGAAAAACACGTTTTTGTATAGCGAATTTCCGAACGTTTTCCTGGCTGACCAATCAAACTAGTTCCTTTGACATTTGGCGCCAGCGGTAAATAAATCGGCTGCTCTTGTAACGAACATGTGAGGCGAATGCATTCTTTTGGATGTTTGTGCAGAGATCTCAGCAAAACTTAAGTGAATAAGTTTCAAAAAGAACTTGTATTCTTGTGTGGTTGACTTAAAAGGTGAGTGGTTTTCCTGCGTAGATATTTTCAGTAGTTATTTAGGCCTACTTGATAACCTTTGTGTGGGGCAAATTTATCAAAACAAACTTCTTTTTGGTTTAGTTCTGGTTACGGTAAACTAGTAGGTTTTATTTTGTATAAAGTAAGCCACAAAAATAACGTACTACCCCGAAGTTTTGGCATTGTTTAATTGACTATATACTCTTCTCGACCCTAATGGATTTTAAGTTTTTGTGTAAAAACTATTGATACAAATACTTTCTGGTTAATTTTAGGAAAAACTACAAAAGCATGAAATTTTTGTTAAACTTTAGCCGGTTTCCAATTTTGGTGAAAAATTTTAACAGTTTTGATGCTATTGTTCTATAGCTCAATACCTCGAAACTTTTTTAGAATTTTAAGAACAAGAAATATAACATTTAAATATAAATACCAAACTTAAACCGTTCTTATGTAAATTAGCATTTTTACATCAAAATTTATTAAAATTATAAAAATATGTTGCCCAAATAGGTAGGTATGTTCTATACAGGTGTCCCAGGTTGTAGTAGAACTTCACCAGCAGAACATCTGATGTAGAAAGTTATTTTTACCAAAGAAATTTTACAAATCTATGTTTAAATATTGCTCCCTTCTGATACACCCCTAGGGGTGTTAAGGTTAAAACTGAGGGGTCAACCACCCAAAGGGAAAACGTCCAGGGATTCCCATGTATTCCCATTATATTTTATTGTATTCCTATGTATTTCCATTGTATTCCTATGGTATTCCTCCTCTAAAATGTAGGTATATTAAAATATTTTCAAGAACATAAGTACTAAAGATAATATTAAATTATCTTAAAACTTGAACACCTTAAACTTCAGGAACTTTTTAATTAAAATAATAATACTAAAACCTGTATATAACAAAATATCCATGCTTAATGATACAGGGGTTAGCTACAAATTACATTATTTTTTTATACATTTTTTCTATATAAAGTGATAAACCCCAGCAAACACAACCATAAAGGTTTTATAATGGCCCTTTATAAATGTGCCTTTATAATAGGGCCTTTAGTTCATTATAATGAAGGATATTCCACAATAATCAGAAATTGTTATCCCTACCGTCACGATACAATTACTGACGGTCGGGATAAAATTATAAAGATCGTGGAATTTCCGACCTAATAAATATAAACAAACCACATTTAATCCACCATAATAAATACTTTACTTTATTTAATTAATATATTATCGTGAAATGCAATACTAAAATATTCATAAATTTACAAGAAAAAAGGTGTAATAAAGACCTGTATAAACATAAAAAAATTATTTTAAAAACTGTTTAAGTATTAAATTAAATCCATAATATTTAAATAGGAAATATTTAAAATTAAAATTATATTTACAAATAAGTTCACTTAATTTTTTTGGTAGACTGTCCTCTATAACAAAGAACCAGATTTTCTTTATCAGTATTAATTTATTTTATTTACAATTGCCCCAATTTTGACTACTAAATTCTTTGGCCCGTAATAGAGTTTTAAAATTTGTAAAATTAAAAAGGTATTACTATATTTTTATATGTGGTATAACACACTATTAAAACTATAGGAATTACACTGGGCGTCATTTTTAAAATATAGCGTTTACCAAAGGATAATTAAAGGTTTATGTGTTTTATATACAAAAAACATTTGGTACTTTAATTGTTTTTTAAAGTCCCATTAACTTGATACTAAAAACTTGCCATATGTGAGTCTTTTATGGTAAAATTTTAGCCTTATAACGATAGCCTTTTATCCACATTAATATTTTTATTAAAACATTCCTGTAAAGGCCTAGTACAAGGATAGCTTTGGCTAAAAATGTCATTACTAAGCCATGCAACTATTTAATCAGACTTGTGTTTGCTGGAACATTATAAATTTTCTGCCTGACGGGAATAATTAACTTATTATTCACGTTGTTAGGCATCAGTGATTGGTCGATTTCAATATTCACTGGGATTTGAACCAATCGGTTTTTAAATTGGAATAATAATAATCTTTATTTGTTTAAAAAAAAATACCAAAATGTGTAAAACACGTCAAATATACATAGATAAGTACATAACATAATTTAAAAATAATACAATTTAAAAGAGAAAAACAAATAAATTTAAATAAAATAAATTTATTAAATAAATGTGTTCCACACACTACTAAACATAACAATCAGTGGCGGCTGGTGGAATTTGGCACACCCATATCTCAGATATTAGACATGGGACCCACATCAAATTTATATGAGTTTATAATGACATTATATAGACAAGTTCTGCCCAAGCAGAATTTAAATTAAAGTTTGCGAAAAAATGTTAGTTTTTAAGTTCAGCCTCCTGCTCCTCCAAATTAAGATAATTCAAATTAAAGTGGTACAATATTTAATTCACTGAAGTTTATCGATAAATTTCAAATTTTATTAAAAAAATTCAAGAATTACAGGTTTTATACCATTTATAATTTTTTAAAATTTAGTAAAAGAAATAATAACCAGCCACCACTGATAACAATACAAAAATATTGATGAAGTGATCTTCATCAATATTGTAATGATGATTCATTACAATATTCCTCCATTAAGTATTAAGATTTATCTATTAAAATTGATTTTAACTTTTTTAATAGAGAGTTCTCTAAATTGTTCTGGTAGCTTGTTGAAAACCTTAACTATAGTATTTGGAACATTATTCTGAAGATAAGTAAAATTTAGTTTATTAACTGAATAATTTGATCTAAATCTCGTTTAGGGCGACTATAAAATTGGTAAAAAGTGAGGTTAACTATTTGACAAATGTCAGATTTAATTTATTTTTTCTACTCCCACCTTTAAAACGCCCTTTATCGTACATGTTTCCATGACACTAAGTGACCTTTTAAATACACATTGACAAGTTGTGGCTTTACGGCGCTTTAGTCACGGGCTGAAGTTAGCAACAGGTTTTTAGTCACGGGCTGAAGTTAGTTTTAAGTTAGTTGACAGTTGTCAAATGTCATACAATCGTTAAAATAAAGTGCCTTTCTTGTAAAATAATACTAAATGTGAAAATTATTTTATTATCTCAATACAAAAATACAAAAATATTAAATAGTTTTTTAACGCCAATATTTGAAAAGTTTATATGAACATTGTACTGACCTTTTAATTTCGCCGGCAGTAAACTAAATTCGGGCACGGACTCTACTGTAAAGTCCTCATAAAACATTTCCTTTACTTTCACTGTGAAAAACTGTCAATCTTCAAGATACATTTCGATTTATAACCTTTATAATTGTGTTTATAAAATGTAAAAATGTGACATTTGACAGTTTCCCCTGTTGTTTCATAGATGGCGCTCTATACAAATTTTTGATTTAAATCATTTTAAGATAATAATAAGTATTTATCGTAGAAAAAGTATAGTATGCACCTCGTTTATAAACTTTCCTATACACTCATTAACTTAAGCACTCGCTCGCAAGCTCGCTCGTGCCTAAATTAAATTCGTGTATAAAATGGCGTTTATCAAACTTGATACATAATATACTATTATGAACTGAATATTTTGTTTAGGGCGACTATAAATTATAATACTATTTAAAATTGGTAAAAAGTGAGGTTAACTATTTGAAAAATGTCAGAATTATTTTATTTATTTTTGAAAATCATATAATGATCTACTTATTATAATAAAGTAAATAAAGTATAGTATTACAGTCGATATTATGCGCATTATTTCTCGTACTATTATTGTCACAAAATGTCATTTACGTTTTGAAATAGTACCTGTAGAGATTGACAGTTACGTTAACATTGAAAAGTGAGGTTAAAACTGCTTGACAGTTGTCAGGTAAAATGTCAAATAATATTGGTTTTAAACTCTGAAAAAACATTACTGTTCGTCGTAAAAAATGCTAAATATTAACCAGAAAATATTGTCTTAAATCAATAGATTGTAAATACCAAAAAACTTAAAATCCACATAGGAACAAAGAATATTTGGTGTTTTAAAAGACGGTAAAATATCGGGGTTTTACGTTATGTTTGTTCCTTAGTTTATTCATTGAGTTCTTGAAACTTCCAGTACAAAAATGAGCCTGAAGACGCAAAACACCACTCGTTCGGTGGAAAGAAGGAGGGCTTTGTTTCCCGCGAACAGCGTCGAAACGTCTTCCGAGAGCGACTCGGAGTTGGGGCACATGAGCCCCCTGAGCGCTTCCACCTCCAGTTCCGATAACGAAGACCTTTTCGCCAAACGTTCCTCCCGCTCGCCCGAGCACCCCAAATCGGGCAGCATCGGCGACTACGACATTATAGGCGTCGTGGACGGTAACTTGACGGAAATAATGAACACCCCCCAGCAAAATAAACTCGCCGATTGCACCGAATCCATGTCCCCTTTGTACTTGAGTCCCTACGTTAGCTCCTCCCACTTGAAAAAAACCAAGTTGGACACGCCGTTGAGAGGTTCGCCCAGCGAAAAGCTAAAAACCCCCCACGACACCTCGAACACTAACTCTAAGTTACCGAAATTGTCTCGCAAATCACTTTTGGATACTTGTTTTTCAGAGGAATCGAACAAACGCAAAATCGATCAAGGTTCGCCTGAAAACAGTAGTAGCAAGTTGATTAAGTTAGACCCCACCGTTCATTCCAAAGTACGTACCGCTCTGTTTCCCGAAAAAGACCTGACTATTTCCTCCAAAGCGTTTTACCCCAAAATAGACGTCACATATCGAACAAGTTACAGAATGAAACCGGTTGATCGCGTTAAAGTTGCCGGCGTAAAGCGCCGCGGTAAAATCAGGAAGAACGTCTCTCAAATTAACGCCGGCGTTATGCACAAAATCAGGAAACCCAAGCAAAGAAAGCTGGACAAAAAAGTGCTCGAAAAAATCCTAAACATCTCCGATGACCCCGCTATGCAAGAGTATTTGCAAGACGTTAAAAACTTAAGCGAACCCGTTAAAAGTCTAATTGAAAATAAAGAGAATCTCATAAAACCTGCGAGGGTTGTCGAGAAAAACGACCCTGCCTTGCAAGGTTACCTGCAAGATTTAAAAACCGCAAATAAACCTGTAGAATCCCTCATCAAACCCGCAACCTTTGATGCCAAGAAAAGACCTCACAGCCCCGAAAATAAGCAGCAAAAAAAAATGAAACTCGACTTTGATACCTCAGACCCCATAAACAACGAGGACGAACTCAAAACGAACATCGATAACATCCTAACCTCTCTAAATAACGATGAAGAATCTCACACCATCACCCTGCAAGCTCACGATTCCGTACTAGAATCGGAAAACTCCATTCAGTTGCATCAAGCCCCCCAAAGGTCGAGCATCGCCGACGTCCTCATGTCCCCCACCTCCCTGATGTGCGACATGGCGTCCGGCTTGGCCATAAACAGCCCCAAGAAAGTCTTAAACCTCACCCCCATCTTGGAGGAGGTGCCCAGCATGTCTTCGGGCCCGAGGAGGAAGTTCGAGAAGCTGTTCCCGATGTTCGACTTGGGGAAGAAGGATTCGCCCGGCAAGAAACAGGAGCCCTCCAAGGTGACCAGGTCGTTGAGGAAGATGAAGAGTCTGCCGGCCGATCAGATGCTTCTGGACGCTGGGCAGAAGAAGTTTGGAGTGGTGCAATGCCCCGAATGTCAGTTCGTTTATCACGTCGGCGATCCGTCGGACGAATCTATGCATTCCAACTATCATTCTAATGGAAACGTCTTGAAATTTAACGTAAGATATGTTTGTCGGTTTTTGGGGCGAATTGTTTTTTTTTCTTACAAACAGGCTCTTAATTTTAGTATCTTTTCGATTTTCCATAAGAATAACATGGGAAATTTTTTTTGTTCCTCACCAACCAAAAGTCATACAGAAAATGTGTTTAAATACTTTTGTAGAGAATTAAACACTCTACAAAAAAGGTTTTTTTTGCTAAACCAATTGGTTAAAAAGTTATTAAAGATCAAAGTTTAAGTCACAATCAATTTTGCCGATTTTTCAGTATTGCAGCGGAATTTTATCAAAAAATTGAGCACATTTCATGCGGAACGTAAATTTGACATTTCAAGAGTCGCTAACCAATATATTTTTTTTCAATTTCATTTTTATTATGAAAAAGTATTTGATGACTTAATAAGCCACCAAAATGTTTTATGAATTGATTTTAAATATAAGTTGAGCAATTTTTTTTATTATTTCACCGATAAAAATATTTCTTTTTACCCACAGGTGGTAACACAATATTTAAGTCACTAGATGGCGTTATGGCTGGTTTATAATGGCATTAACCTTATTCTCTACTCTGCAATCTGTGTTCTATATTCTGGAGAATTTGATAGATCCGGTTTATAATCAAGTTTAAAAATTGAAGATGTCGATAATTCAGCATGGCTGCATTACCGATATTTTGACATATGTTGATTAATATTTTTATCGGTAAAATCATTAAAAAAATTTGCTCAACTTATGTATATACCGCATTTTCATTTTACATGTAGACAGTCTGCATTCGGTTTTTAAGATGGGAGAATAATTTTTAAGAGTGAGAGACCCCGAGAGACAGTTTTTAGTAATTCTGAATTACTAATTCATCAGTTGACCCTTCACCGGCGTTAGGTTATAGTCGAAGTTTGCTCTAGATTATTAATACGAATTACGTATTATTAAGTTAATTTACTTTTAAAAATGATTCAGATACTTAAAATATAACGTAATCACTTTTAACAGTAAATTATTAATTAAAAGGTGTAAAATCATTATTTGTTTTTCATTTAACTAAAAGTTGTTTCTTATAAAAAAAAACGTTTAAACATAAAAAATTTTCTTTAAAAACTAAAATAAAATAATTCTCTTGAAAACAAATTAATTTAAATAAATCAATTCTCTTAAAACAAAACTAAAAATCAAACTTCTTAAAATAAATGTAAATAAATAAATACCTAAATTATTTAATTAATAAAAATAATAAATTATTATTTGCACAGAAGCTTTGAATAATTTATTCAAACCTTATTTTCATTTACCCCCAAAATACAACCAATTGTTTTTTAAATCTTTGGATATCGTTTGTTATTGTTCTTATTGAGGGGAATAGAATTATCCGGATATTTAACTGAGAATAGGTCTCTTGTTTGACGTAGAGAATTGCCCACTAAAGACCAGCTTATCATGTCAATTTTATCTTGCAATGTGTAGGACAGTATAACTTATTATTTTAAATAAAAGAAATTAATTTATGTTAAAACGCTTGAAATACCCGCTAGCAAATGCAAATTATAACTGAATCGTCGCCTACAGAAATCCGCAATCTTTTTAACAAATTAGTTTAACAAAAAATAATTAAACATATTTTCTGTATGACCTTTGGTTAATGAGTTACAAAAATCAGAAGGAACAAAAAAATGTTTTCAATGTTATTCGTATGGAAAATCGAAAAATGCGATGCGGAGTATTAATATATTAAAATTAAGAGCTCCTATTATCACAGGCTCATTTTTATACCTAAAAAAAACTTTTGAGCCTGTTTGCTAGAAAAAAACAATTTGTTTTTTAACACCCTAGTGTTAACACTAAAGTGATATTTTCAATTAGATAAAAAATATTATATAGAATTTTTAATTTAGTTAATTTAAAATATCTGTTTCTTATATTTGTATTTTTTTTGTTAAAAACATATTTTTAATTCGCTTGATGAAATATTAGATTTAATTTTTATGCCGAACTGATATTTTTAATTCGCTAAATTAAAAATATCATAGGAGAAATTTTTAAATGTATTAAAATATCATAGGAGATATTTTTAGTTCGATTTAATTTTTATTTTATTAAATAAGCAGATATTTTTAATTGAATGTGATATTTTTAGTTCATATTTAAAGTTTGGACACCCCTGGTATTCCAAACTAATTCTGTCGCTAGATGGCGGTTTTTGTGGCGTTTGGAATAACAGGGGTATCCAAACTTTCAATCAGTCGGAATGAAAAATATCACACTCGATTAAAATATCTGCTTATTTAATAAAATAAAAATTAAATCGAATTAAAAATCTCTTCTATGGTATTTTTAATTAAGCAAATTAAAAATAGGTGTTAGCAAAAAATACAAATATAAGAAGCAAATATTTTAAATTGACTAAATAAAAAATATACCTAATTTTGGCATAAAAATTAAATCTAATTCCAAAATATCTGCTATGATATTATTAATTCGCAGAATAAAAATTCTTATGTGATATTTTGTATCTAATTGAAAATATCACTCTAGGGTTAACACATAAAATTAATTCCTGAATAAAAAATAAAAAGGCGCCCTTTATCGGTAGGTAGTTTTTAATAAAATATTATGAAATTATTGTAGGGTTGGAAAAACGAGCGCGTGGTGGCGACACTTGGCTCGGTCAAAATCATCAAAGTTTTGCCAAGTGATTCCAAAATGTGGTGGAAAAAGGTGACGGATTTGCTTCAATTGGTTAACAGGGACTTGGGGTATTATGACACAGGATTTTCCTTGGAGGATTGCCAGGTATTTATATTTAAATTGTTGTTTTTTCTACTCCCACCTTTAAAACGCCCCTTCATACATGTTTTCATGACCTTTTAAATACACAATGACAAGTTGTGGCCTTATGGCGCGTTAGTCACGGGCTGAAGTTAGCAACAGATTTTTATTCACGGGTTAAAGTTTTAAGTTAGTTGACAGTTGTCAAATGTCATAGAATAGTTAAAATAAAGTGCCTTTCTTGTAAAATAATAGTAAATGTGAAAATTAATTTATTATCTCAACACAAAAAAACAAAAGTATTAAAAAGTTTCTTGACGTCAATATTTAAAAAGATTATATGAACGTTAACTGAAAAAAACGGCTTCTATTTAGTTAGTCTATTTTCAATGAATAAATTTTGATTTACACAGCAAAAGATTTTAACCCATTTTAACGGGAATTACAATAAATACAACTGTCAATTTTTGTACCTTTTACAACTTTCTAAAATGAAAAACAATAAATAATAAAAATAATTTTATTTAATGTATATCATTTGAAAAAAAGATGCTAATGACGTCAATAATAAAAAAAATATCCTGAAGGTACTCCCAAAAATTCAGATTTTTTAATTAATTATTCACCTGAGCCCTGACCACTTTTAATAAAAAAAATTAGAACAAATTCTAAAAAAGTGGGAAAAACTCATAATTTAAAAAAAAAATTCAAACGAGGTTTTTTCTTACTTTTTTACTATCCTTTTACTCCCAAAAATTCAGATTTTTAAATTAATTTTTAACCTGAGCCCCGGCCACTTTTAATAAAAAAATTAGATCAAATTCTAAAAAAGTGGGAAAAACTCATAATTTAAAAAAAATTCACTTTTAATAAAAAAATTAGATCAAATTCTAAAAAAGTGGGAAAAACTCATAATTTAAAAAAAATTCACATGAGGTTTTTTCTTTTTTTTTTTGTACTATCCTTTTACAAAAATTCAGATTTTTAAATTAATATTTAACCTGAGCCCCGACCACTTTTAATAAAAAAAATTAGAAGAAATTCTAATTAAAAAATAAAATTCAAACGAGGTTTTTTATTACTTTTTTACTCTTCTAAATGTACTTTCAAAGTTTTAAATTTTAAAACTAATTTTTAACCAGGCCCAACCACTTTAGAAAAAGCTAATAACGTCATTCATAAAAAAATTAGTATAAACCAGGACACATTAGCAAAAACCAGAACCTGTCCTGGGTATCTTTGTGATAATACTTTGCAATTATAGTAATAAAAAAAATCTAAGTATAATAAATTTACTATATATATATATATATATATATATATATATATATATATATATATATGTATACATATATACTTAAGTATCAATATTTGTTAAGTTTAATTAAAATATTAACGGTGAAAATTACGTCAAAAATGTTAATTGGGATTGTTACTTTATTTTTGTATAGATGTCGCTTTATTCAAATATTTAATTAAAATCATTTGTTTTTTACATAATATTAAGTTTTTGTCGTAGTATGCAACTCGTTTATAAACAAAATTAAGCTACTATTAACAAAAACTTAAGAATATTTTTTAAGAAAGTATATTTTTTAAGGTTTACCTATACATCAAAAACAAAATGATAGTCGGTTGTGCTACCGCATTACCAAAAACCGTCGGGTACAAAATGCTTTCTCTCGGCCCCGACTTGGACATGTGTTCCGAAGAGACTTATCCGATAAAATGCGGCATCTCCCGGATCTGGGTGCACGTAAACCAGAGAAAACAAGGAATCGCGTCCTCCCTGATGGTGGCCATACAGAAAACTTTCATGTTCGGTCATATTTTGACCGGCAACGATATAGCGATGAGTTCCCCTACTGCTATGGGCAAACAGTTCGCCGAAAAGTATTTCAAGACCCCCAATTACCTTATTTATATGTAGATAGTTTAAACGTTTGATTGCTTGTTGGTTCAACAGTTTGTTATTTATTATTTGTTCACATTGAAACAGTACAATTTATGTTTAAGTTCCACTCAGATAGGTTAGGAAAAAAATGTTTGCCATGTTTATTTTTGTATTTTAATAGTTTTGTTTTGTGAAAAATATATAGTTTTTATATCTATAGCACATACATATGTATTTAGTAACCGAATATTTAAATAAATAATTTATATTTCTAACTTATAATTTTCTTTACCTATATAAGTATAGGTATTAATGCTTTAATCCTAACAAAAGGTGAGTAGTTTATTATGATAATCTAAATCTTTTTTTCAGCACTTAATTCTATAAAATTACTACCTTAAAATCCTTACATTTTACTTAAATCTTTAAAAATTAGTTATTGTTGCATTCTTGACAATAAATTGTAAACGGAAAAAGCAAATTTTATTACCTAAAATTAATTTGATTTAAGTAAATTTATACAAGGTGTTTCTGAAATGCCTAAAATATATATATATATATACCACATATTCTAAAATAATGCGATATAACTAAATTTACTTGCATAAAAAAGATACAGGTTGTTAAAGTTACGAGTTCGTTTTCGATTTTATTAAATATCTTTCGAAAAAAACATGTTTGAACAAATTTTAAATTTGGGGGTTTTTAGGCATGAAAAATTAAGCTTTAAGCCTGATTTATAGATTCCCTTCCTCCCGTAAAAGATGAACTATACGAAAACCGTAGTGCTGTTTATATATTAGGGTACGGAAATCTATAAACACCTCTACTGTTTTCGTATTGTTTAAAAACCCATTTAGGTAATTGTGATTTTTTTAAAACGATTAAAACATTTAGTTTCTCAAAATTTTATGTTTTTAAATAATTAAAAAAAAAATTATTTTAAGTACCTACAAATTAATCACAATTTAAAATAACATATCTCGGAAGAAATTTTATTTTTCCGTCCTGAAAAATCCCCGAACTTCAAATAGTTGCAAAAACGTTTGTTTTTTTTTTCAAAGTTATTTAATAAAATTGAACCCTTTATCTTGGACTCAGGTATATGTATTATTTTGTGCAGGCATTTCAGTAACACCATGTACAGTTAGTCCAAGGTTTATTACTTAAACCTAGAACACCCTGTACATTATTTTCTTACTGCAATAAATGAGGCATAATCCAAATCAATCAATTTTAACGCTGAAATGTTAACTTTCATTTTAAATCCCATCATTGAAAATAAAATATCTTTTTTAATTTTTTCATCTGCATTGTACCATTCACTGGCGTATAAGGAATTTGTTAAAGTTTCAGACTATAAACAATTTAAATAATGAATTACATTAAAAAATATATTTGTTCAATTAATTACCTACCTGATATTTTAATTCATTTCCAGCAACGCAATAAATAAATATTTGCGCTATGTGTCCAAAAACATACACTACTAAATGAATACCTTCAGAAAAACTCATATTTACCTGAATTTAAAATAATGTTAAATTTTTTTGATTTATTATTTCCCACTCTTACCATTGTGAGAATAAAACATGCAACACATATAGCTACTGTGCTACAAAACAACTGAACAAAACTTGCAAAACTAAAAATATTTTTTAACTCATTCCCAATCCTAAAAAATGTATTTTATGGCACTCATAAAATAAAATAATTGTATTTTTTACTCCAAAAGCAATTTATGATGTTTTACACACACCACCAAAAACTCCTTATCGTCTTGATTTTCATTTTCACTTCCAATGGATGTCAAAACGTTTTTAAGCAACTTGAACTGTGCTATAACATTCCCTACAAGCGCTAAATATAAAAAATCGTGACCACATATCCCTGAAACGTTCAAAAACAAATTTGCCCACAGCTGTAGCACGAAAAGTATCTCAAAGGTAGGACTTTGTTTATGGTCAAAAGGAAATTTTGATGGAAATGGTAGCATGTAATCTTTTCTGGATAAAGTTACGGTAAAATTTCCGACATTGTAGACGAAAGCTGGCACAAATTCAAAGAAAAAACACGCCAGAATTAAAATCGATTGTTTTTTAATTTTCATTTCGGTTTTTTTGTCCGTGGAATTGGCCTTCCAAAAGTCGTACCAAACGTGGTGTAGGATTTTTCTGAGTGACTTTGAGTAGATGAATAGCGTTGGCATTTTTGCCAAACCCTAAAAGTTATGTTACATTCTAAATTGATTTCCAAACAAGTTTACCTGTATAGTTATAGAAATAGTGGACATAACATTTGTTATTTCCAGAATGTCATCAAAGTTTTCAAGTAAATAGGCTAGTTGTAGTACTATAGATGTTATATAAGTGATTGCAATGAATGCTATTATGATTTTTTGCATTTTATTATTTTTTTGTTCAGGCCATAAGTTTACTGAATCCAAAAGAAATTTTGGGTATAGTAGTGTGGACTTGCAGACATCATGGATGGGGAAAATTTCCCCTTTTTTAATTTCTATAAATTTTAAAGTACTTAAAAATATATAAAATCTAATTTTTATATCTTACCTTTGTTCATATTATTAATTTACAATGAATACATACGACAATTATATTAATTTGTTATGTCTATGTTGCTTAAAATTAAATTATCGCGTGAAAATATTAAAGGTGGTATTTATATAATAATTTACTAATTTCATTATTTATTTATGCCCAATTTAAATTATTTTCACACTTGAATAAATCAAAATACAATAAATAATTAATGGTTTGGTAAATATTAAAGTAATTAAGTTTTTATTTCAATCTATATTATTTTTTATAAAACACATTATAACTTAAAAAACTTGTAGACAAATAAATGTTCCCCAGGTATTTTTCTTTGTATAATTAACTCACTGTCCATATTTTGTTGTTTCAAGAAGTCCACAATCTCCTTGGGTTTATTTTCTCTCAATAAAACCAAGTAACAAACACCTTTATCACTTAGTAAGTCCTTTAAATTCACTAATAACCTATCTAAAATTGCTCTCCCCATGTGTCCACCAGCCCATGCTCTATTCAAACCACATCCATTCATTTCAATGTCTTCTGTAACAACATATGGAGGGTTAAATAAAATAACATCAAAAGTTTTTGGTTTAAAATTGCTCAACAAGTCCATATTCACAACTTCTATATCTGCGTTATTTAATTTTGCCGTGTATTTTGTGGCATTGCAAGCTTCAATATTTATATCCGTACTAAAGTAAACACAACTCTTTTTTAGAATAAATGAGAGTGACGTTAGCACCACACCACTTCCAGAACCAATTTCCACCACTGTTAGTGGTTTTAAGTTGTTTAAATAAGTGGCTTCTTTCTCTAACGCGTCCAGGAATAAAAACGTGTCCTCTGCTGGTTCATAGACACTGCAAAACTCTTTAAGATCATATTTTGGGGTTGGTAGGTCCATATTACGATTCTTGGCTCTCTATTGTGTCATTTACCAGTACTTTTCTTTGCACTACTTCTTTATCGATCGATGAATGCACTTTATTCAGTCTGTCCTGCGCGTTTTGAAGTATGTTTGAAAGTACTGTTACTCGTTGTTTAGCATTTATTAACTTTTTTACGTATACGTCAAGATCTAGGGATGTTTGTTGGCTATCCGATATCTTTTTCAGTTCCTCAGCCAAACTCTCTATGCACTGCTTCAGTTCCAGTTGCGATATTCTAAAAAATACGCAAAGTTACAAAATATTTCATTGTTTTTATGGTTGTAGACCTCGTCGCGCGTACTCTTTCATCCAATTGGTCCACCGTGGGCTTAATTAGTCCCATCAAGCCCTCGGCCAAGGTGTCCCTGGTCGGGTTTTCGCAAAAATTCTCGGTATTTTCGTCGATGGAAGTTGCCGTACTTTCCGAATCCACGTCCATCGCAACTTTTTGACATTCGAAGTGTCAATGTCAAAAGTCAGTTCAATCGTGCCACTACCAACATGACGCTCTTTGTTTAAAATTTCTAGTGATTTCTTCGTTATTCGTTGGATTTAAAAGGTATTTGTGGAGTAGTTTGACTATTAATAAACCCCCTTGCTAACTAATATATTTACTTTTTGTTGTCAGCTTTCCGTACGGTAAATTTATATATTCCCCTATTTGGAAATTGTGCAAACCTAACCTTGGTCTATGTTTTAACTTTTTAATGTTGGCAATAAGTGAAATTTTCTTGACAGTTCTCTGTCAATAAATATTGGGTGTGGAAATTAATTGGAATACACAGTTAATTAATACGAGTAAATAAGTCGAAACATTTACAATGGATAAGTTGTACGGCAAAGATATAAGCATGTACGACGACATAGACGTGGAGGACTTATTGGCGAAACTAACAACCGAAGAAATAAACATACTAGCGAAGGAGGTGGACCCGGACGACAGTTTTTTACCGCCATCGCAGAGATGCAGCTACGATTGCGACAAGGAACCCACCGGGCCCCTGAACAGAAAATTGCTCATCGAATACATAAACAAAAAGGCCATCGAAACGCCCGACCTACCCGAACTGAAACCCTTCGTTGCTGGAACAGTGAGGGGCAAAAAGTGGGTACCCCCCGCACCGCCCGCCAGAGAGCAGGAAGCGGAAGAGAAAATCGCCGTCGATTTGGGCGAAGAGTACGAACAAGCTCTGTGCGAAGCCACGCAAGACGAAATCATTGATTTGGCCGCTATTTTGGGTTTCCACTCGATGATGAATCAGGATCAGTACCACGCCTCGCTTTTAAACAAAGGCCAGCCCCTCGGGTTGGGTTGGGACGGCATCACTAAAGCCTCGAAACCTAAAGTGTTCCCGATGGAGCCCCCAAACATGACTGACCCGGAAGAATCCATCCAAAGCGTTAAAAAGGACGAAAACAAGTACGTCGAGCTCAACTGGAACAACATTAAAAGCATTTCCGACGAGAAATTCGAGAATTTGTTCACGGCCCTGGGGGAGAATACGCATCTGGAGACAATTAAACTGGCTAATACAGGTATGTCGGATAGGCATGCCGACAAACTGGCCGAGGCTCTGGAGAAGAACAAGTCGATGAGGGTTGTGAACGTGGAAACGAACATGATCTCCCCTCTGGGAATTGTGAGGCTCATAAAGTCGCTGCTCAAAAACAAATCCGTGGAGGAGTTCAGGGCGGCCAATCAGCGGTCGCAGGTGTTGGGCAACAAGATCGAGATGGAGATCACGCAGCTGGTCGAGAAGAACGGCAATCTGGTGAGGCTGGGTTTGCACCTGGAGTACAACGACGCGCGTCAGCGCATCGCGGCGCATTTGCAGAAAAACATCGACCACACTCGCAAAATGCGAATGGGGCAGCTTCCTCGCAACCAAATGGTGGGATATTTAGCATAAGTTTGCTTGGTATCTTTGCTTCAAGCCAACCGCAGTGTTGTAGTTTTGATAGTTTTTTTTTTTTCGTTTTTTAACCCCGAGTTTGCAAATCCATGATTTTTATAGTTTTTAAGCTCACCCTCACGTCACTTTTTTTGATATGTTGTACTCAGAACTATTCGCGAATTTATTATTTAATTAAAGAGAGGCTTGATTGAATTGGTAGCAAATGTGTGCTGTGCAATTTTATACAAATATTAAATTTTTCGTACTTTCGACGATAAAACGTTTTGAGTGTGGCGATTTCTTTAGCACCCTGTATATACGATAATTATATAATTTTATTTTATTGACTAACACACCCAAGAAGAAAATTGTATTATAAAAAAGACATTAATTACTTATGTATTAATTAATTAGTTTTTATCTTGAAGAGTTTCTATACAATATACATATTATGCTATTTAAATAAATTGTAATTTTAAGCAAAATTCCTTGTTTGACTTTAAACTCTCCACGATAATATACAGGGTGACATTTCCATTATTAATTAGAATTAACGCAAACAAAATAATGCTTATTAATAATAACATAATGCTGAATATTAATGAACACCCTGTATATGAATGGACATAACTAGTTAAAAAATGCTCAAGCTTTGGCCATGTTACACTAAACACGGGCATGTAGTCGTTTGTTTATTTAGCACGAAGGTAAAAAGAATTGGTATTTTTAAAAATTACATCACATAAACATTGCGTACCTTTTAAATTAACAATTATTGTGATTCTCTTATCTGTTGTGCGCAGGCGCGTCTCGACAATAACTGGAATTGTGGGACAGATAAAATCGTTAGATTTCTAAATTTAAACAATAAACAAAGAACATTCAGCCGTGCTATTTTTTCAAACGATTTGAATAAAAAACGAAGTAGAGAACTGACCATAACTGGAATGTAAAATAAAACCGTTACGAGTTATTAACAAAAATAATGTAAATTAAGTTATTTTATTTTTTGAATATATTAGAAAATAATAATTAACTTGGAAAAGATAAAATTAACCATATGATAAATAATTATTTTTTAATTTTTATTATACTGCAAAAATACGCAACACTTAACTTTGTTTTTATAACTTAAATTTCTTTAGTGAACCTTATACAAGGTGCACCTTCTATATTATACTTCTATGGGTATTTTTTATTTGAAGATCTACAAGGTCAATTAAATTAGAGAAAGTGCGTTATTATAAGCGTTTTAAAATTAAATTTGTATATTAAAAAAAAACAGCGGTTCTCAAAATTTTGGAAAAAACTAAAAACGTTTCAAAATCAAAAATTCTTATTCCTGGAAATTTTGAATTTTATCTTACCATATAAAATTCCAATATGGCGGCCATAGAAAAAACAAAAGACGGTGGCAATTCAAATCTAGTGGGCAAAAAAAATCACTAATTGGATAAAATATAGATAAATGTCAAAATTCCCGGGAATAACGAAGTTTTAACGATTTTTTGTTTTGACAGGTTTTCAGTTCTATTAAAATATTTAAGAACGCTTATTTTTTTTTTCAATTTTCACTGACCTTCATATAAAAAAGTTACCATACATAGAAGGATATTTGGTACACCTTGTAGATTTTTTATGATTTTTCCTATACAGGGTGTTCCAGGTTTTAGTAACAGTTCACCAGTGGAGGTAGAAAATTATTTTAATTAAAGAGTTCCCAATGTTGTCCAAATATGCTGATAGTGAGGAAAAACAGTCACCTGGTATACTATTTGAGACAAAATTGTTTAAGAATTGAGAAAATTTTTTGAATTTAAAATAATAAAATTCATTTATATTCTCCATCGTAAACTATCGTAAAATCTGACATTTTCCTCACTTTCTTCCAAAATTATAGTCGCTCATCGTTTCCGATCATAAAATCTGACAACTGTTAGACAGTTCTAACCTCACTTTCTCAATTAATTTTTAAGGAAACAATTAACCGTCGTAATAAATACTACCCGTGGAAAAAAGTAAAATTTCGTCGCCCTATTGGACAGTAACCCGTTGAGAAAGAAGAATTTTCTCGACGGTTCAAGATTGAACCACTTTCTCAATAAAAACGTATAAGAAATGTACTAATTCTTTAATATGAATTTAGAAAATATTGTTTCGTTTATAAAAATATTAAAGACGAAAATATATTAAAACTTTAACACCCTGTATCTCAGTAAGAACAACCGACGGTTGTCAAACGTTGCTGAAGTCCTGCTACTAAAACTTGGGACACCCTGTAGACCTTAAATATTTATAACAGTTAAATATATTTAAATTTATTATATATATACATACATATAGGGCCGGTTTTTCAATCGTTGGTTAAGTTTATCTTACGGTTAATTTCCTTGGATACTATTGTTAACCATCCCAAATAAATTTTATACACTGGGCGTCAAAATTAACGCATAATAAGTAAAACAATTTTAACTCTAAAACGCCTTTACCAATCTTTATGAAATTTAGTATAAAAATACTTCAACTTATATCTCAGTTTACGTGTTCGAGGGTTTTTCAAAAAAATATTTTTAAAGCCCTTTTATTTAAAAATTAAAAAAACGTTTGAAAAATAACTTTTAGGGAATTTTTTTAAGTAAATAAAAAATATGCTGTTTAAGACCGTATTTTTGTTAGTATACCCTAAAATTTTGTTCAAATCAAACGAACAGTAACGAAGATACAGCGCTTCAAAGTCGGTAAAAATGACCCCTTTTTGATTATTTTGCTGAAAAGTGGTCTTTTTGACGACTTTGAAGCGCTGTATTTTCGTTGCTCTTCGTTTGTTTTGTACAACATTTTCAGGGTATACTAACAAAAATACGGTCTTTCACAGCATATTTTTTATTTACTATATAAAGTTTTTTTTCAAGCGTTTTTTATTATTAAATAAAACGGCTTTAAGGATATTTTATCGAAAAACCCTTGAACAGGCATAAGTTAAAGTATTTTTATTCAAAGTTTTATAAAGATTGGTTAAGGTGTATTAGAGTTTGATTTTTTACTTGTTATGCGTTAATTTAATTAATTAATTAATTTTTGCAGAATATACATATATTTTCTATTTTTCATTATTGAACTGTTTGTTAGTATTTTGTGGCGGTTTTATATATTTTCTTACAGTTTTCAGGTGACTTGGGAGAAAACGAAAGAACTGTTTAATATTTTATCAATTCGCATTATAAAATGGAATTTATATTTTTCCTGTTAAAATATTCAACCATTTTTGGAATGAAGTGATTCGGGGATATTACCTTAGAATATCCCACTTCTTATTGGATAGTTTCTGCAGCTTTTAGCTTAGTTTGTAGTTTTTTTAAGTATCAAATATTTATTTTTTATCCTAATTTAATTAGGCGAAAACATTGGCGTTAAAGGAAAAAATAATAAACATTTTTTACCAAATTTTTAAAAAATATGGTGCTTATATTTTTTTAGGATTTGATACTTACACAATGTAATGTTCTTAAATAAATAAACACTATTACACAATACACTATTCTATTACTAATCACACAAGCCTTATCTTGAGCTTCCATACAATTTTGCAGTTATGTCTAGAGATTTAAAATGTCCGGAAAAATTTATAAATTTTAGTAGGTATTGGGGCATTCCACGTTACTCGGTAATTTTTGTTCCACCCGTCACAATTAAAAATTGTGAGTAAAAGCCACAAGTTATTAAATTAATATTTTATAATATTATTTTTATTGTGCTTATAACTTATTAAAAGCATAATAAACAATATTTTAAAATAAATTTTATAACGTGTGGTTTTTTCTCACAATTTTTAATTGTGACGGGCGGGACAAAAATCCCCGAGTAACGTGGAATGACCCTATTCCAAATATTATTTACAAATCATTTTAATGAAAAAATGCATTTGTCACTGAATTGGCGAGGTATTGTAACAGCATTTCGGTAAATCCTGACTTAACAATACTGCAAACATATATTTATATCATTTTTATAAATATATCACATTACATTAATATATTCTCAGATTTCCGGGTTTGGTTAGATAATTTCTTAATTTTTCGAACCGTTAAATCTCTAGCTAGGGTTTTAAAGTGCCGAAAAAAAAAACGGAAAAATTGGGAAACAACCTTGGGAAAATTGGCTTTTTTGGGAAAAATACACATTTAAAAAAAATGTGAATCAGCAACTTAACATTAACAACGTTAAATATACTGTCGCTTGGGTCTTTTTTGCAAAAAGGAGTCCATTGAAAATATCCAATTACAAAATAATAAATGATTTTTAAAGTTAAATTACAAAATTATAATTTTATAAATCAAAGTGTCAAATAAAACGAAAGTAATGTTAATACAGCACAGAATACTGAAATAAAATAAAAGGAATAATTATTATAATCATAATATTATGATTATATTCAGCGTCGAAAATTCACTTTTTTCTGGATATCAGTGTAAGGATAGTATCCGTAAAAAATTGACTTTTGAATTTTTTCGTTTTATCCTTTGACTAAAATAAAAAAAATGCAAAAGTCAATTTTTCTGAAAATTTCCCAATTTTTCCGGAAAAAACAGTTTTCTCCGCCGGCTCAATTTTTCCAGAAATTTTAAAACCCTATCTCTATCTAGGTCCATTTTATCCCAAACCCTAATACAAGTATGGCACGCCGTTTTAGCATTTATTAGATAAAAGTTTAAAGATTATACTTTAGCACTTAAATTATGTTTTAACAGAAATTTATTAAGTTAATTTTTCTTAAACCCAAAACAATTGTTAGCCAACAAAATATTTTAAATATAAAATGCAACAGTAAAAATTTATGTTTAAAAATATTGATTTGTTTATAATATTTTATTCTACAAAATTATTGGTTTAAATAAAGAGTCATTTAAATGATAGTTGATAAATTTTTAATACAAAAATTCTCACATTACATTTAAATGTACGTTTTAAATTTTAAAGTAGTAATTTTTGGATTAAAAATTTATCGACAATCATTTAAATGACTGTTTACATATTTAAACCAAATTTTTTTATTTTTAACAATTTTAAAGTGATACTTATATTTTTAAGACAAATTTTATAACTTTACATTTAAATATAAGTCGATAATTTTTAAATTACAAAGTGTATACGTAGCTTTAGTAGAAGGCACAATGGTCTGGGATCGGAGCCACGATGCAGCCAGTTTGATCCGCAGTGTTGCCAAATCGTGCTTGCTCCATAAATATTTGACGCGTTTTACAAATTATGGTAATGAAATGTTTTTTTATTACATACATTTAATAACAGAACAACAACATTTTTAGTGCCTCTTGTAAGTTAATTTGACTATTAAAAAACATTTTTTCTAATTTTTAAGAGAAATTTTTTTGTAGTGCCACAATATTAAAGTTAATGCTTAAATCACCACTTTAAAATTTAAAACTAACATTTAAATGTAATGTTAAAATTACAAAACTTTTGCAGTTACATTTTATATTTAAAATATTTTTTGATTTTCAATAGTTTTGAGTTTACAAAAATTTAACTTTTTAAACTGTTTTGGTAGAAAATGTTTTATATGTGTTTTTATTTTAAATGGATTGATACTATTTTTAAATACTACAAAATTTAACTTTACCAAATTAATCTCAATAATTTTATAAAATATTTATTTAAGTTTACAAAATTATACTTGGGAAATTATTTTTATTAAAAAATGATAGTTAGAAATTTTTGCAAAAATTGATAGAAAATAATATTGTTTAATACAGAAGTGAACTGTTAGTAAATTTTGTCTTTCAATACATGATAGTTGAAAAGATTTTAAATTTATAAATGAAAACCTAAAATTTTTAGTTAGACAAATTTTAAACCAATAAAATTTTAAATTAAAAAATTATTTAATAAATGTTAAAACGGCTGGCCATATAAAACACAAGGCATAAAAATAATGCAGTGTGCTGCTACTTACAAAAAAATTTAACCGCAAGTCTAAACTTTAAAAAAATCAATAAAACCTAGGAGTTAAAAGTGGTAAGTTGAAAAATACACTTAATAAATTTTATATAAAAAATATATTTAAAACTTATCAAGGCATAATAAATAAAATCTTACTACAAGTTAGTCCTTCTTGAGAGCGTAGTAGACGTCATCAACGCTTACATTCAGAATGATCCTCTGATAGATGTCGCTTCGTTTGGAATCTGTCAAAATCAAGCGACATGCACTAAGGCGCGAAACAGCTGCTAGTGCGTTGGTAACCGAGACCATCTTGAACCCATCGATGGCCGCCACTGACACAAACATTTTGTAGTTGTCCATGAAGGTGGTCTCCTCCACCCCTGTTCTCTCGACCTTAAATTCAAATTTAAATAAATTGTTTAAACTAATTGAAATTTCTAACATTCGCTGTCTTGCTGGATCTTAACATAATTAACTAACAAATTACATTACATATTCATTTATTTATGTGTTTTTAAAGTTTCAGACTATAGAATATTTCACGTCATAGCTTTATGGTTGGTTACTTGTGCAGTTATATAAAATTTACTTACAAAATGCTGTGTTTGTTATATTCGATAAAATCAAGGGTAAGTATGAGCGGGTATTAATAACAGAAATAAATTATTAGGGTTTAACGTTTTCAAAATTTTCATAAGCAGTCGGCCAGATTTTTTTTGGCGGCAAGTTTTGAAGCATTCTTATGTGCTTTATGATTTTAATTTATTTTTAACATTTATTTACAAAAAAGTTAAAATTTATTTTTCTATACAGGGTGTCCCAAAAATATAAAAAGCTAAATTCTTTTTGATAAATTTTTAAAATTAAATTTTATTTTTATTACTTTATTACTTGTATAAGTATATGTTATGGCTAATGTGCAAACTTGGATAGTTTATAAACTAGCTGGATAGTTTATAAACTAGCCAAACTGTCAGCTATTTTAATTGAAAACATATTTTCAACTAAATTAGCGGCTAGTTTACAAAAATAACCAAGGATCTTGACTAATTTACTTGAAATTAGTAGGGAAACTAAAATAGCTGGATAGTTTGTATACTATCCAATTCAGTTTGGCTAATATGAAAACCAAAATTTCTAGTAACACAAAATAGCCAAGCTTTAGCTAGTTTGTAAACTAACCAACCAATTATCTGGCTAATTTATTTAAAAAGTGAGGTTACGGCATTGTTTTTCATTTTGCCGGCTTAACCGGATTTGTTTTGTGCATTTTTAACGTTTTTAAAATGACTCATAGGCAAAATTTTAACGCTTCCTTGTTAGAAAACTCAACAACACAACCCTACCGACCCCGCCCCATTGCCCCCCCCTCGCCCCATTGGTCAAATGGTCAAAAATGAGAGAAAAAAACCAAAACCAACCCAAACTCAACAACACAACCCAACCGACCCCGCCCCATTGGGCCCCCCCGGCCCATTGGGCCCCCCCGGCCCATTGAGCAAAAAACCCAACTAAAATGGGCAAGAGCCAGAGAATTAGTTGGTTAGTTTACAAACTAGCTAAAGCTTGGCTATTTTGTGTTACTAGAAATTTTGGTTTTCATATTAGCCAAATTGGATAAATTGGATAGTATAGAAACTATCCAGCTATTTTAGTTTCCCTAATAATTTCAAGTAAATTAGCCAAGATCCTTGGTTATTTTGTAAACTAGCCGCTAATTTAGTTGAAAATACATTTTCAATTAAAATAGCTGACAGTTTGGCTAGTTTATAAACTATCCAGCTAGTTTATAAACTATCCAAGTTTGCACATTAGCCGTAACATATACATTAGACTGAGCCAAAAAAATCAACTATTTTTTTAAAGCATATCGAAAATATGGTTTGGGGTGACAAAAAAAATTATTGTGAAAGTTTGATTCCATAATATTAATATTAAGAGGTCTATCATCGCAATTTTTTTTTTTTTTTAAATTTCGTTTTGACTTCAAATTTAACCTTGAATAACTTTTGATGGTTGAATTTAGCCAAAAATGATAAAAGACTTTTTTTGTAGAGCATTTAATTTCCCATAAGAAAATTTATCGTTTTTTTTTTCAGGGTACTTGAATTACAAAATTCCAAAGTTAAAAGATCAAATTGTAAAACTATACCAATTTTTAAGGCATGATTGTAAGAAAACGGTTCATCTGACGGGAAATTCCAATCAAACTTTTTTTGTAGAGCATTCAATTTTCTTCAAAAAATATTCTTAAGTCAATTTTGTTAAACTCAATGATTTGGGAGTTCTGAGACAAAAACTCGCTCAAGAAAAAAAAATCTAAAATTGCGATGATAGACCTCTTAATATTATTATTATGGACTCAAACTTTCACCATATTTTTTTTGTCACCCCAAACAATATTTTCGATATATGTACTTTCCAAAAAAAAATAGTCGATTTTTTGGCCCAGTCTAATATACATAAAACAATATTCTAATGATGTTTCAAAAATAAAAAGCAAACATTTGTGTCACTCTTCAGCCTATCAGACGCACATGGTTGCCAAATTTCTTGAACTGTAATGTTGATAACTTGTATGTATTTTTTTGTTAAATTATAAAGCAATTTATTAAAACAAAAAACTTGACATCTCATGTGTCTGATGAATACAAAGACAAGAGTCAACAATGGTTGACTATGAAAACAAACCAAATAAGACAAATGAGCTTGACATGGTTGTTGACATTGTTTCTAATGAACTTAATAAAATTTTGTTTTTAATTTAAAAATTTGCATTATACTTAAAATATTTTTGGAACATCCTGTAATATATACTTGTATAAATATAATATTAATAGTACTGTTTTTTAATATTAAACATGATAGAATGTTAAGTATTTAAATTAATTAATTTAAATTCAAAGATTCTGTAGATAAAAAAAAATTTTTTTTAAATATTTCTAAACCTTAATAACATACATTTTGAAAAATACAGGATTGCGAAATTCAGGTTACTGCAAATATTTCATTTAGTTTTTTTTATTTTGAACGGTACTAAATATTAAAAACCTGGAGGTATTAGATCAGGTGAGCATGGGGGCCAAAGAGCCAGCCAACATTCTTTGTTTTTTTTATTTGGTGGTCAATTTAGTTTCAGTTTTTAATGATTTTTAAATAAGATGTCTAAAAATTAGAAAATTAGTTAAGCAATAGTTATTTATGTCATTAGGCTAAGAAGTGAGTCTTTTTGTGTTGGCAGAGGACACTTCTCAACATTTTATCTTTAAGGCACAATTTTATTTGTCAAATAATTAAGAAGAAAGTGAGGTTATAAAACGCTTGAATATAAATAATTTTACACTTTTTTTACATACCTACATTTTTGGCAAATAAAAAACCTTATGCACTTTTCTTGCGAAAGTGTTTTTTCGTGATAAAATAATAATAATTATTAATATCAATTATATTGAATTGGAAATTCAAATAGAAAATAATATTTCAATTATGTATTTCGATTTTGTCAATTTCAATTGGTATGAATTGAAAAATAAATTTAAGATTATTGAACTAAGATTTCAATCGGTTTTATTTGACGTTTAATTCAGTCAACACCTGGTTGAAATTACAGCTGTCAAAATGATGTGCCAAAATGGCAAGTACTTAAATGACAGCTGTCAAACTGACCGGTGCCTAAATGACAGCTGTCAAAATTGTATGTGTCAAAATGACATGTAGCAAAATAAAAGGTGTCAAAATAAGGAAAAATGGCAGCAGTCAAAATGAAAGGTGCCAAAATTACGACTGCCAAAAATGACAGGTGCTGAAATGACATCTGTCAAAATGACATGAACCTAAATGACAGCTGTAAAACTCATAGGTGCCAAATTGACAACCGTCAAAATGACAGTTGCCAAAAAAACATTCTTCGTTATTTTACATTAGAACCACGCGAGCGAAGCGGTGAATATACAGTAGGGTGTTTCATTTAAAAAGAAATTTTTTTTTCTTGCTGACACATGAAAATTTTGTTTTTTAGGTTAAAAAAAAATTCCCTGAAAATTTGAGCCCTTAATTTTGATTTTAAGTACTTCCTTTTTAATTTTGTAGTTTTTCCATATAAAAAGCATGTATTTTTAATCATTTTTACTTTAAATTTCTATATTTTGGCCGGGTTTTGAATTATAATTTTTATCACCATTATTTTCTGCATAGTATTCACGGTTTTTGAAAGGCCCTGCATCAATTTTGTTTTTGATTTATTTACGTTGATTGTAGTAGCTCCAAAAGTCGTTTTTTCACTCTTTTCACATATTTTTGAGAAAATCGAGCGAAAAAAGTTGTAGAAAATTTAATTTTTGACAAAAAAGGTTTTTACGTTCATATCACTAAAGTGCTTTGTTTAAGAGATATAAGCAATATATAATTGTTGAATCAAATTACATAAATTTCAATAAAACCTATGTTTTCTTTGTTTTTGGTTATTGAATTGCTTATATTTCTTAAACAAAGCACTTTAATGATATGAACGTAAGAACCTTTTTTGTCAAAAATTAAATTTCCTACGACTTTTTTATTTGAACTTTTTTGGTAAAACCAGTCATTCGCTCGATTTTCTCAAAAATATGTGAGAAAAAGTGAAAAAACGACTTTTGGAGCTACTACAATCAACGTAAATAAATCAAAAACAAAATTGATGCAGGGCCTTTCAAAAACCGTGAATACTATGCAGTAAATTATGGTGATAAATATTAAAATTCAAAACCCAGCCAAAATATAGAAATTTAAAGTAAAAATGATTAAAAATACATGCTTTTTATATGGAAAAACTACAAAATTAAAAAGGAAGTACTTAGAATAAAAGTTAAGGGCTCAAATTTTCAGGGAATTTTTTTTTCAACCTAAAAAACAAAATTTTCATGTGTCAGCAAGAAAAAAAAAATTTCGTTTTAAATGAAACACCCTAATATACAGCCAGTATATTAATAAAAATGTGATACATAACATTTGGCAAAGTGAGGTAACCATAGTTTATACATATTACATATGTATTTTATTGGCGAGCTGTGACTTGATGGCGTTTTAGTCACAGGCTGAAGTTAGCAATAGTGGCTTATGGACATTTTAGTTACGGTCTGAAGTTAGCTTTATTATAAGTTAGGAAGAAGTGAGGTTAAATCCTTTGAAATTTGACAGATGTCTAATATTTAGCAAATAAAATTGGCTTTAAATTCGTCTGTGTTCGTCGTAGATAAAGTATAGTATGCAACTCGTTTTATAAACTTCTTTAGACACTAGTTTTTATTAAATACTTGCTTGCAAGCTTTGCTCGTGCATAATAAAATCGTAACTAAAATGGCATTTATTAAACTTGAAACGTAATATATTATTATACACGGTGCTGTTCTGAGAGGTGATTTTTGGACTTTCTGTGAAACCTATTTTTTTTTATATTCTTGTTAATTAGGTCATAACTAAGAATTTAAGAGCAAAATAAAAAAAAACTGACGGTTTGAATTGTTTTAATTGGCTGTTTATTAAAAATATTATGCACTCTTTCAATTATCCAATTAAAACTAGCGATTTAATTTAAATATTTAATATTTGCATAACTAAAAAAATAATTTTTACATTTTTTTTTATATATGTATATTTTACTGTTTTGTTGCAATAAATTCTATAATTTTTGTTCTCTCAGAATCGCAAGTTTTAATTGGAGAATTGAAAGTGTGCATACATATTTTTAATAAACATCCAATTAAAACAAAATTAACCGTCAATTTTTTTTTATTTTGCTATTAAAATTTTAGTTATGACCTAATTAACAAGAATATAAAAAAAATTAGGTTTCACAGAAAGTCCAAAAATCACCTCTCAGAACAGCACCGTGTATAGTATAGTATAATGCAATAAACATTGTCTACCCATCTTCATTATTTCCCTTGATGGGGTTGTTATTATCAATATTATTTTTCTCAGCTCCATTAGCTGTTTGTGAATTGCGCTGCTTTTGCTAAAATGTTGAGTCCTCTTATTTTGACCAATTAAAATTGAGGAAATAAAAGGACGATTAAAATTTATTGAAATCTTAGTTCAATAGTTTTAAAATTATTTTCCAATTCATACCAATTGAAATTAAAAAAACTCGAACGTTGATTAAAACTGATTAAAATCTTGGTTTAATATTATCCGATTCAGACCGATAGTAACAAAAAAAAAACGATTCAAACCACGGTTTTATATTTATAGGGTGATTCAATTCAAACCAATACAATTCCAAACAATTAGTAGTATACCCACCAACCTGTTTTATATGTTTGTCTTTTTTACTCTAACCTCAGCTAAGCCTCAAATTATTAAAGGTGTCCTTGCCACCTGAATTTCCAACCTCCCTGTATAAAATTGAAAACAAAATAAACCCTAATGAAAACAAACAAAAACTCTCTCAAATGGCCACATCAGTAATCTTGGTCTGTTTTTAGATTGGAGATTACCTCTTACACACCATTGCAATCGACTATTCTAATCTGAAATACCTACCTACTACTACTTTTACTACTATAGTAAACTATACTTTCTACACGCTAAAAAAAACTACTATGCATGAACCTCCTCTACTGTCAACTCGCACCAAAGTTCTTCTGCTGCCAAGAAATGGTGTACTCAAAATTCAACACAAAATTACTAATTTTAGCGTTTCCTGTGTTAATTTATTAATTTTTTTGTGTATTTATTTGTAAATAATGCATTTGGAAAATTGTAAAAACGACTAGTTTTAAGTAACATTATTCTGTTTTTAACTTTAATTGTTAATTTCTAAAACGAATCTACTAAATGCTACTGACCCTAATTAAAACACGTCTCCAAAATGGTGCTATGTAAATAAATAAAAGTGATTTATTTAAGATATTTATTGTAATGTTAAGTTAGCAGTACCTGAAGCAAGTTAGGGGAAATATTTTACTTAGAATTAATAAATATATTCGCGATTTTGAAATGTTTCTACACTCACAGGCAAAATAATCGATCCACTCAAATTTTCGATGAATTTCAATCGCAAATAACTTGTTTATTTGATGTCGGATTTAAACGAATATTAAAGAATATTGTAGATAAATTAATGGACAATCGCTCACATTTTAAAAAATTACTAAAAAATACACGTACGTTTATAATATACAGGTTTAAACAAAAAGATGTTTTTTACCATAAGTTTAAGACACTTTGTAGAGTGGCTAAACCGTATATTGTTCTAAATAAAGTTTTATTTATCAAGTCACATCTATTCTTAACAGTTTTGTTTTTGGTTCACCTCGATATATTTATTTTTGTAGAAAATATGGATTTTTTTAAAAAACATTGCAATTTCCAATATTTTTCTGTATGAAGAACTAAGGTTGCTATGGTCCATCCATAGCCTATGAAGGATGACAGTGACAGTTTTGTTGAATCATCCCATACTTGGACATGTCATACACGGCTTTCAAAAGCTATCAAATTGTTTTTTTTGCAAATTAATGTTTAAATTTTGAGGTCTTTTACTTTAAAAAATAGATATGTCTCCGACTGATGTTGCCAGAGCCATTAATTTAATCCAGGATGGACGGTCACAGTATTACGTGGCAAGTGTTTTAAACGTCACAAGATGTAAAGTACAAAGATCAACATCAGTCGGAGACATTTTTAAAAGTAAGAAGACATCTCAAAATTAACACATTAATTTACAAAAAACAATTTGATACCTTTTGAAAGATGTATATGACATGTCCAAGTATGGGATGATTCAACAAAACTGTCACTGTCATCCTCCATAGGCTATGGATGGACCATAGCAACCTTAGTTCTTCATACAGAAAAATATTGGAAATTGCAATGTTTTTAAAAAATCCATATTTTCCACAAAAATAAATATATCGAAGTGAACCAAAAACAAAACTGTTAAGAATAGATGTGACTTGATAAATAAAACTTAATTTAGAACAATATACGGTTTAGCCACTCTACAGAGTGTCTTAAACTTATGGTAAAAAACATCTTTTTGTTTAAACCTGTATATTATAAACGTACGTGTATTTTTTGGTAATTTTTAAAATGTGAGCGATTCTCCATTAATGTATCTACAATATTCTTTAATATTTGTTTAAATCCGAAATCAAATAAAAAAGTTATTTGCGATTGAAATTCATCGAAAATTTGTGTGGATCGATTATTTTGCCTGTGTATTTGGACAATACAACTGTTAATTACAGACGTCATTTATGAATTTTAAGATCCAATTCAGCAAGCCAGCCAAATATACTAAAATGCGTCTGTCAATAAGAGTTATTTCCGTCCAATAATTAATTATCGATGTATACGAACCTCCGCAACGATGGTCTGCAGAAGGAGCTGCTCCAGCCTGGAGCAGTGCTTGATGGCACGCACCTTAGGCTGCGTTATCATCGCGTTAAGCGCCTCGTTCACGTGCTGCATCGTGACCAATCCCTGCTCGTTCTCGAGCTCGGCAATTTCCGCCGCCCTTCGGCAGATGTCGAGGGCGCGACGGGCGTCTCCCGAAACCGAAGCGACTTTTCTGCAAGAGAGATTAACACGGAATATAGGATTGTTGAGCGGTAGCTTTAAGGGCATTTTTTTAATATAAGCTTTAAGATGATAACACAGGTCTGCATGTTGGTTTTCCTTTTAAAAATGTAAAAGTACACCATGTTTGTTTTTTTATGGCACGCCGTTTTAATTTTTTAATTTAAAATTTTATTTATTTTCAACTATGTATTGAAAGACAAAATTTACTAACAGTTCACTTCTGTATTAAACAATATTATTTTCTATCAATTTTTGTAAAAATTTCTAACTATCATTTTTTAATAAAAATAATTTCCCAAGTATAATTTATTTGGGTGGCATTTTGTTAACTTAAATAAATATTTTATAAAATTATTGAGATTAATTTGGTTAAGTTAAATTTTTTAGTATTAAAAAATAGTATTAAGCCATTTAAAATAAAAACACATATAAAACATTTTCTACCAAAATAGTTTAAAAAGTTAAATTTTTGTAAACTTAAAACTATTGATAATCAAAAAATATTTTAAATATAAAATGCAACTGTAAAAGTTTAAGTTTAAAAAACTAATTTAAAAAAATTAAATTTTAATATTTTATTCTTCAAAATTATTGGTTTGAATTTGTAAAGAGTCATTTAAATAATAGTCGATAAATTTTCGATACAAAAATTTGAACATTACATTTAAATGTTAGTTTTAAATTTTAAAGTGCTAATTTTCGCATTAAAAATTAATCGACTATCATTTAAATGACTCTTTACAAATTTAAACCAATAACTTTTATTTTTAACAATTTTAAATTGATACATTTCTAAGACAAAATTTATAACTTTACATTTAAATGTAAGTCGATAATTTTTGGTCTGGGAAACGTAGCTTTAGTAGAAGGCACAAGAGTCTGGGATCGGAGCCACGATGCAGCCAGTTTGATCCGCAGTGTTGCCAAATCGTGCTTGCTCCATAAATATTTGACGCGTTTTACAAATTATCGTAATGAAATGTTTCTTTATTACATAAATTTAATAATAGAACAACAACATTTTTAGTGCCTATTGTACTAAGTTAATTCGACAATTAAAAAACATCAACGGATCAAACTGGCTGCATCGTGGCTCTGATCCCAGACTCTTGTGCCTTCTACTAAAGCTACGTTTACACTTTGTAATTTAAAAATTATCGACTTACATTTAAATGTAAAGTTATAAATTTTGTCTTAAAAGTATATCACTTTAAAATTGTTAAAAATAAAAAAAATTGGTTTAAATTTGTAAAGAGTCATTTAAATGATGGTCGATAAATTTTTAATCCAAAAATTACTACTTTAAAATTTAAAACTTACATTTAATGTAATATGAGAATTTTTGTATTAAAAATTTATCAACTATCATTTAAATGACTCTTTAAAAATGTAAACCAATAATTTTGTAGAATAAAATATTACAACCAAAACTTTTAAAAATCAATATTTTTAAACATAAATTTTTACTGTTGCATTTTATATTTAAAATATTTTTTGACTATCAATTGGTTTGAGTTTAAAAAAATTTAACTTTATTAATTTCTGTTAAAACATAATTTAAGTGCTAAACTTTAATCTTTAAACTTTTATCTAATAAATGCTAAAACGGCGTGCCATATTTTTTCAAAGTTATTTAATAAAATCAAAAAAAGAACTGACCAGTGATATTTTGTACAGGCAATTTAGGGACACCTTGTATATTTAATAAATTTAGAAAGTGCCAACCAGAAAATTACACCTACAAATATTAATTTGTAATAATACACTGCGCGTCAAAATCAACGCATAATAAGTAAAAAAAATTTAACTCTAAAACGCCTTTACCAATCTTTATGAAATTTTGTAGAAAAATACTTCAACTTATATCTCAGTTTACGTATTCGAGGGTTTTTAGAGAAAATATTTTAAAGCCCTTTTATAAAAAAACGTTCAAAAAATAACTTTTAGGGAATTTTTTTTAAGGAAATAAAAAAATATTCTGCTTCACAGCATAATATGATATTATCTTTTATTCACTTCAAAAAAATTTTCCTATAAAAGTTTTTTTTCGAGTGTTTTTTATTATTAAATAAAAGGGCTTTAAGAAAAACCCTTGAACACGTAAACTGAGATAAGTTAAAGTGTTTTTATCCAAAATTTTATAATTTTATAATTTTGACGCGCAGTTTAATTAGATCCATAGATATGGTTTTTATATTGTGTCCTGTAGGGAAATTTTGCAGGCTTGTGTAGTAAAATAAAGAATTAAATTGTCCTTGATTCTTTATTTTCCAGATAACTATGCATTGTAATATTCTTGTTTTGTTAATGTATTGTCATACTTGAATTTTAATAATAATTAATTATATTAGAATTTAGCAGAATAGTTAAATAGGCTAGTGAAATACGGGGTGATGCAAAATAAACGTTCGAATGATTTATAACTTTGTGTTTGCGGGACAGCAATTGATTTTGACGTATTTTGATTTTTTTTAGCATTCAATCCGTAACGTTTATTTTGCGCCACCTTGTGTAACCGGCAAGCATTAATGAAACAAATTGTTGTTTATTTCTTAAACTTAGCAGTGACTAATGGTCGCATTTAAATAACAAATGGCATTTAACTATTCACGTGTAAACCCGGTCAAAGAAATTGAAACCAAAATGCATTTTGCTGTTGTTGAAAACTTATATAAATTGAAATCTATTTTTTTAAATGTCAGCTTCATATTAAGTATCAAATACCTATAATAGTTGTACAAAATAAAGTATAAAGTAGTGCTATGTGTTTATTTTTTTTTTTTTTTGTAGCGCCAGAGATTTATTTTTGGCATAATCTATAAGTGCCGTGCATTGTTTAAAGTTGACATTTTACATTTAAAATGGGAAGCAACCCAATTAAAAGCACCACCTGCTATGATCTGTCGTCGCGACGTGTATTTTCGGCTTGCAAGAATACCTGAACTGCCAAATATTTCAGGAACTAACTGTAAACACTTCATCAATTAAAATGTATATTAAAACATTTTTAATACCAATAAAAAGGGAATTAACAACAAGTTAAAATTTGTGGTAAAAATATAGAAATTGACTGGTAAAACCAAAAAAAAAACCGGTAAAAAAACAAAAAAGTTTAAAACTTTTATAAACTAATTTAAAGAAAACACTTATTTAGAAAATTTAAAGAAACATGTGCTTTTAATTATCATTATTAAAATACCAGGCATATTTTTTTAGCAAATTATTTATAAAAAAAAATCAATTTTCCTTGACAAGTTGTGGCTTTATGACACTTAGTCACGGGCTGAAGTTTGCAACAGGTTTTTAGTCACAGGCTGAAGTTAGTTTTAAGTTGTCAAATGTCATGCAATCGTTAAAATAAAGTGCTTTCCTTGTAAAATAATGCTGAATGTGAAAATTATTTTATTATCTCAATACAAAAGTATTAAATAGTTTCTTGACGCCTATATTTGAAAAAATTATATGAACGTTTGCACTACTACTGTGAAAAACTCCTTCTATATCGATTTGTAGTCTATTTTCAAGGGATAAATTTTATTTACACAGAAAATTTTTAGATTTTAACGCCGGTAGATTTCCAAGTTAGAAATTCTAACGGGAATTCCAATAAATGCAGCTGTCACTTTTTGTACCTTTGACATTTCCCGTGTAGGAATTTTTAATACTTTGTGATAATATTTTGCAATTATAGTAATAAAAAAATTAAAGGATAAAATATTTTCTTAACATAATCATAATTTGAAGTTATTTTAACATTTTAAAGTATCAATAATTGTTAAGTTTAATTAAAGTAATAACGGGCAATGTTTTTGGTGAAAATTACGTTAAAAATGTTTATTGGGAAGGTTACTTTATTTTCGTATAGATGTCGCTTTATACAAATATTTAATTTAAATAGTTTTTTGGATAATATGAAGTATTTGTCGTAGAAAAAGTATGGTATGCAACTCGTTTATAAACTTTTTTAATTAAATAATTAAATATAACAATAATAATAATAATAATTTATTGAACCAGGTGTATGGGATACATTTTATGAATTGGACATTACATAAAATCTGCAAGGGGTTTATTAAACCTATGCGCAGACCTAGTTTAAATTACAAACTGAATAATACTTATAAACTAAAAACTAAGAAAACTTGTACTCTTAAGATTGATTGATTTACTAAACTTTTTGATGTTATAATATAGAGTATATGTGTGTTATTGTTTTATTAAGTCCTTTGCTTTAATTACTTGAAGATTTAAGAGTTTGTGCGTATTATCACTCATCCATTTTTTTAATATTTTTTTTGTATGATTTTTATTTTTTTTTCAATTTTTTTTTAATTTTGTATCCAGTGCATTAAACAGTTTTATTGCCACTAGTTCATTACTGTTTAGTTTAATAGTTTTTCGTATTGTTGGAAAAATTATTTTATTTCTTGTAGTACTTTTTGATTTTTTGAAACTTGTTGAGTTTTTTATAGTTTAACAAGATAGTCTCAAGCAAAAAACATTCTTTAATAGATAGAGGCACTGCCAAAAGCCCCTCCCCAGGCAATAATACCATAAGTAGCAATGCTATGGAAAAAAGCATAGTACAATGTCATTAGAGACACAAGTAAACAATAAATTTAGACCTACTTATCAATTTGTTTATATGTGCATTCCACTTGATCCTACTATCAATAATCAAACCAAGATTTTTACAATAAATTAAATTTGTGACTAAAATGACGTTTATCAAACTTGATACATAATATACTATTTTAATTATGTTCTGCAACAAAAATGTTTAAAAGAAAAAGAGAGGTACATTTATTTACAAACGCATATATATTAAATAATGTTTACAGGGTGGAATCTACAATTGTGGTCAATCCTTTTACAAAAATATATATTGTTAATTGTTGTTGTTGTTATATTGAACATGTTCTGATGGCACCATTTTTTTAAATATTAATGTTGTTATATTTATAAACCATAATAAAATAATTAATTTTCTAATCCTTACCTTGCAACAAACTGTATGGCATCTGAATTAAAGCTATTGGTTCCTATTAATCTTTTGGTAACAATTTCTTGTAGCTGCTTGTGGGTATAAGCTTGGAAAGTCAATCTTGTCAAACCTAATCTACTAGTTACTCTGCTCATAAGTAATCTAAAAAAAAAATACACAAAATATAATCTTAATTTCTTTTAAATTAACATTACCTTTCAGGGAGATCCATAGTATTTGCAATAGTTATGACAACCAACTGATTCTTAGCTTTTGTGGGCCAGTCCAGCAAGTTGTAAACTACATCTTGTCTTTTTGTACATAAAATGTCCAGCTAGAAAAAAAAATCATCAATTTAAAATTATAAAAAATAATAAATTAATATTGGATTACCTCATCAATAAGCATGACCACAGGGGCAGATTTTTTTTTGGTTTTTGTAAACATGTCCTCCAAAATTGATTGGGCCTGCTCCCAGGGTACAGTTTTATTATTCAGCTGTTTCAAAATCTGAAAAAACATACAAAATAATATTACAAAACATTTTATTACAATTTCAGTAAAATCATACCTCAACATACGACTGTCTTGGTTCAGTCAATCTCATTCCATTAATACTAACAAAATTAAACTTTGGCAACTTTTTGTTTTGAGTTAAAGTATTTATTACAGAAGTTACTGTGGCAGTTTTACCAGTACCAGGCACTCCAGAAATGTACATGCACCTAGGAAATTATTAATTATAACTCCACAATACACTTAAGTTCTAGTACAAATTGTACTGTACAATAAGGAAGTATTGCCAATTAGTAAAAGCTAAAAGTACTAATTAGTACCAATAAGTATTTTTTGTGCTTTTTGTATTAATTCAAAAAGTACTTGTGCTAAGTACTAATTAGTGCTAAGTACTAATTAGTGCTAATAAGTATTTTTTGTGATTTTTGTATTAATTCAAAAAGAACTTGTGCAAGTACTTTTTGAATTAATACTTATTAGTACTAAAATAACTAAAAACACATGTCACTTTTTACTTGGTACTACTTATTTACTATTAGTACTTTTTTATTGGTACAAAAAGTAGTAATGGTAGTAATTGGTGCTTGGTACTAATTAGTACTTACTAAAAGTACTAATTAGTACTAATAAGGATTAATTAGTACCATTGATACTTTTGGTATTAATTCAAAAAGTACTTGCACAAGAAGTAATAAATTACTAAGCACAAGTACTTTTTGAAATACTAAAAAAAAAACTTATACAAAAAATATATAATAGTACTAATTAGTACCTTTAGTACTGGGTACTAATTAGTACTAAGCACTAATTAGTACTATTACTATTTTTTGTACCAATAAAGCAGTACCTACTATGTGTTTTAAGTTACTTTAGTACTAATTAGTATTAATTTGTACTATTGCTACTTTTGATATTAATTCAAAAAGAACTTGCTCATTAAGTACTAAAGTACTTAACACAAGTTCGTTTTGAAATGTATTAAGTACTTTAGTACTTATTGAGCAAGTACTTTTTGAATGAATACTAAAAGTAGCAATAGTACTAATTAATAATAATTAGTACTAAAATAAGTTAAACCACATGGGACTTTTTACTTGGTACTAATAATTACTATTAGTACTTTTTTATTGGCACAATAAATAGTAATGTTACTAATTAGTGCTTAGTACTAATTAGTACCCAGTACTAAAGGTAGATACTAATTAGTACTATAATAGTAATAAATATACATTTTTTGTATAAGTTTTTTTTGTAATATTTCAAAAAGTACTTCTTGTGCTAGTACTTTTTAAATTAATACCAAAAGTATCAATGGTACTAATTAATACTTATCAGTACTAAAATAACTAAAAACACAGGACTTTTTACTTGGTATTAATTAGTACTTTTTTATTGGCACAATAAATAGTAATGTTACTAATTAGTGCTTAGTACTAATTAGTGCCCAGTACTAAAGGTACTAATTAGTACTATAATAGTAATAATTATACATTTTTTGTATAAGTTTTTTTTGTAATATTTCAAAAAGTACTTCTTGTGCTAGTACTTTTTAAATTAATACCAAAAGTATCAATGGTACTAATTAATACTTATCAGTACTAAAATAACTAAAAACACAGGACTTTTTACTTGGTATTAATTAGTACTTTTAATACTTTTTCTTGGAACAAAAAGTAGTAATGGTACTAATTAGAGCTTGGTACCAATTAGTACTCAGTACTAATTCGTATTTGGTACTAAAATAATAATAATAAGTAGATAGTACTAATTAGTACTTTTACTAGGTCCTAAAGTTATTTTTGTATTTAGACAAAAAGTACTTGTACTAATACAGAAAGTACTTTTTCCAAATGTATTTTTTCGGAAAAAAATTACCCTCCACATCCATCCAACAATTTTCCCTCCAAAAAATGCTTAACATCACTGTACTCATTTTCCCTGCATGGTAAGGCCGTAGGAACATGGGAAACATGCAGTTGGCTTCTGGCCTTCATTAGAGGTGTGCTATCTCCTGCAATCGACTTATCCCTAGCGTGCATTGAAGGTGTGATAACCCCATCTCTAATAAGCTTGGCTCTGCTTTTAGTGCCGCTTTTTGGAGTGGTAGCAATGGTAAGTCTTCTAGCTCTTGGAGTTTTGGTTGGAGTTTTTAGAAGCTCAACTTCTACATACTCGTCGTCGGATTCAATGTATTTTTTTGGTGAACGGCGTTTTCTTGGTGTGTAGGGCGTGGTGTTTTCTATTTCGGACTTGCGTGGTCTGCCCCGGCGTGTGGGTGTTTTATTAATTGAATCGATGAGTCGTTCAGGTTTCTTAATTGAATCAATGAGTCGTTCGGGTTTCTTAACTTTTCTTTTTTCTGTTACAGTTTCTTCAATATCTGATTCATCATCACTCGTAGACTCGTAGTAAAAAAACTTGGATGTGCGACGCGGTGTGGGTTTTTCCATAACAGCAAGACTTTGCGTCAAGTTTACTTTCAATACAGTTTTTCTAAATGAATCGTCAAGATTTGGTGTTCTCACTTCAGGCGTGTTAATTTTATCGAAATTCAAACTTCTTTTGGGAGTATTTGATGCTGTTGAGTTACGTCTTGTTTTTGTAGGGCTAGTATTATCATCCTGCCATTTCGAAACAATTTTTCTTTTAGTTGGACTTAATAAAGGCTCAGCGTAATTCTTTGGCGCCACTGTGGATCTTCTGGGTCGTGATTTTATAGGGCTGTTAATGTTTACCCTCGAAAGGGTTTTTTCGATTTTCTCCATATCGCTCATTTTTGATGATTCAGTATATTGTGAAATTATTTTCACCGTACTCGACATTTCTTTTTTTAATTAACACGAATATTTTTAGTGGCTTAATTCACTTTAAACTTAAATTTTACAAAACAATTAACATTAAAACACAACAGAACAATAAAGGGTAAATTGAAATTTTGACATCTTGAATTGGCGCGAAATAATACGAAGAATGGGTGAAAATCGTTTGAGAAGAAGAAGAGCGATCTCTACAGGTTTTATTTCTATGGTTAATGACAACAAACGTCAAAAGTGTGAATTTTTGTTTTTGTGTTATTTTTATTATTTTTATGTGAGTTTAAAAACTGAAAGTGACTTAAATTGTTATGGATTTTATTTCAATTGAATTAATTTGGTGAACATTTTAAAATGCTGAAAATTTTAAAATATATGTTAAATTAAGAAAATTTTAAAATGAAGACTGAACACAGTTCTAGTGGAGAATCACTATGGACAAATAGTGTGGAACTCTTGCCTTCAGAGGTAATTATTCATATGTATAATAAATTATTTGATTAAAATTTAGGTCAGTGCTTTTTTATGCTTTAGAGATATTTTATTCAAATATATTTTATTACTAAAGAAGGAATAAATAGTTGGTGTTAATTCTGTAATGAATTAGTTGAAATATGCGACAATTTAAACAATTTAAAAACAAAGTTTGTAGGTTATTCTTCTTCTTCCAAATTTTTTTCAAAATAAATGGGGTAAATTCATAGACATAACAAAAGTAGCATAGGCAATTTACAGGGTGTTTATTTTTATTTTTAAGGAATGTTTGCCTGTAATTGGAAGCTGCCAAGTGTCGTCCATATTATCAAACCTTGGGGCTCCAATACAAGATGAAATCCCCCAAAACATGGAACTCATTATTCTGCCGAATAATGATTATAAATTGCCCATTCTTGACGCCCCCGTGAATCTACAAAATAATTACGTTATTTTAAAGGAACCAGACAATAAAAATGTTGAGGAAAATTATAAAACGAACATAGATAAATCGATTAAGCTGAAAAAGGACGAAAATTTTGAGGATATTTTGTATTTCGTTTGCAATTTATGCCCGTTTTTGTGCACGAAGGACTCGAAGATAACCGAGCATCTGGAGATAGCGCACAAAAATAAACCTGTCAGGAAGTTAACGAAATTAAAGTGTCCTGCGTGTCCGAACACGTTCTACCACAAAGTATCTTTGAGATCGCATTTGATACACGACCACGGCGTGGGGAATTCCGACTTAAGCACTATAATACAAGCTGTGGTTTATTATTCCAATAAAAACAAAAAAGTCAGCAAGAAAGAGAAAATCAAAGTGCAGACGATAAAAGAAAAAGTTGAGGAGGTGACGTTGCAAAATGACGACTACATCTCGAGTGACAGCGTCACCAATGACGACGACAAGGTTAAAACAACCGAACTGCCGCAACTTGATTTGGTGGGTAAAAATACGCAGATAATAAATACGTTGATGAGGCAGCCGGATTCGGTGACGAAGTGTATAGATTCGAAAAACACGACCAAATGCGACGTTGCCGTTTGTAAGGTGCGCTTTGAGGACGTGGATAAACTCGGTTACCACGTGCGGTCGCACATAGAAACGGGTTTTAGGTGTTTGGAATGCAGTGAAACCTTTCTGTACTGGAAGACTTTGATGGGGCATTTGTGGCGTCAGCACAAAATCGACATGGGGCTGTTTTCTTGCGACAAGTGCGACTACAAAACGTACAGCCTGGCCAAGCTGAACAACATCCACAAATTGATACACAGCGACGTGAAAAGTTTTAGGTGCGAGGATTGCGACAAAGCCTTTAAAAACGTGAAGCAGTTGAGGAATCATAGAATGACGCACAAAAACAAGGAGAGCAGGTCTGCGCACGAGTGCGACGTATGTCGTAAGTCGTTCGCCGACAGAAGGTTGCTCAAGAACCACGTTGATGTAGTTCATAACAAAATAAGGGCGCACAATTGCAGTTATTGCGAGTACAAGGGCGCAACCAGGGGCGCCTTGAAGATGCATGTCAGGCAGCATACCGGTAAGTACGAAAATTGACACTAGATGTCGCTTTTAACACTACGTAAACTATAGGCAATGTTGCCACATAGGGAGGTCATTTAAAAAATTACAAACGTTTTGACGACAAGTTATAATTATATTATTAAATGTTTTAAGACTAATAAAACTCAATTTTCTAATTACAAGTATTGGAATAATAGTATAATTTGTATCAAGATTGAAAAACGCCATTTTAGTCGCTCGCAAGCTCGCTCGTGCTTATAAGCATTATAATTAAATGACAAATACTTAATATTATCTAAAAAATGATTTTTAAATTTAAAAATTATAATTTATAAATATTTGTATAAAGGTACAAAAAGTGACAGTTGTATTTATTCGAATTCCCGTTAGAATTTCTAACTTGGGAATCTACCGGCGCTAAAATTTCAAACTTTTCACTGTGAAAGAGAAGAGAATGTTTTATCTGCACTGTACGCAAAATTTTTAACGCTTTATATAAAGCGTTAAAAATTTGATTGATATCACTTAAATCTAAGTAACTGCACTAATACGGCGAAATTAAAAGGTCAGTACAAACATTCATATAATCTTTTTAAATATTGGCGTCAAGAAACTATTTAAACATTTTTTTATATTTGTATTGAGATAATAAAATAATTTTCACATTTAGTATTATATTACAAGAAGGCACTTTATTTTAACGATTGTATGACATTTGACAACTGTCAACTAACTCAAAACTAACTTCAGCCCGTGACTAAAGCGCCATAAAGCCACAACAGTATGCATTTTAGGCACGAGCGAAACTTGTGAGTAATAAAAACAAGTGTTTAAGAGCTTATAAAAACAAGTTGCATACTATACTTGAGCCATATGTATAGATGCAAACTCACTTTTTGAAAAAATATAAGACACTAGATGACCGGGTGAACTTCGTTCCACCTAAAATTCATTATAGGCGATTACCAATCCTTATGAACCTTTTAACTCCAATTCATTGAACAACACGGAATTGTTTTCACAGTTGCTTAAATCTGTCAAACTTACCTTAACTTTACTATTTAAACTAATTTCTCGCTAAAACAATTGAATAAATGAATAAATGTTTTTTATTTAATTTGAAGCGCAGCTACGAACGCCATCTATTCAAATTAAACCAAAGTTGCACGAATTTTTAATTTTTTCGATTTTCCCATATACTTACCACACAGGTGGTATAATATGCATATTATGTGAAAGCCACTAAAAATCTCGTAAACACAATGAAAAAAAACATTACTAAAACAATTGGTATACAACAGAAAACAAACAAAATGGTTAATTATAAAAACCATCTACCTTTTTCTTCCTCTTCTTCTATACTTTTTATCCTCTCTTTCAAGAGACTTGGACTTGAGCCAATTAGGCTCTTACTGCCCAGTTACTAGTTTTTACGTCCTTGAGCTTCTCGAAGCCATCCACTCACGGACATGTGGAATTTCAAACCTTGAAACATCCACTAAATAGATTGCACAAATCACAAAATACCTCGCTGAAAGGTCAAAGCTTGCTTGGATTAATGGAACCCCATTTTATCCTTCCTGGGTCAAAGTCCACTATTTTCAGACTTTTTCATGGAGCGATGTACAGCCGTTGAAGGATAAAATCGAACTCTACCTATTAATATGCCTATGATAAAACCCCTTTGGCTATCGTGGTAGAATACGACGTTGCCAAATTCTTGCTGTTCTAAACAATTTAACTATTAAAAAGTATTTATTATACTATACTAAAAAGTGATATTAGAACGGCCATATTCTGTAATACGAGTGATAAAAGAATATTTCGACGGTTTTAGTAATTTTTATCAGTTAAGACCAATAAATTATTAAAGTCTATTCCAATGCAAGCTGGATTAAAATTTAAATTTAATGTAAACACAATCCTCCGAATCGACCAATAAGAGCTCATAATCACCATCAGAATCGACCAATAGAAACGAGTTATCACGCGTCTGGGCGTTTTTGTTTAGTCCAGCTTGGATTTGAATAGACTTTAGATTGTCAGTTTTTTTTTGTTTATTATCGCGTGTAAAGCCACACTACAATCTTCGCAGAATGTATTTTTTACGTCAACCAATTAAAACTTTTAAAATTGACATATCTGTGACAGTGGTTGGTTGACGGAAGACGTAAAATATACATTCTGCAACCATTGTAATCCTCAAATAACCTCATACTTTCATGTTTTATCTATAATAAAATAAATCTTTTTAGGCGAAAAGCCCTTTTCTTGCGACAAATGCCACTACACCACGGCTGACCACAACTCCTTGAGGCGTCACAAGCTTCGCCACACCGGCCAAAAACCGTACAAGTGTTCGTACTGCTCGTACGCGAGCATCCAAAGCAGCACCTTCAAGGTGCACGTGAAAACGAAACACCCGGGTATGGAGAAGGATTTGATGTTCACGTGTCCCGAATGTCAGTTTCGATCCGTCAACAAGGAGATGTACACGAAACACTTGATTATTGCGCACAAGCACGACGCAGAGTTTGCGGATTTGGAGATGGATTTACCAATAGACACTTGATTGTATTGTATTTTTTAGCGAAAAAAGTTATAGTGGAAAATATATTTTTTTAGATAAATATATCACCCATAGATTATTTATTAGTAATAGAAGAATTTTTGTACATAGAAAAGATTTTTTAACTTAACTTTTAGTCCGGAATTAATTAAAATACAATAAGTATATTGTTTTTGTTTTTTATTCAATAATATCTATAAACCTTAACATCATATCCATGCGATTCCAAAGTATAGTCAATCCAATCACTAAATAAGGCTATGTTTACATAAACACCGGGCGTATTGGTCATTCCACATGTCAAGCCCCATGATACAATCCCAGCTTGTTGATATCTTCCAGGTTGTCCTTCCACAGGACATATCAAAGGACTGCCCCCATCTCCTTTGCAAGCATCCTTTTTATCCTCTCCACCGGCACATATAAAACTCCTGTGGAGCCTGAACTGAGGGCCTAGGCGTGCAATTTGCAAGGCTCTAGCGCATATCGAGTTCGGCACTACGGGTAGTGATACTTTTTTTAAAACCGATTGGTAGGTGCCGTTGCTGTAGGAGTTTTTACCCCATCCGGTGGCGAGGCATTTTGCGAAGTCGAAGCGTTGGAATTTCGGAGGTAAACACGTCACCCCAACGTTCTCCGAAAGCTTAAATGGTTCATCCAGAATGAGAATAGCTATATCGTTGCTCAAAGATCACGAGTAGTAGTGAGGGTGTATTACAATGTCTTTGTTTCCCTATCTCGATGCGGTTTAGGTTCATCTTTTGACACCCAGTTCCACTCACCAGCTTTTCACATTATACGCCGTATTCTTCTTAACGCAGTGCGCGGCTGTTATAGCGACATTGTATTGTATTTTTTTAGCGAAAAAAGTTGTAGTGAAAAATATATTTTTTTAGATAAATATATCAACCATAGATGGTTTATTAGTAATAGAAGAAATTTGTACATAGAAAAAAATTTTTAAACTTAACTTTTAACGTATTATAACAACTGGTAGTAATTAAAATACAATAAGTATATTGTTTTTATTTTTTATTCAATAATATCTATAAACCTTAACATCATATCCATGCGATTTCAAAGTATAGTCAATCCAATCGCTAAATAAGGCTATGTTTACATAAACACCGGGCGTATTGGTCATTCCACATGTCAAGCCCCATGAGACAATGCCAGCTTGTTGATATCTTCCAGGTTGTCCTTCCACAGGACATATCAAAGGACTGCCCCCATCTCCTTTGCAAGCATCCTTTTTATCCTCTCCACCGGCACATATAAAACTCCTGTGGAGCCTGAACTGAGGGCCTAGGCGTGCAATTTGCAAGGCCCTAGCGCATATAGAGTTTGGCACTACGGGTAGTGATACTTTTTTTAAAACCGATTGGTAGGTGCCGTTACTGTAGGAGTTTTTACCCCATCCGGTGGCGAGGCATTTTTCGAAGTCGAAGCGTTGGAATTTTGGAGGTAAACACGTCACCCCAACGTTCTCCTAAAGCTTAAATGGTTCATCCAGAATGAGAATAGCTATATCGTTGCTCAAAGATCACGAGTAGTAGTGAGGGTGTATTACAATGTCTTTGTTTCCCTATCTCGATGCGGTTTAGGTTCATCTTTTGACACCCAGTTCCACTCACCAGCTTTTCACATTATACGCCGTATTCTTCTTAACGCAGTGCGCGGCTGTTATAGCGACATTGTATTGTATTTTTTTAGCGAAAAAAGTTGTAGTGAAAAATATATTTTTTTAGATAAATATATCAACCATAGATGGTTTATTAGTAATAGAAGAAATTTGTACATAGAAAAAAAATTTTAAACTTAACTTTTAACGTACGTATTATAACAACTGGTAGTAATTAAAATACAATAAGTATATTGTTTTTATTTTTTATTCAATAATATCTATAAACCTTAACATCATATCCATGCGATTCCAAAGTATAGTCAATCCAATCACTAAATAAGGCTATGTTTACATAAACACCGGGCGTATTGGTCATTCCACATGTCAAGCCCCATGAGACAATCCCAGCTTGCTGATATCTTCCAGGTTGTCCTTCCACAGGACATATCAAAGGACTGCCCCCATCTCCTTTGCAAGCATCCTTTTTATCCTCTCCACCGGCACATATAAAACTCCTGTGGAGTCTGAACTGAGGGCCTAGGCGTGCAATTTGCAAGGCCCTAGCGCATATCGAGTTTGGCACTACGGGTAGTGATACTTTTTTTAAAACCGATTGGTAGGTGCCGTTGCTGTAGGAGTTTTTACCCCATCCGGTGGCAAGACATTTTGCGAAGTCAAAGCGTTGGAATTTTTGAGGTAAACACGTCACCCCAACGTTCTCCGAAAGCTTAAATGGTTCATCCAAAATTAGAATGGCTATATCGTTGATCAAGGATCCTGAGTGGTAGTGGGGGTGTATTACAATCGTCTTCGTTTTCCTATCTTGATGCGTTATGGGTTCATCTTTAGACACCCAGTTCCACTCACCGGCTCTCACATTATACGCCGTATTCTTCTTAACGCAGTGCGCGGCTGTTATAGCGACTTTGGGGTGAATCAATGAAGCCCCGCACTTATAAACCTTGCCCTGCAAAACGCCCAACATCCAGGGGAACTCCCCAAAGTCGGCCTCGTTTTTCTCCTGCCCCATTATTCTGAAACCGATGATTTCGTCGTCGACTCTCCCAGAGTGTAACCGGCTTTCGGATTCCGCTATGCTTCGCCTCTTTCCGCATTCTATTTTGCAGCAGACATCGAAGTCGTCCGTGCATGTTGGGACCTGACTGGTTCGGGTTCGTATGATTCTTTTGTCGATTATGTCGACGCCTTCTTCGATGAGGCCGCTGAAGTCGTCCTTGCATTGCCAGTACGGGACGCAAACGCAGTTCTGAAGTTCCTCGGTAGGGTTTTCAACGTAATCATCGTAGTAGTCGTCACTGAACGAGTTTGTTGATGATATCAAGATGAAAACGATTAGTTGAATTAAGAACATGTCGCTTTTAAGTATACACAACAAATATATGATGGTATTTGTATATTTTTTATAGGTATACTTTTTGAAATGAGAGGTAGGTATCATTTTCGAGTATTGATACAGGTAAAATGTTATCAAATTAATAATTATGTTGGGGATTATTATGGTTTTTCTATTATGACCTAAAATAAAAGGGATTATTGAAATAAAAAGGTAATTCTTGGAACTTATATACACTTTATTATTGAAGTTAATTAAATAACATAACAAAAATGCTGTTTTATCATCCTATTAAGACTAAAAATTAATGAATTTAATGGTGTTCTGCGGCCTCCTTGCGGCGGATTTCGGCCCATTTAGCAACGTTTTCGGGGGAGTTGGCTAAAAAAAATATTTATATAAGTATCTGGTAAAAAAAAATCCAATATATTTTTTTTAATCCTTGAAAATTCAGTTTAATTCTAGTTTGTGAGAAAATTAATGTATAGACAGTATTTTGTTAAAATTTTCATCCAATTTCTTAACTACAATATTTTACCACCACTTTTTTAATAATGGCCGCCGTAATTTAATTTTATTAAAAAAAAGCCGATGCCATTATTTTACAAGTAAAATAAGTTTTACAATTTTGTATACTTAATATTTTTTAAATTTAGCATATTTAAAAAGTTATAACTGATAATTCAAGAAAAAGGGGGCGCTGCAGTAAGTTGGTTAACTATTTCTCGCATTATTTTTCTTTAAATTTTTAAATGTTTTCCACAAAATTTTATTTTAAAAACCACGCAAGACTGGAAAACAACTTTGTTTATAAACCAAAGTTATTTCCAATCTTGTATACTTATCTACCATTTTTTAGTTTTTTACCTAAAATAATATAGGTATAAATTATTCTATAGTAAATTAACCAATTGGCAAAATTGTAGATATTATTTGTTGAAGTTTTTGATTTTAATAATTTTTTTTTATATTTATTACAAAAATGTTTAAATTGCAAAAGTAATAAACTCTTGATCCGCGTGAGGGTTGAGAGTTTTAATCGTTATTTTATTATGTAAAATATTACAATGAATTATTAAAAATACTGATTTTAAAAATTGTAATTGTATTTATGACAGTTTAAGAGTTTTTGGGTTAAAAGTTCTTAAATTTTTAACCCATTTTCTTTATTTATGCAAGGATTAAGACAACTTTTTATTTATAGACAATATTTTGTTAAATAAACAAAATTTATTGCCAGAAAAGTCTCGTAAGTACTAAAAAAATCATTATGACCAATATGCAAAATATTATTTTACTAGTATGCTATTTAAAGTAACCAACCTATAAAATCAAAATTTTGGGTGGGGTAAAGCACCTCATTACAGCACCGAATTACTTCATTGTAACACCGCTTTCGGTGCTGTAATGAGGTGCTTTACCCCACCCAAAATTTTGATTTTATAGGTTGGTTACTTTAAATAGCATACTAGTAAAATAATATTTTGCATATTGGTCATAATGATTTTTTTAGTAATTACGAGACTTTTCTGGCAATAAATTTTGTTTATTCATATATGAACGCAAAATAGATAAATATGTTTTACAATTTTGTATACTTATGTATTTATTTAATAAGTTATAACTGATAATTCAAGAAAAAAGTGGGTTAACAATTTTTTACATTGTTTTGATTTAAATTTAATACTATAAAAAACTATGCTTTCAAAATGTAGAAATGTCAGTGGTTTACTTACATATGTTTTACACAAATTTTTAATTAAACACCCTGTATTTTAAAAACCACGCAAGATTGGAGAACAACTGTTTTCCTGTCTTGTATACTTATCTAATATTTTTTAGTTTTTTTTAAATGTTATATAAATTTTCCTTTTTTTATAGTAAAATTAATAGGTATTAACTAAATTGGCAAAATAATAATTATTGTAGACATTATTAAGTAATTAAGAATAATTATTGTACACATATTTAACAGAATTTTTTTATTTTTATTACAAAAATGTTTAAATTGCAAAAGTAATAAAATTTTGGTATGATTTTAATACAAATTTAAGGGGTTTTTAGAACTTTTATATTTATTATTTAAAATATGTTTATTTATAAAATATTAACTAAATTGGCAAAATAATAATTATTGTAGACATTATTAAGTAATTAAGAATAATTATTATACACATATTTAACTGAATTTTTTTATTTTTATTACAAAAATGCAAAAATGCAAATGCAAATTGCAAAAGTAAAAAAATTTTGGTATGATTTTAATACAAATTTAAGGGGTTTTTAGAACTTTTATATTTATTATGTAAAATATGTTTATTTATTAAAAAAATTGTAATTGTATTTATGTGACAGTTTAAGTTTAAGGGTTTAAAACTTATTTTCTTTATATATGCAAGGATTAAGACAATTTCATCACAGCAAAGTTTTGATGATTTTACTTATTAATGCGAACTGTTTCACAAAACAACTATATCTGTCAACCATGTCCACTTCAGCGCCATATTTAAATTGTTTTCATAAAAAACAATTTCAAATTATATCAGCAGACTAAATTCACATTGTTGCCAAATTTATTAAATGTTTAATAATTTAAAATTAATTATTTTTATATTGTAAATTCTTATTACGTGTCATAATAACATTACAAGCTTGGGCTAGTTACTATGCCCAACATAAAAAAGTTCTACTTTAATATTTAAATAAGGAGTGCAGTCAAATAATTGAATCGGTGAGTTTAAGAACAGTACAAGTCCAAAATTTAAAATTTTGACAAATTATTTTTTAAAAGTATTTTTTCTTTAGTTTAAAATGCATTTTTGTGAGAATGTTTCAACTATTGTACAAAATATGGTTATTATATTTTATAAAATAGTTGAACTATTATTAAAAAAATGCATTTTAAACTAAAAATATGTTTTTATAAAATAACTTGTAAACAATTTAAATTTTGTACTTGTAATTGAGGTTCAACTGCAATTAAACACACAAAATACATATATTGTATTATTTCCCGAATATATGACTTAATTAGAGATTAGAAATTAGAAATACATGACTGCAGTCCTGCAGTTATGTCAAACATAAACCAAACTGGACATATTTTTATGACTTCCAGCCTACCAATGAAATATACTATTTGTAGGTTGTTTCTATGCATAATAGTATCTTTTTATGCATTTTAAAGTGCAAATTTCCTTTGGGAATTCTCAAAAATACTTACAAAGATTACTGATGGATTTGAACAATGGAATAGTGACGAGCATGGCAACTGCATAGTACTTCCAGATCCATTGGTTGCTAAAGTAAAATTTGTATGGGAATTGGGCCACTTTGGCTGAGAAGGTGTAGGGGAATTTCATGGGCCTTCCCACCTTTTCTACTACTTTATCAGCCATTATATCTTCTAAAAATAAAAAAATAAATATAATTTTGCAAGTGTTGCATAATTTTAATATTATTATGGGTATATATGTCGTAATTTCTACATGATATTATTATCAATGTTGTAGATTTGGCTGGAGGTAGCTCAATACAAAAGTTAGGTTAGGTTGTGTGATATTACATAAAACAAGGGGGTTTACTTATGTCCAAGATTAGGCCCGACATGGGGATTTTCTCCACGATCTTCGTATACTTCATGATTAATTCGTTAATTCAACAAAATACGAACAAAATTCAATGGAAAACAGGGGTTTATGTAATCATCTGTCACTTTAAGTCAAATTAATTTCTACGGAACAAATGAATGCGCTTAAGTCGGCACACTTAGTTTGGATGCTTAGAATGTTAGTTTTAAGTGGATTTGGGCTAAAAATGTTAAATAAATTAAAGAAAATTTTAATACAGTACCTTTCTCGAGAACACAGTAAAAATGTCTGACCGAAAGTGTACGGGAAAGGGTAGACTTGCGCATAAGAGGAGCGTAAGCCCGCATATTACGAATATTTTCAGTCTGTTAAAACAGTTTTTTACGAATATTTCGTTAACTGTTGGGTTTACGTGAATTTTGGTAATTATGAATCTTGTTCATGATGAAAATCTGCATTAAAATGGTCCTATATACAAATTACGTAGCATTAATAGTTTTCGAGATATTGGCTTCACGTAAATTTTGGGTTTTAAAATCAACAAATTAAAATTTAAATTGGAGTTGGGATTCTTATTTTGGTATAATCTAATGAATTTTCATGTTACAACTATCTAAAGATAATTAAGCTTTGTCTGAAACAGCCTATTCTACTATAAAAAAGTTTCTGCTTCGTTTTCGAAATGTACCGTGTGTTGCCTAGCATAAAATTGTTTAAACAATTGCCACAACAAACAATTGAGGGGGGTACAAGAAGAGAAAGTAAAAACGCACGTGAGTAAAATAAAATATACATAGTAGTTGCAAATAAGCAACCAAACGGGTTATTACTCATTTCTGCCTCACCCATGAAGCGCGAATTTAAAGGGGCTTGCGATTCGCGTTAGAACAAAGTTAAAAACTAAAATAAAACGAATCTGCAGGTATCTGCTCACCTTGAAATTATTAAAATCGAATACGAGCAAAAGATAAACCAGTAGTTGGTAGTTGGTACGTAGTGCAGATTTTCGAAAATGTGAAATTATTATTTTTTTTGAAAATGTGAAGTGCAAGTTTGAAGATGGCCCTGGTGGAAACGTGTTTTTGTTGTAGTGTGCCTATAGCGTCTGGATTTTTCGCTGCCTATTTATTGGTAGGCTTTTTTATTTTCTTTCTGGGTGCCACAAGGTTCTCCACGCGTAGTGTCTTAAGATAATATTTTCTAATAATTAACAATATTAATATTTACTGAATACAATTTAGACATAATTATTCCTAAATATATGCATAAAATTGCGAGCCAAGGTTTTAAGTGTATTGGGTTGAATAAATTTGATTTAAGACAAGAATTTGCTTTTAAGTAACAATGATTAATTAGTTGAATTAATTATTTATTTATTATAATCACGTTTTTTATAAATAAGGCAAGTGTTAAAATTTGGTTAAGCTTAAACAAATACGCAAAAATTTAACTGTACCTACTAGGTATACAGGGTGTACCAAGTATCTTTTTTTATTTAAGGAGCTACAAATTGGAAATAAGTTGCGTAATTACAAGTCTATTAAAATGGCATTTGAAAATTAAATTATTTGAAAAACTAAAATACTAAAATAAATACATACCTATTATTGTTTTTAAAAAATAATATAATTTTGAAAATCTTCAAAAATTCTGGAAAGGTTTTATTATGAATTTTCTACTTACCTACTTTAATAACCATATAGGTTATTTTATTTAAAAGAATTTTTAAAGGTAAATTTTACTGAAATATTTTCACGTTATATTTATTTATTTGGGGACCTTTTAAGGGTTAAAATGGTATAAAAGACTTTTTTTAATAATGAAAATGTTACCTTTTTTAAACAGTTAATTTTTTTAAAATTTGGACTTGTGGTCAAGATTACCTTATTTACTTTTTTGATGTATTCAAGTTGTGTTACCTATTTATTAAAGTTTTAATTTAAACTTAACCTATTATGCAATTCCCGGAATCATGAAAATTGAATGAAAATTATATAAACTGGAAAGTAAACGTTCCTACCTAAATAAATAATAAATTATATCAATTAATCATCAACCAACTAGTGCACTACTGACTTAATGTATTATCTGATTATTCTAGTGTTCTACTGCGGAACAATAATTCAGATCGCAATTCAAGATATGAAAAAAAATATGACAATAAGGCCAAAAAATGTTAAAAAAAAACGTGGAACGATTTGTTGTGTTCTAGGGTTTTTCGAGGGGAAATCCTGGGTTAAGTTTTTACCGGTTTCCCAATAAACAGTGGAAATCCGAATGAAGAAATTAATTGCATACAGTCCCTGAAATTGCACCTATAAGATAAAAATCGTAAAACAAATAAGTCGTCTAAATTCAAACATCATTATGCATTATTAAAAGCGTTAATTGAGAAAGTCTTTACTAAACGGTAAAATACCAAAAAAGGGTATTATATTATGTATTATATATAATATTATGTTGTCATGGATTCGTTGATATATTTTGTCTTTTACTATTTTAAAATGCAGTTGTCGGCGTATTTTTAGAGGACTCAATTATAAAAATGTTCGATTTTAAGGTTATGTTTGTACAAAAATTATTTTTAGTTGGATTTCTTAAAAATCTCCAAACTTAAATATAAATTATATTAGGTAAAGTTATCATTAGTTAATTCTGCACCAACAAATATATATATTTATACGTACCAAATTGGTTTCTTTGGTAAAACATGAAAATGCAACGGTTTAGTTCTTGAATTACATTTACAAATAAAAACAGAATAATTCCCCATGATCACAAGATAAAATACACACACTAAAGTAACTATAGGAGCATATAAGCGTTAACTTTCTTAATCAATGATATAAGGAGTAATAAATCGAAATCAAGTACTAAACCAAAGTTTTTTAGTTTTTACTTGAAACGTGAAACACAAATTTAGCTGTACATTTGAAACTTTGCGAACAAAATTTGTCGAGACATGCCGTCCTTTTTTTTGTGAAAAAACTACTTATTTATTTAAAAATTATGTGAAGTTCGTAGGTATGCTTTAAATGTATTGTTGACAATTCTTGAATTTACACAATACTATCGATCGCCACCAGATGGCGCGCCCGTTGCAAAACCTCATGTTTCTTTAGCGGAAGTTAATTTTACTAAATTAGTTTGGGAATAAAAAAAATGTTACAAAAAAATGTTATTACAATTTTTAGCAAAAAAGTTTAAAAATGGGGTACTTAATTAATTGTGATTTTGTTCTAAATAAAAAATGTAAATTGCATACTGATATCAGTAGTAGGTAGTTGAACTATTTACCGATCAAAAACTAGTAAATTCACTTTGTTCTGCTCCAGTTGTTCGAATGAATTCATTGTTAAGCTGGGTCTTATGTATTATGAGAAAATGCACTATTATAGCATTAAGATTCTAATTGACAGTTCCCACCTTTATTAGATTTAATAAATTAGGTCCTATTTAGCAAAAATATGTTTCGTTTTTAAGGAAGGTTACTCTTAAATGACATCAAAATTGTTGTTTGTTGCTAATATTAAACAATGCAGGGAAAACGAATTTTAAATAATATGTGTAAAAATCGTTTATTTCCGTCTGTGAAAACGAAATCCTTGGGTTGCCCAAACCATGCATTTAGACGAAGTGAAAGTGTTTTTAATGTATTCTTTACTATTTTGAAGATGAACATTTTTTAAAACAATGGTGGTATTATATTTTAAAACAAATAAATAATTTTTCATTTAGAAAAACAATCCTAATATTAATTTTTTTAAGACTTTACGCTAAAGAAGTATCTCTAGTAGCGCCACCACTCGGCTGTTATCATCGTAACAAATGTAGAACTCAGCTGTCAAACGCGTGTGTTACAAACGAGTGTTTTTGAGAATAAAGAGGGAAAATGTTAAAAAATATCGAAAAAAAAACCGTGGCACGATTTGCTGTGTTGTTGGGTGTATTTCGAGAGGAAAAAAACTGGTTTCTATTGACGTTTCAAAAATATTTGTTAAAATAGCAAAGTTATGATGATTTAAAGTTTTGATTTTTTGACAAAAACTGTCAAAAAATATATGTTAACCATGGCTGCCTTATTTAAATTGTTTTCATAACAACCGTTTTTAAATGTGTAAATTAGGTACACAGTGTAATAGGTAACTATAAATAATATTATAGTACTTATATAATAATTGTTATTTCAAAGATTAAACTAGAAAAACAGATAGATTTAACTGAATTATCAAGAAAAGCGGTCAATGATTGTTTTTATATCCGTAAAAAATAAATTTCATTTAGAATGTTTTGTGCTTGTGTACTAAATAAAAGAAAATATTCCAATTAAAAAGATAACACAAGCAAGGAGGTTATAGGACTCATTTTATACATTTATAAAAAAACTATTGTTTAATTGAAAACTTGCATGTTCTTAGAGCTATGTAAAGTACGTAAAGAAAATGAAAAACGGAACCGCGTTTCTTATCCGGCCCTGATATAGGAAAACCTTTTACGTACTGCTGATTCACAGACAAAACATGTAACTGTTTTATGTTTCATCGGTTGAATTTTTAATGAAGATTATCCTTCGAACCAAAATTCACGTAGTTGTTTACGGTTTATTGTTTGTAATAGCTATTTAATTAAAAACGCATACCCGGTGGGTGGATTAGTATTTTCATAATGATGTAAGAGAAGAAGACCTTAAACAATTTCCGAGGTTTTAAAAATTATAACAATGCCAAAGTGTTAAACTTTAAAATCGGGGAAGCCATGAATAATTCGCAAACCATGTAACCGTTTTGCATTATTTAAATTACTACCACTTAGGTACCTAATTACTTAAATATATACATTTAGCAGCATTCTTAATGTTAACTTACCAAAAATATCCATTTTGATCACCATTTTGGGGCCGAAAACTTTAATTTAATTTTCTTCGACAAACAAACAAATAGCGTGCTTTGATAACTGTCAAATGAATAGGGTGTGACATTTCCTTTGGCCGTTCGGCGCCAAACTTAAATTCAAATGTTCGTAACGGTGTTTTTAAATTAATATCTAAATAAAACAATTGTTTTTCTTTCATGTATTTATTAAAATGGTACCTTTATGGGTTATTCTCAAAATAACAACAATCTTTGCGTGACGTGTGTTTTTTTCTCCCATATTAAAAAAAATGGTAAAAATAAGTAACATTTTTAAAGTACACAACGTTAACTAACAGT